TCAATAATCTCGTTGAGACCGAGCTTGAAGGCTCCCTTCTTCATGCCGCCCTCGATGGCCTGCTCAGCGAGGAGACGCTTCTTCTCCTGAAGGTCGACGATGCGCTCTTCGATGGTATCCTTCGCCGTGATCTTGTAGACTATCACGTCCACGGTTTGGGTGAGACGATGTACCCGATCGATGGCCTGCTCCTCGATGAACTGCGATGAAGGGTTAGAAACAAGATATGTCTGGGCTTGATTCAAGTAATACTTACAGGGTTCCAAAAAGGTTCAATAATAACCACTCTCGTTGCAGCTGTCAAGTTGAGTCCCAGACTACCGCACTTCAAACTGCAGAGTAGAATTCGGGTCTTGGCGTCCTTGCGAAGACGGCTAAGACTCTCCTCGCGCTGATCATTTTTCATGCTACCATCGTATCTCGTAAAGACAAGGCCCTCATTGTATAGGAAGGGCTCGACAAGGTCTAGCATTGAGGTGAACTGTGAAAAGACAATGAACTTGTGCTCCTTGGCTTCGTTTTGGAGAATCTTGATGAGCTCGCGAATCTTGGCTGAGGCGACAACATCAACACCACGGGCACCACGGCGGATATCCCAATCATCCCCGTCTTCATCCTCACTTGAAGCCTCGGACTCGGAATCTTGGGAGTCGGAATCTTGGGAGTCTGATTCTTCAGAGTCGGAATCTTCCTCTTCACTCTCATCCGTTTCGGAAATCGCATTTGCCTTCGGCTTCGGTTTCGGGGCGGCCTTATCCTCCAGTGTCTGAGAAGCCATTTGCTTTGTGAGAGCCGAGATGGAAAGTAGAGAGTCGTCGTCGCTCTCTTCTGCAGTGGAAGTATATCCCTTTTCTTTCCTAGCAGTTTCATCATCAACAACGAAGCTGCTCAGGTTGCTCTTATCCTTGTCTGCGTCATCTTCCTCCTCCTCAGAATCGTCGGATCCAATCCAGTCACCGCCCCCCTCAGCGTTCTCGTCTTCCTCACCCCCAGCCTTGCCCAGATTGACGCTTCCACGCTCGTCTTCAGGGACAAGCCAGCTACCGGCTTCTTCCTCGTCCTCATCGTCGCTGTCAACAATAGCGTTGCGGTTCCTCGGCCGACGGGACGTCTTCTTGATAGGGGAGTCGGCTTCCTCCTCCTCTTTCTTCTCCTTGGACTTGGACTTGGACTTGGATTTAGATTTGGACTTGGTCTTCTTCCTTTTCTCCTTCTTTGGCTTCACATGGGTCGTGCTCACTTCGCTCTGGAATAGGGCCAGATCTTCCTGACAAGCAGAGCATGTCTCTCTTCCGCTCTTGTTGTCGTCATAGCCAAGTTGCAAGCCACATACATTACAGCTCCGGGATGCCAATCCCATGCCGGCGAACATATCAGCCATGGCATCGATATCAGCATCTTGAGAGGGCTTTTGGCTCATATCCGCAGAGAGAGCATCGCTGTCTAACTTGTCGGCGATCAACCTGGGATGATTGCATGCCTGTCTCATTCGCAGCAGCAGGGTCAACGCGCTTGCGTAGTTCACCTTGCCGCCCATCATAGCCTCGATACTCCTGTCAGCACGAGCTTCGAGTTTATTGTAGAATCTACGCTCGGCAGCAGACAGGTCGGTTTTGACGGACACAACTTTTCGCTCGGTCACCTTGAACCCAGTCGACGAGGCTTCGCCCTCCTTGGAAGGCTCACCACCAGGGTTCAGAGCTCCCTTCTCTTTCAGAATCTCCTTGGTTCGCCTCTTCATAAAGCATCGAAGAAGGCTGTGCAGTCTCCGGATGGCGATGTGGCCTTTGCCGTTCTTCAGAGGGTGATCAATCTGTGCTTTCCATTCTTTGAGATCATCATAAGGCTTGATACGGAGGAACTTGACCAGAGATTGAAGCTCGTCCAGGTTGTTCTGCATTGGTGTGCCAGAGAGGCACCACCGGTACTCAGAACGCAAAGCGTAGCAGGCTTTTGTTGCCTTGGCGTTGCGATTCTTGATTGTATGGGCTTCGTCAAGGACAACTCGCCACCAGTGGAGGCCGAAGCAACCCGTCTTCGGTCCGTCATCTGCCGGTGAGGAGTTTCCGTGCTCAGACACCAGGATCTGGTAGGTCGTCACAACAATGTCGTACGAGGCGAGTTCTTTGAAGCTCTTAGTACGGTTCGGACCATGGTGTACGCAGACCTTGAGCTGATGCTGCTTGGCAATCTTCTCGTTGATCTCAGCCTCCCATTGCCTGATGAGAGCCAATGGCGCCACGACGAGGGTTGTCTTGTTGATTGCTTCGTAATGCTTCTTCCACGCCTTGTCTTCGGGCTTGGGCTTCTGGTTGTTAAGAATGAGCGTGATTGTCTGCAAGGTCTTGCCCAGACCCATGTCGTCGGCGAGGATACCGCCCTTGGGCACCTTGCCTCGCTTGACTGGGCCAAGCTCACGGCCACGCATCCACTCTACACCTTCCACTTGATGCGGCAGCAGCTTGACCTTGAGACCGGGTACAGTGCCAGTCTTCGGGTCGACAATGCCTGGTCGCTTGTTGTCTTCCTCCTCCTTCACTTCCTCCTTCTTCGGCTTTTCATCTTTCGCCTCGTCAGATGACTCTTCTTCCTCATCATCCATGACACCTTCGAGGAGGTCCTTGAGGTCCGCGCTGGCCTTGTTGGGATCTGTATAGAATACTTCATTGCTGCCAGTCCTGGCGGAGGAAGAAGGCGGGGCAGCGAACACGTTGGACTCAAACACTGCTAAGGGAGGAGCCTTCCTATCCTTGTACTTTGGTGCCTGGGGTTGCTGGATCTTTCTGGCGTCTAGGTGGTGCTCGGGTCTGGTCTTCTGGTGGATGAAAACGCTGCTAGCCTTTTGCTGCCGCGAAGAGAGCATCTGGGGATGGCCGAATCGAGGCCGGTCCGTCGAGCCGGAGGGGTGGGCAGGATCTTGTAAACTCTGCAGAACAGAACTCTTGACTGAGGAGAGACCTTTCATGGCACTAATAACGTCAAAGTCGTCGTCGTCGTCTGGAGTCTGGTCGCGTCGGATGTTGTCTTGGCTTGACGACATGGTGCGTAGTGGCGCCGACGCCTTCGGGGGCGCACGCTCATTGACCATGGCGGGCCGTAAAACCTGCAAGGCAAAGGTTTTGGGGATAGATTCTGCGGTGCCGTCAAAATCAAGAGTGTTGGTGTCGTGGTCTCCAGGCGCTCGAGCGATGGGTCGTTTAACTCGTCGAGGAGATTTTGAGAAGTCTGGCTTCTGGGACGAGGAGAGGGTGTTGGTGGGTTTATATGCGAATTTGGCACCTGGCTTGTTGTTCGAAAAGTCGTGGTTACCCATAGGGCGAGAACGGCGAGCGTGCAGTTGGGTGTTGGGAGAGACCCTCCATGCACTTTGGCGATGTACAAACCATGTAGACGCTACAAAAACCGGTGGTGTTTTGGGTCTGGGTTTATGACCTCATTGGCCCAGCAACAAGCCCTTGCTGCCTGGTCCCCCGCATCAACAGAGCCTTATCCTTATCGGCGGAGCCGCACAGTGTTATCAGTCAGGGTGGGTCCGGCGCATTAACACAAGTTAACCTCCGTCATCCAGCCGTTGAGGATATGGGAAATGCCAATATCGACTTTCCTACGATGGCAACGAGGTTTAATTACTGTACCATGAGGGATACTCAAGGCATAGTTACAACGAGCTAGACAATTTATTAGTCTCCGAAATCCGACCTTCCCAACCTCGTTTTTGACGCACTTAGTAAAAATGATGAGGGACAACCAAGAGCAACTTTCGGGCCCGATTACCACTCTATCGAAAGCCACATGCACCACTTAGAAATAGAAATGCCAGCACTACTTCTCAATTACTTCTTGACCAGGTGGAATCATGGTCTCTAAGCAATTCTTCCCAGTAGCACAACCCTCGTACACCAAAACGGTCATGTAATTACAGTGGAAGGCTTGAACGGGAATGCCCACTTTCAGTTTCTATGAGAGTCCGAGCCTCTTACGAGACCAGGCTCGGATGGAAACCAGTTCTCAAAACTGGCCCATTGGAGTTAAACGAAGAGGAGATGTTCTTCAATTCCAGTCGCACAGCCCAGTACGAGGCGTTGGAGTTCCCCTCCCCCTCCCCTCGCTCTGTGTGTGCAAACCCACGCCACCAGAATAGAAGGCGGCCGTTCTGTTAGCCAAGTGGCCAACTCGACCTGCATTTCATCTCACGAAGAAAACGGAGGTTTTCTCAATTTCAATTTCAATTGCACATCTTTTCTTAACGAGAAAATAGAGGAATGCCATCGAGATCAAGCACTCCTAAATAACACATCTTACTTGGAAACCTTATCCACTGCCCAGCAACAAACCGAGAGATTCGGAGCAACGTAGTTGGCTTACACAATATGGCGAGAAACATGAGAGAGCAACTTCAAGTCTATAAGAAGACGCAACTTCACCCTCATATAGCCCCAGACACCGTCTTCGAGGGAGTCAAGTTTTCACATAGACTCTTTGCAAAGTTCTCGATGCTCAGACGAGCTGGAGAAGCTCTCAAGGAACGTGAAGGTGAAGTTTCAGGGGAGTGAGCTTGCTCTTTCTCGAGCTGCAGATCAATATCAGTTTGCCTACGACCAAATTTCTCATATCAAGCGCCGAACTAAAAATTAAGGTCAAGATTGTGTTCATCTGCCGGCATGACATCATTTCACAGAGGCTTGGTGGAATAGCAGCGATTGAGTAAAATATGCATGTAATATTGATCATATGGCTTTCATTAAGCTTGACAAGGCTCAACTGCCTCATCGAGGACAATCTCATGTGTAATCCCAAATGTAATAACTCTTCCTCTGGCGAAGCAGAGGGTAAAACCCAGATGCTATAAAAAATACGCCGACCCTAGGATAAAAACCCTATCATGATTCATATGTGCAAAAGCCGCAAATCAAGACCCCCACGCGAACGGAAGTGCTGACTTGTCTGGCGAAATATTTTCCAAAATCTTTTTTTCTTCTTACTTCCCTTGATGAGCCCATTTATACCTGAGGACCAGCCTTGACGACGTCCTCGGTGGCTTCGCTCTCGTACTTGGTGAAGTTCTCGCGGAAGAGCTTGCCCAGCTTGACAACCTCGTTCTGGAAGCTGTCGGCACCGGCAGTCCAGGCCTTGGAGGGGTTCAGGAGATCATCGGGAACGCCAGGGCAGGTCTTAGGGACCTGGAGGTTGAAGACTCCGTAGTTCTCGTACTCGACGTTGTTGAGCTCACCGGAGTGGATGGCATCCAGAATGGCGCGAGTATACTTGAGAGGGCAACGCTTGCCGCCCTGGGCGTGGCCGGCACCGACCCAACCGGTGTTGAGGAGCCAGGCATTGGCCTTGTGCTGGTCGATCTTGTCCGCGAGCATCTTGGCGTACTTCATGGGGTGGAGAGCCAGGAAGGGCTGGGCGAAGCAGCTGGAGAAGGTAGCCTGGGGCTCGGTGACACCGTCCTCAGTACCGGCCATCTTGGAGGTGTAACCAGAGATGAAGTGGAACATGGTCTGGGCGCGGTCGAGCTTAGAGATGGGAGGCAGGACACCACGGGCATCGCAGGTCAGGAGAATGATGTTGGAAGGCATGTTCTCAGACAGGCAAGGAATCTTGGCGTTGGGAATGTACTCGATGGGGTAGGCACATCGGGTGTTCTCGGTGAGAGCAGCGTTGTCGTAGTCGACCTCACGGGTCTCGGTGTCGAAGACGACGTTCTCGAGGACGGAGCCAAATCGGATGGCGTTGAAAATATCGGGCTCCTTCTCAGCGGACAGACCAATGGTCTTGGCGTAGCATCCACCCTCAATGTTGAAGACACCACGGTCACTCCAGCAGTGCTCGTCGTCACCGATGAGGGCACGGTTGGGGTCAGCAGACAAAGTGGTCTTGCCAGTGCCGGACAGACCGAAGAAAACGGTGACGTCGCCGTTCTTTCCCTCATTGGCAGAGGAGTGAAGGGTGAGGACGTTGTGCTTGATGGGCATCTCGTAGAAGAGAACGGTGAAGACACCCTTCTTCATCTCACCAGCGTACTCGGTACCGAGAATAACCATCTCCTTGGCCTCGAAGTTGATAGCGACGGAGGTGGCAGAGGTCATACCCTCAGTGAAGCGGTTGGCAGGGAAAGCACCGGCATTGTAGATGGTGTAGTCGGGGTGGAAGTGCTCGAGCTCCTCACGAGGAGGGCGGATGAGCATGTTCCTCATGAAGAGAGCATGGTATGCACGGGCGCAGATGACACGCACGCGGATCCTGTACTTCTCATCCCAGCCAGCGTAACCGTCAACGACGTAGATGCGGTTACGGGTGTTGAGGTAGTCGACAGCACGCTCACGGTTGATCTTCCAGACCTGGAGGACGAATTATGTCAGCTAACACGGCTCTTCACAGAATGTGGACCGAGATGAGATGGATGAGCGGGAGGAAGGGGGGTGGGGGGTGTGACGGGTACTGTCGGCTATCCCAATCCAAAAAAAAGTCGGAGAGGGGAAAAAGCGTCGATCATCACATGACTGCAGGTCCGTCCCAGATTATGGGAAACTCAACCCGCGGGCAGGCCCGTGCAGACATGCAACAGCACAACGGCAGAGCCTGGAATACGGGGAGCTCGGAGGGATTCGCGAGTGCCTCACAGGCGGTACCAATTACCAAACCTGATGGAGCTAGAGCGCGGTGAGGAAAATCATCTCTGCATCAGCCTGGGCCACTTGGCCAGGCGGAAAGACTGCATGAACACGCTGCGCTGAGCAGGGGTGGGTTCTAGCCCCTGTCATGGAAGCGAATATGGCTTGCAGGCACACGACTCGCCTTGGGCCCGAAGCCTAAGACACGGACGATGACCGAGCCCCAGATGGCAGACCCGCCCATCTCCGACAGCATAGCCGAGCTGAGATGCCGTGGTGGCAGGCTGTCCCATTCAGGCTTCGGGCGCAAATAGAGTTGTACCGGCTGCACGCCAGTTGGGCTGGGGAAAAGGGGGGCTTGAAGTGCAACTTCCCAGGACAAAGGTACACGGGACATGGAAACAAGGCGAGACTCGGGAGTCTTGAGCCAGTCAGAGAGAAAAGCATTCACATACCTCGGGCGACATAGGCTTGTTCACGGGGCCCCACCTGCCGGTTATGTTAATCATTGCCAATCAGCTGCAGGAACGACGGCGTTGTTCACTTACCAGATGTTGTCTTTTGATGAGGGCTCCTCGACAATGCGCTTGTCGAGGGGCGAGCGGCCGGTCTTCTGACCAGAGTAAGCCGTCAAGGCGCCGCTGGATGTGATGGCAGTGCCGGTCTCGTAGACCAGCGCATCTTCGTAGAGAACTGCTACTGAGGGGTTGGCAATCTATAACCGGCGTGTTAGTGATCATGTGCGGCTTCGTTCGGCCCCTTTCGAGGGCAAGTCTCGATCGACTGGGCAGGTGACGTAAGATGCACGTACAATGGCGACGCGGTCATAGTCGATGTGGGCAGTCTCATGAAGCTCTTCCTCCAGCTCGGTGTGTGACACATGGGGCCTGATGGTTTGGTTAGTATGCTTCACCCTCGACGGCAGTGAGCAACAGAGGAAGACTCACTGGACACCGCCTGGGTGAAGAGCGGTCTTGTTGACGGAGTTGTGGGTAAGCACTGTAGATGACGATGGTGTTAGTCGTGTGAGCAACGACAGAGTGTGTAGGTGGTATGTAGGAAGAGCCAAGTGATGGCGAGGGAGAGGTGCGTCTTACTCTTGCGCAAGTCGGGTCCAGCTTTGAGGCTTTGTTGTTTTGGGTTGGGAACGGATGGGTTAGGATAGGGAGAAGCAGTTCTGTAGACGGGGTCCTTCATGGTTAATATAAACTTTTGAAGCAATGCCTCGATGGTAGTCAAAGGTACAAAGCAACAAAGGTCGACGAGGATAACGACAGGGGCGTGTGATATCGGGCTGCGATTCTCCACAGCCGGGTAGATCAAGTAGAATGGAAGTCTACCGAGTCAGCTTGTTTGCCTGGAATCTCTACCAGCTAGGCCGGGATGGTCACCATGACGATACCTTCTAGACTGCTTATTGCTTGCCCCGTGTGGAGCCGAGGGGTAGAAGTCAGAGACGGGGCACGATATTATCTCGGAAGAAGTCGTGGGCGTGCGGCGCCAAGGTCTGGATATCAGCGGGCAACGGGCGTCGATGGTGTACTATATCCCTGTATAGATTTCAATCCTCCGGGACAATTGAAGGCGATGCTGGATCCGTGTCGGAGAAGATTTCGGCTGTTGTTGGTCAGTGATAACCGTGGTCTGGGTAACTTGGATTTACTACGAGTGGTGAGGGAGGAGAAGGGAAGCAGGCCAAGAGAGGAGAAAGCGGGGAGAAAGCAGATTTGCCTGCTAGATATAGAATCTAACTGCGAAAGGACATGCTGGATCTAAGGAATAAACCCTGGCTCTCATTCGTTCGTTGCCAATTGCCCTCTCCCCGTGCAAGAATTGGCACGTTTCCTGCTCGCCGACGACCTCGACGTCAGAGCTCGGCTGTCCATCAATCCTCCTCATCGCCGCTGCTACACCACGGGCTGCCATTTGGACAATGATTGCTGTTTGGCGATAGCAGCCTGACTGGCCCGTTGGTCCGGACGCCGGGAAAGCAAGGACCTGCAACAGAGACGGCGTCATGGTTTCCAGACGTGGAAAAGATTCAACACGCCCCCCAGACAAGGCTCCACCGACCAGAAGCCACACACCATCCACACCTCAAACAGCCAGCCTATAGCATCTCACGCCTCCGCTGGAGCGTCTGGAACGAACCGCCCGCTACGGGGAGGCCGCATGACTGACTGTCTGTTGCCGGATATCAGAGGCGTAGGAATGCACAATGGCCGTCTTGCCGTGCACGACTGGATGGCATGTTGCAGTCCGTCCGTGCGTGTCAGCGAAGGTGCAGCTCCAGCCGGTATGATGTATGATAATGGGTGTCTGGACGTGTCTGGGGCTGGGCTGCGCCTATCAGTGCCTGGCCAAGTCCCGCCAGCAGTATCATGTGATGATAGCACAAGAGCAAGCCAGGACAGGGGAAAGCCCAGATCTAGCCCGACTACCTCCGTCGACGACCTGCAAACAGCGTAGTCCGCATCCATTGTAATTTGGATCTGTGGTTACCCCGTATCTACTTGGGGTCCCGGCCACGTTCGTGATTCCAGATGCAAATTTCTTCATATCCCGTGACCCTTTTTTTTTCTCTCTCTTACGAAAAGCCAGGTACTATGTATAGGCTACGGATTTGACCCCCGTGCGTGGGACTAGGCCAGTTTGCTAGGCAGAGGCACCCTGTAGCCCACGGTTTTTCTATTACCAGACCGTATTGTATTACGTAGATTTGGCTCCATGCAAATCTTGGCTTACCCCGCGATTTTCTCTGCCCTGGTCGCTCCCACCCACCAATTACCAGCAGCACCGCTCCTCCTCCGTTGTTCACGAGCCAGCTCACACCGTCTGCGCTGCTTCCGAGGGCCGCTGTAGGCTTGGAGAAAGCTGGATTTGGCATGCGAAGGTCTTATCTGCCCTCCCTCTCCCTCCCTTCTCGCCTCCGGCTGAACTTCATCACAACCATCGCCACGAACACGAGCCTACCTGGTACGTAATCTACCCGAGGCAATCGCCGGATCAGTTACGGCAATGCGCTACGGTATGTCAGCCTATGGAATTCGCTTCCCGAGACCAGGTATTGACGGTACGTACTTTTGATATGTACGCCACACCCCCCATGCTGGTCGTAACGGATATCCAGGTCCTTCCCCTACCCAATCTTGCCAATGCACCGCTCGCCATCCCTCCCCGGCTCCAGCCTGGCCCAATAATAGCCCCGTACCGATGAATCAGAGCCCCTCCCCCTTGACCCTCTCTCGACCTCTCAAGCGTCTGTCCCCCGCGAAAAGAAATGGCCACCCCACCAACTGATAGGTTCCCCCCAGCAGGGCTCAAACTCCTGAGTCCAGACTGCAGCCGTGCCTGTTCCGACATCTTCCGACACCGTTATCACATACACTCTCCAACGCCCAGAACAATGCAAGCAGAAAGACGACTAACGGTGAGATTCAGCTTATTGTCGGATCTCCCCTGGATTCTGGCCGTTCCAGTTCCGGTTTCATCGACGCGTTATCTGCACCCCTGCTAAATCGGCCGCTTTCCGTTGACGTCGGTATGAACTGCCCCTAAGGGAGGAATCGCAGTTCCGACAACTTTGGGAACAACTCCAGGCATCACCTCCGCATCTCCCCATTATTTCCATTGGGGTTGATTGATTAAATTTTTCCTTCTTACATGCATCTCGATGCAAGCAGGGCCAATACGCATCCTCCTATCCGCTCCGGTCGCCACACCCCCTGGCACATGGCATTCGTGCCAGCAAAACACCATTGAACAGAGTGAAAAACCTAGCATGCCCCTAGGCAACGGAAGTAGGCCGGGGAGCCCCACTCTGGGCTGATCCTGCCTGCTTGCGCATCAACGTGTGCCTGAACTCGTTTTCCTCCTGTAGCGTCCCAGCCCGGCACGCATTGACGCGCCAAACCGCGGGAACGGACAGGAAAAAATCTTCACCGCTGCTCCGTCGCAACTTTCATCTCGTTTGTCCGGAAGCCGACCTCGTCATTCCACGATGGCGAATGTGGCTGCAGGCAGACAGGTGGTACGCTGCAGCCGGTGGGAGCACAGTACCGGTAAGAAAGTTACAGGTGACTCCCTCACACGACATGTACGTTAATAAGGCAAGGTATGTTATACCCTGTCTTCTCGCCAACCGTACATATGAAATATGAGTATTACCCAGGCTGGACAGAAGACGAGGCACTAGTAAGTCCATCGGGCAGCAGTGCCTCGGTAAAGGGGGACAATAGGCAGGATATGAAGACATCGCTGGTCAATATAGCATCATCGATGTCCAGATCAGAACAACCCATGCACTCTCCCTCATCTTCGTCGGGCCAGCTTCCGTTGTGCCAGTCACGGTGCCGTTCCCCTTGCTGGACGCCGCTCGGAGGACCTCCAGGGCCCGCAGATTTCGACTCCGCACGGCCCCGACCCGTTCTCCCTCCACCATTCAATCGCCGTTCCGTGCTATCTATGCACCCAGCCCAACCCCGCGACAACCACCCAGTTCCGGCTCATTTTCGTCCTCCTTGCAACTAGGCACCTAGCCCCCTTCACTTTTGCACACCCTTCTTCTGTATGTAAGAGCCTGCGTGGGAAGCCCTAAAGTGGACCACTGGTTTCGCATCTTGAGCCTCAGGGATCAACAGCTGTTGGCCAGTGGCCGCTGTTGTGAATCTAAGCAGCAGCAGAAGCGGCTACTGTGATGCACCTACCGACCTAGGTAACAGACGGTAGGTAAGCACGGCAGCCTCAGGTTGGGCAGCCGTACCGCCCGTCCGCATCCTCCCGCAGAGGCATGTGGCCGTATCTGGAGCAATCTCCCATCTCGCCTTGGCCATTCCCCAAGATACGCGGTAATAGCCGTGGTGACATATTGGCATAGCCCATGCATTATATGATGATCCTTGCGACCTCCATGCTCCCCCACATACACTTGCCGTTTACGTGCGCCTGCTGTGATGTGTTGTGCATAATGCGACGGCCAGCCCAAGTCGGTGACGGGAGATAATCATGAGACACCCATGTGGTTATAAACAGATTGCTTTCAACAATGAATACAGAAATTCGGTCGTATAAAACGAAATGACGTGTTATAATATGCCGTATTATCTTTTAGGTATGTATTATTAGCACCTAATAATCTTCGTAGTTCCAACATCACACACTTGCGGCCATGCCCATTTAACGTGGAGGAAGAAAACAAAAATAACCCGTTTTTTGGTGCTTCGCTATGGAACCTATGGATGCAAATCATGGGCCAACCCCAAAATTTCGGCATGAGCCTGGATTTCCCGCCCGCAAAGTAGGGGTTCCCTGCCGTTGAGCGGTGTGATAACATATCCCCCTACTACGCACACCAAGTGCCCTTCGCGTCGCCCATCCATGCATCGTGAGCGTTTCATACAAGCGACATTGGTTGGCTCATGACGGTGGGTTGTGGTGCCCTTTTTTGAAGTTTGTCGGCCAGGCGTGTCTTGCCTGGAGCCGAAAACGTCCTGTCTCGAAGAAAAAAGACCCGAGGCTATCCGTCCTTCTCTTACATTCTATCATTTTCTTTTACTTTGTATTGTGGCTTTGGAGACCCTTGTATATTTATTCCCGCCGGCTCATTTAAGAAGAATCAGTGATGAGCTTGGTGATCTTACCAATAGCAATAGTTTGTCCCTGCAGAGACGCAAAAGTTAGTAATGAAAACGCGAAGGGAAATGGGCAAGCTAGAGAGGCAGAGTGGAAAGCAAGAAGAGAAGTAAGATAATACTAACCTGATCACGGAGAGTGAAGCGACCCATCTGAGGGTAATCCTCAAATCGTTCGACACAGACTGAACCAGCACCGCCGATAATCTGCAGCCGGGCGATGATGCTGTCGCCCTTCTTGGCGTGGGTTGGGGGGTTCTTGCTCTTCCGGTTGGTTCCCTTCTGTAGTTTATGCATGAGAGAGGCAAAGGTAACTTCTTCGATAGCTGAGTGGACGTGAAGCACGCAGTTGAAACCCGAGGTCAGAATGCTCTTCAGGTCCAAGATTCGAATCTGAGCCTCGAATTCGGCAACGTTGTGGACCAGTCGCTTGGGGGAGCAGATGACGAAACCAGGCAGGATGTCTTCTTCCTCAATACCCTTGAGCCTGATGCGAACCTGGTCACCGCACTGGGCAATGGGGATTTCGTCTTCCTGCTCTCCGTATACTGCAGACACTTCCACCTTGTCCTTTCGGGGCATCATGATGAGGGACATGCCCTTTTTGAGAACACCAGCCTCGACCTTGCCATCAATCATGGTGCCCAGGTCTCGGTACTTGGCATTGACGGGCATCATGAAGGGTGCATTCACCTTTCGCTCAAGAGCCTGCATGTTGTCAAGGTACTCAAGCAGGGAAGGTCCCTCCCACCAAGGCGCAACATCCTTGGGGATTCGGTTCTTGATGTTCATGGAAACCTGAGCGGCCACGGGGATGAAGAAGACGTCATTCTTGAGGTTGTAGCCTGTTCCCTTCAAGAACTGGCCCAGCTTGGTTGTGCATTCCAGGTATCGGTCATGGGACCACTCCACAGTAGGGTCGTCCATCTTGTTGATGGCAACAATAAGCTTGTTCACGCCCTGAGTCTTGGCAAGCATAGCATGTTCACGGGTTTGACCTCCACGTTCGAATCCGGTTTCGTACTCACCCTTACGGGCAGAGATGACCAGAATACCGACATCAGCCTGTGATGCACCTCCAATCATGTTTGGTACGTAAGTCTTGTGGCCTGGGGCGTCCAGGATACTGTAGCGGCGCTTCTCGGTCTCGAAGAATCCTCGGCCAACTTCGATAGTCTTGCCCACTGAACGCTCCTCCTTGTTGATATCCATGACCCATGAAAGGTACCATGATTCACGGCCCATATCTTTGGCTTCCTTCTTGTACTTGTCCATGGTTCGCTCATCGACCATACCAGTTGACCAGAGAATAGAACCACCCAGAGTAGACTTGCCAGCGTCGACGTGTCCGATGAAGATGATGTTGACATGCTCCTTGCCGTAAATTTCCTTGAGGGTCTCCTGGTCGACGTCTGCAGCCTGTTCCTTCTGGACGGCATCGACCTCCCGCTGAGGCTTCTTCTCTCCGGGGCCGACGGGGCTTGAGCGACCCGAAGAGTTGGGGGAGGTCTTTCCGGAGGTCTTATCACCGGATGCGGCGGCCTTACCAGCCTTCTCTCCGGTCTTCTCGATAGCCTTCACGGCAGCAGCCTTCTGGCCAGCCTCAGGGGCGTTTGAAGGCTCGGGCTTGGTATCCTCCTTGGGCTTGGATGCTTCCTTAGGCTTGGCTGGGGCAGCTCCACCTATGGAAAGAACCTTGGCCTTAGGCTTGGGCGCATCTCCCCCAATGCTCAGCACCTTGGCACCTCCCTCCTTAGATACTTGGGGTTGGGCTGCGGCTGGGGTAGAGGCGGCTGGGGCAGCTGACTGTTGTGGTTGTTGTGGCTGTTGAGTCTGCTGTTGGCCGTACTGGGGGTATCCGCCACCTATGAGGATTATTAGCTCGATGTTTCTTGCAGAAATACCACAAGAGGGCGGATAGGCATACTGTAGCCCTGGTTGTTGTTGTATCCTTGGCTGAAGCCACCACCGTATTGCTGGAATTGGTTGAATTGCTGCTGTTGCTGCTGTTGCTGCTGCTGCTGGCCACCATACTGAGGGTAGTAGCCCTGCTGCTGATAATACTGCTGCTGCTGTTGGTATTGGGGCACGACATAAGGCTGTCCAGGTTGGAAGGTCTGAGCACCAGGTTGGAACGATGCGACACCTGGGCGGAAACTGCCCTGGGCGGGGTTCAAGTTTAACTGTTGCTGCGTCTGCCGTGACAGGTTCTCATCCTGAGCGGCCGGGTCGTCTTCCCAAGAGTTGAGGTGAGACATGGCGATCTAGGTTTCGCGAGGGAATGGTATAGAGTGTAGATTCGGTAGCGGCGCCGCACAGGGTAGTTGGTTGCGACGAGTGTATTCTCGAAGATGAGGATGGAGGGGAAGTTGCGCGTTGTTACGTGGGGTCGGAAACGCGACACTCGGCGAAACGACTCGAAAAGAAACAGGAGATTTTGGACGGCGAAAATCTCCGACTATCTCGAAGGCAGGACCGGTTTAGACAGGGTCGGTCGCGAGAATGGTCGCTCTGCCTGAAGTCTTTGAATTTAAGGTGATTGTGAAAATTCAAGCCCCACCACCATGACGCTGGGGGAGGAGAGTGGTCTTTTGGCCGCCCACTTTGTCCTTTGGAGGGGTTACCAAGCACTGTACGATAAGCGCATAAGAGCGCTCACTGCGGCCAGGCATCCACTACGAAAGCCCAACTACGAGGCAATTAGTGACTCAACAAGGCGCCTCATCCTGCCCAGGTGCGCATCATTTCATATCCAGAGCCTTCTGATATGCAGCCTTATGACGCGACTTCCCGTGAGTCACCCGTGGTAGCTCAAGGCAGCGCAACTCAATGGCGACAGGGTCAGTATTAATTAACGTGCATTTTGATAGTGCGCACTGTAGCCAAGCGGATGACAGCTCTCCATTGAAGGCAAATGTGGGTCCATCGCAGCCTGAAGTGAAGCATGCCACATCAGGTACTAACTGCTGGCACAGGTACATGGCAGCTACATAATTTTTGGCCTGTGAAACCAAACACAACAAATGCACAAATAAAGGTGAACAAAATTCACATTCACCATGCTGTGTATTCACCCGTGAGCTGAGCGTGCGCATGTCAATTTCTATTCTTTTCCCGCTGCGTTTGTTGATCCCGCCTTCATCCTCAGTCATGAAATTGCGGTCTCAGCACGCCCAGCCAAGATGGACGAGTTTCTGGCTACCCTTGGCGCCCAAGCCATGAAATACGCCATTAGATCCGGGATTGGCTTGACATCATCCTATGCCATCAGCCAGTGTTCACGGCTATTAAAAACAGCACCAGCGCGGGATCATGATGTAACTGCACAACTTCGGACATTGGAAAAACTGCTGGACAGCAAAATCAAGGTAGTGTCCCCGGCTATCGACCTCGTAGAATTCAAGTGAGTGCAAGTTTCTTGGGCAGCCATCGAATGTTTCTTATTTCTCACCAACATAGACTTTGAAACTAACCATGCTATAGAGCTGGTCGTGGCAATGTTTTTCTGGATTCAGCCCTCCCTCTGGCAAGCTCTCTTCACCGAGAAATTACATCCTTGGGTCAGCGAATCGAGGCCATTGTCGCCAAGTGGGAGGCCGAGGGTTCTGAGAACACTACTCCACGGAGTGCTCAGAAAGGTAGAGAGGACATCGTCAAGGTCGTTGCCGATATCAAGGCATTGCTAGATCGGATCGATCGAGAGATTCCGCTCCTGCAGTTGGCCATCTCAGCTTCGGGAGAAAGCCTATCGTCTTCTTTGCCTGCCAGCGTTTCACCTTCGAGGCTTCTGCAGGCAAGTACCTTGTTAACTGTCGGAGACACACAGTTTGCGCGGGACCCAGCTTATCCTGTTCAGATTGGTCCCATGTTCAAGTTGTCTTTGTATTTGCTGTTTCTCGGCCATAGCTCTCCCGTCGCCCAGAGTGCACAACCTACAGACTTGTCCTTACATCACGGATCCCCAAGAAAACCCTCGACTCCACAGGCGAGGCCAACAGATTCTTGGCAATCGCAGGGGAAGAAACCAATCTGGCAAGAAGTCATTCATAAAGCAAATGTGCGTCTCTGTCGGGCTCCTCAAAATGCTACTTCGATAGAGGAGTTGGCCGTCAGACCAGGTGCTCAGATAGAGTATGAATATTACCTGGAGATCATTGAGGATCTTGATGACGGGCGAGTACATGCCGATGCCAACCAGGAGCCTGGTGAGCTCCAAGGATCACATCTACAGGAGCGAATTCCTCTCTACCAGTTGTCTAAGATCTTTTACACCGATAGTGGAAAGATACTAAATATAGGATCAAATTCGGAGTCTGGAAGAAAGCCCATACTTCTGCTCAAGCGTGATGTGAGTGCAAACCATCCTCGTTCGAAAGAGGAAATGGTGAGATCACACCTACCGACAGGCGCAAGCCATGGTCCTATAGAGGCAAGCGAGATTGATTTAGCCGAGGAACAAGCTGCACTTGATCAACAGCTGTTGTCAGAAGAAGCTCTGGGACAGGAACCCCGGTCCGTTACCGAAAGTTCTTCGTTCCAACACCGACGATGGGGATTTCCAGACTACCTCGACCCAGCATGGATAGCAATGGAGATGTTTGAAGAGCCATGTGAGAGTGACGATGACGAACCCGAAGACGAGGAGGACATCGAGGAAGTAAATCAACTTCCAAGTAACGGTTTTTTAAATCAACCTTGCAATCAAAACCATCATACGTGGGATGGTTCCGAGGCTTCAGTTGTCTCAGCAAATTCCGAGTTAGAGACTCAGATCCATAACCTATCACTCCGGTCACCCTTACCATCTGACCAATATATTGGGGAAAAGCAGACTAGCATGGATCAGATTTTACCTGTTGCCACGGGGAGTTCCGGAAGCTTCATGTCTCGGTCACCTTTTGATGCCATCATTACCTCCCTCTCTTTAATTGAGATGCTCATCCGCTTAGCGAGCCTTCAAGAATTCCAACAAGCGTCTCACCTATCAATTCCTGATCATGTTATGTCCTTCTTTCTAGAAGAGACTTCGTCTACGGGTTTGTCGGGGGAGGCGGGTTGGAAAATGCGAAAGGAGGCGAGAGAACGCGTGGGATTTGACCCCTATTCAGATATCCCCAGCGACGATTAGAAGCATGCCGTATTTCCCGGCTTGCTCAACAAAAGGTCGACTCTTGCCTTATTTTCTCTTCGAGGCGTCAGCGGGTTCAGCGGTACCAGGTTTCCATAGACAAATGAAGAGCTTGCTAGTCAGCAATGCCTGGCATCCACGTACATGGCCTTTTACCCGAGCATTATCATTTTCTTGCTTTATCCTGATTCTGATTCTAACGCATCTCCAAACTTGGAGATTCTTCTACTTGGTATTTGTGGAACAGAATGAAAGCCTGTAGTTGGTCGTATGCTTAAGAGTGTTCAACGAGAGTTTAGTGGTGCTTTAACTGATACTGCGCTAGTCTTCGGGGAATACCATAAGTTGGTAGGGATCGTAAGCTGTCATGATAAGGCTGCCTGCCGTAGACAGGTGAAGGTCTCATGGATTCTATCGTAAGAAATGAGATGTTTCATATATCTTTACCGAGGGAAGAGTGCACAGTTCAGCTGTGAATCCTCCCAACAATTCTGCAACCCCGCAATTATACTTGTTGAGATGACGTCCGCGACGCCACGCATTTGTCTACCAGCTTGTCTGAGTGCCGTAGGTAGTACAAAAAAGCCTACGAAATAACCTCTTGCCTATAAGTTCTTGCACAAATAGTCTCTTTTTCCTTTAAAATACTAAACGCTTCAACGAGTAGACTTTTTCTCATTGTTCAAAGCACGGCAGTCATATCTACTAACCACCACATTTTTCTGTCCTTGCTTCACAAGAAAATCCATGACGTACAACTCACCACTGCTTCAATCTCGACCGCCATTATGAAACGTCTTCTCCCAAGAATGCATCTCTTCGAGATAGATGACCAGCCATGGTAGGAAAATAAAAATTCTGCTTCGGATGGCAACACATATTGACATCAGCATCCAGGTTCCCTCCAATCCTTCGCCGCGCTGTACAAGCAGCACTCACGCATGCATGGAGACTGAAAACGCCCATTATCCAGCCAGTCCCTCCAGCTCAATTTGCTGGACAAATTCTCATCCGTGAGCTGGGCCCATCTCTATCTCAGTATACATTTGTCGACTTTTGTGCCGGGGCCGGTGGCCCTACGCCATACGTCGCTCGGGAGGTCAATACATATCTTGCCAGCAAAAACGAGGAGCCCGCCACCTTCGTGCTCTCCGACATCCACCCCAACCTGGAGTCCTGGGAGAGGATTTCTCGGCTCAATCCCCAGGTCAAGTATGAGCCCACGTCAGTGGATGCCGCCAGAGCCCCTCCACAGCTCGTGCAGCGAGGTGACGGCAAGAAGCTCATGCGACTGTTCAATCTCGCTTTCCACCACTTCGACGATAAGCTGGCCAAGGATATTTTGCGAGACACTGTCAAAACCAGCCATGGATTTGCCATTTTCGAGCTGCAGGATCGAAGTTTCGCGAGCTTTGTCGCAGTCACACTTCTGTTGTTCGTGGCTTTGGGCTGGGCCCCAGTGCACTCTCTCAAGACGAGATCCCCAACCACCTTCTTCTTCACTTGGATCATCCCCATCATCCCATTTGTTCTCATTTACGATGGGTACATCTCCTCACTACGGACTCGCGAGCCTGAAGAAGTCGAGGCTTTGCTCCGTAGTTGCGGTGCGAACACCAGCGCGTGGGAGATAAAGAGCGGGCGGGAACTTCATGCATGGCCAGTCGGCTACATCAGCTGGGTCGTGTGCAGGCCAATCGGGGAGAAGCGCAGATTTGCGATTGAGTGATGTTTCAATATTTTCCCGGTGGAGGTATCGTGACTCTTATACATTTATCCTGGGCTGAAGATCCCCGTTGATGTACAATAGAATACAGAGCCAGGGCCAGCGCAGTGTGGCAAACGCTGGCTCGATTACAGCAAAATCATCGAAACCACCAATTCACAGACCCATTGAGATGCCCCATTGAATTCTTGCTCTTCACTGAATGCCACCACCCCTTTGGAATAAATAAAGCATCCCCTGGAGCCAGGTCAACTTCCAGAAGATGATCTGATATCTTCTCATTGGCCCATATGGCCTCGTGAAGCGCCACTCTCTCCTTTCCTTCCATCATTTCTGTTGTCCGGATACGGCTGTTACCATGCTGGCGGATCTTGGCTTGGACTTCAAAGTATACACGGTCGCCAATGGTAGGTGGCAGCAATCGCATTATCTTGTGGCTGCACAATTGGTAAAACAAATTTGGATTTGGGTCCCGATGGATAGGTGTATAAGTAGGTTCTGTCCCAAGCCATATGCTTGAGCTGTACACATCTCCCTTTCCCGCATGCTGGACAAGATGTGGGGTGGGCAGGTCCTCTTGCAGCGCTGGGGGCAGATCTGTCAGGGATGATTGCGCAATATAAAGAAGTACGGGCGCGTCATCGTTCTCAATCGTAGTCTGATTGAACTCCAGGGCCTTTTTTAGAAGCCTCAGGGGAGCATATAACTGAAAGAAGCTTCGGTCCGGCAGCTCGCTTATAGCTGGTTGAAGTATTTCAACTAACATCTGATTTGTGACATCCTGTGTCTGGAGCAACCAGTCCCGGAAGGCGACAAGAGAAGGATTTTGCTCTGATGGTTTGGAGACCAGCTCAAACGGAAATGGCCAGTCCAGATACTGTGCCAAGGTAGTGGATAACGTATATAATGGAACAGAGGATATTTTATCACTGATGTTCTCAAACCACTTTGAAGCAGCAGGTAAATCAGACTTGTCTCCATCTTTCGAAACATTGCGAAAATGAAACGGGTTTCCAGAGTTGAAAGCATTTTCCCTGAACATATCAACATCTGTCAAGGCCTTTAAGTTGGTTGTTGATGCAACTGCTTGCAGCCGTTTCGCCGCTGTGTAATGATAATAGCGAAGGCATGTAGCACCTCGTAGCAGATATCTTCCCATCTGATAGGTCGAGCCTTGAAAAAGAAAATGTAAAGGATTGATTTGACGGAATATCTTGAAAAATGAAAATAGAAAATTAAGACAATTAAGAACTGAATGGTGTGATATTGATTATAGCTGTCTATCTCGTCGTGAAGCTGGTCCAGGGTGGCCGGAGCGGCGAAACTTATACCCCGGTCCCGCTACCCTGGAGCGAGATGATTGCAGAAAGCTTGGCTTGGAGGGGTTTCCAACATCAATCCGCCCGCCCACCAATCCACTCAGCTAATTCACCCAAGACATCTCAGGCTTCAAAGCGTGGTGCATCGTCCCTGCGCGCCCACACCCACCAACAGCCCCTCCCCCATTCAGCGCCGAAAATCAAAACGAGAGATTCGGATATTCCGTGTCGCTTACCTCGCACCTCGCTATTCGCTTGCCGCCAAACAAGGGTTCGCATCGAGTGGGCGCCTTACGAACTACTGCGCGTCGAAGCCCACACTTTCCCAACCATATATCCCAACCACGCAATTTTCTCCCTACGACCTGGAATAGCTATACCGGATAGGCGCACACCGGGACCGTCTTCCCTCTGTGCACCTTTTAATCCGAGGTGGCCGCCAGAACATATCACCTAGTGCGAACGCTTTCAGCAGCCTTGTGACCGGACCACTTGCTATCATTTGGCGCCATGTCGTCCTCCTCTGGGGTTCCAGAGTCTTGGATCTCCAGCTTTTGTTCGCTCATCGGCCATGAATATTTCGCCGAGGTATCTGAGGAGTTTATTGAAGATGACTTCAATCTGACGGGCCTGCAAACGCAGGTTGCAATGTACAAGGAAGCACTAGAGGTGGGAGTTTTCTTATTACCATGATATCAGAGTCGCAAGAGTACTAACCTGGTGGATACAGATGATTCTCGACGTGGAACCAGAAGATGACGAAGACGAGGAAGAGGAAGAGGAAGAAGACGAGGACCAGTCAGCTTTGGGCGATGCCCTCACGGCCCGAGAGCGGAGGCACCACAGCCGAATGGCCAGCGATCTTTCCGTGATTGAGTCATCAGCGGAAATGCTCTATGGTCTTATCCACCAGCGTTTCATCTGCTCCCGGGCGGGGATACAACAAATGAGTGAGAAGTATGAGTTGGGTCACTTTGGGGCTTGCCCGAGAACAAACTGCGAGCAGGCGAGGACGTTGCCAGTTGGGTTATCGGACATCCCTGGTGAGGACACGGTGAAGCTGTTCTGCCCTTCCTGCCTTGATGTCTATGTTCCACCCAACAGCCGTTTCCAGACTGTCGACGGCGCTTTCTTTGGCCGCACATTCGGTGCCCTCTTCCTCCTCACATTCCCCGACTATGATCTAACCCGGCGGGGCAGCGAGGTGCTGTCAGGGACGCTTTCGCGAATCTCTGGAAATGAACCCCAACTAAACGGCTTCTTCGAGAAGAATATTGCCCCAAACCTAGGCACGGGCCACATTTATGAACCTAAGATATATGGGTTTAGGGTTTCTGAGCGCGCCCGTTCAGGTCCCCGGATGCAATGGTTACGAGAACGCCCCAGCAACATCAGAGATTTGGACGAGGCGAGGCTGTACGCCGAGCAGAACCCGGATTCGGAGGAAGACGACGAGTCGATGAACATGAATGGAAGAGTTGTGGTCCGGCGGCGAGGTCCAGGAAGCGCTCGCTTACGGCAACGGCAGACTCAAAACGGCAGCCCCATGGCTCTATCCGCCAACGGCGCCGAGTCTGAGCTGTAGCGAAGCCCGACTTTCGCGACTGGCCAGAAACGCAAAGCCGCCGAGGCTACCAACACTCAAGAGGGGAAGAGGACTTATGCTCTTCGGCCTCGCCGCGCGCACAAATCTCAGCGGCATTAGAAGCACTTGTACGTGTGTGACCGTCGCTAAGGCCATCTTAGCTCTGCCGTACGGAGAGTCTACACGACAAGTGCTACAATATCAATACCCATCTTTTCTTCTCCTGTCATCATGGGGGTTTGTGACAGCATCATGGTGTTTGGAGTGTATCGAAAGAGATTTCTATAAGTGAACCAATCAATTTTGGAACTTAGAACGAATTCCGTGACGAATTGGTTCAGCTCGGGAGACGTTGAATACTATGCTGGCGTAAAGGAAAAGAATCAATAGAGTCACAACAGCCAATATAATGTCGTTTCATAAGCAATCCTCATTGAGTGGTAACCAGTCGTGATGATTCATATATGTATTCTTTTCTACAACGGCTTGTCTCTTGGCTCGAGAACGACACTGAGCCACACTGGCTCAGGCCTGCCACAAGTCACCATTTTTCGGTAATAATTAGATACCAGTCTGGCCAGGGAAGCTCGTTCATATCGTAGGTAATTTACGCTCACGAGTATTAAATTCATTTATGGTGATGCATCTAACTTTCTCAAATGTACCTCCTTGTCGCTTTCTATAACAGCCTCATCTCGGCTCCACTGTAGATCTTGTTTAATGCAGTAAACTCAACATCCTTATCTCATTGGAGAACCCTTCCCGGGCGTCCAGTTCGTTCCACCCCCAAAGCCTACTCCAGACGGTGTCGTCCTAGCAGGTGTGGTTGGTCCAGACACGCCCTCAACTGGCAGCGGAGGCGTGTCAGTCCTCTTAATCCCCTGGTCATCCTTCCTAGGTGGCTTGAAATTTACATCTCGGCCTGCACGGTATATATCCTGCAGCATTGCGTCGAGGATGCCAGCGTCTTCAAACTCCAGGTATTTTCTATATAACTTGAGCGCAGTCCGAGAATCCTCGATTGAGTCGTGAGTTTCCATCTGGATGTCCTCTTTTAGTAGGTACCAAGCCAAGAAGGCTAAGGAAAGCTTGCGAAGGCGCGATTTTAGGAAGAATAGATCAATGGTATCGATAACTTGGACCTTGGGAATGTGGATGTTGATGACTCGAAAGTCTTGTTTGAGACCGTGACCCAGAAACTTGCAACCAAGGTTGAGGAGAATCCAGAGCTTCTTGTAGGCTATTTTTAGCGGTAGCAGGCTGTGCTTGGATATCCGAGGGTCCAGGTCTTCCTGGGTAATACCCGAGTATGAGGTGAGATAATCGACAATAGGCTCTCTTATAGCGATATAGTCGTCAATCAGAGGCAATCCTTCATCCTCACCCTGACCCCGAACAACAGACACTCGAGCGAGAGCGTACACTATGGGACGGATGGTTTCCCGCTCGCCGTCCGAGTTCATTTCAATCTCGGGCTGTCGGACAGCAACAAATTCAGTATCAAGAGCGATGATTGTGTTCGGACCAGGACGCTCGGTATCCGGCCGGAGAGTCTGATATGTCCTGTTCTCAATGTCCAGCATCGGGCTGATTGGCTTATTAGTTCCGCCACTAGGTACTGTGCAAATGAAAGAATGGTGACTTACGTTAAATCCTGATAGAGTAGGGAGGTGTCAAGATGCTGTTTCCAGTCGGTATCGATTTTGTTGTTGGCCTCTTTCATCTGGAAGGCTAAAACTGAGGGGATTTTCCATGAAGAGTTAAACGTGAGAGCCTCCTCTGTGCTTACAGAGCGAACAAGGAAATCATTGAATAGATGCCACTGGCTCTGGGCTGGTGCCTGTGGCTCAGCATGTGCAACTAGATTTGGTGAGCTTCGAGTACCCATTATTCGGGAGAGAAAGAGCAACATACCGTTCACCATGGCCACAAGATGAGGTTTCTGAACTTGGCCACTACCAATGTTGATGGCCATGCCCACCAAAGAATACACTGTAATGTTGTGGATCCCTCTTTGCAAGTGCAGCTTCAAATCCTCCCCTTCATAGCAGAAGAATTGTCCTTGCTCTACAATGATGCCTATTTCTTCGGGCAACCACCCCGGGGTAGACCAAAGCATTCTGTGATCTTGGCTTGTTACCGCAGTATTGAGCATCATGACAGCCGGGATGCTGTGAACGGTTTTTCGTGTAGCTATCGTCTGATACCGCTGACATCGGCTGCACCAGCCTTTGGAAGTGGTCTCTCGTTCAACACTGCTCTTCAGGACTTCTGAAAATGTTATCCTTGGCATTTTCGTAGTCCTGCCTGGAGTTTTCTATAGCATGGCTCATCAGTAACCTGGGTCCAATATTAACCCCCCTCTTTTGCGGGAAGCCTTCAAGGACAGCTTACAATAGACGGATACAGCAAATCGTTTACAAATGTCGAACCGGGTCGAGTGTACTCGCTACGGCAGTTCATACATCTAATTGAACTCGTAGCAGCAGTAGATAGAACCTGATATTAAGATATGAGCATGAGTGCTTGGTTGAGATAAAGGCGTGCGGCAATTACCTGCTCCATTGTAACCGGCGAGGGCGCCATTGATTTGAAGTCGTGGACGATTTTGTCCAAGAGAAATCGTGTTAAGCCTTGCAGCATCACGTTGAGGGACGAACCGTGTGGATCTTCCTCTAGCAATCCCAACGGGCCAGCTATGAGTCAAGTTAGCATCGCTGCTAGTTATCTCTTGTGAGAGGAACCCTAACCTTGCGGGTGACTGCTCAGAGTCTTCAATAAGTTAGTCGCCTGGCAGATAGAGCCCTCGGCTTTTTGCAGCATGTCAAACAAAAATCCAAGCTCGCATAGTAAGCATATTTCACTGATACAGGCCGTTGCAGTGTGCTGAAGGGCTAAATTTCGTATGAGAGGGGTGAAATGTAGGATCTGAAGTAGTGAGTTGGCGTAGGAATTTGAGATATGGATTTCGAGACCAGAATAACGGGATTTATTATAGAAGCTTCAAGAATTAGCCCGTTGTTGCCAGTGGGCTCGTTGAGAGGAGAGACATACCCAAAGTCAAAATCATCAACTCCAAATTTGCTGTACTTGATTTCGACATTTCGATACATGACTGGCACCTCCGATTTTTTACTCTCATTGGACGATTCGGCACCGGTGTTAGAGAGCTCATCCGGTTTATCATCGAAAGCTGTCACCCTTGACTGAGCTGATTCGCGAGCCTTCTCACTGAGAAATTTTGGTGCTTTCAAGCCTGAATTGGCGACTTTGTCCATATCACGGGTCTTCTCGGCCTGATTTCTTCGCAGACCGCGAGAGTTTCGACCATAGAGCCCGAATTCTGCGGGTTTCAAACCGGACAAAAATTGACTGTCGAACTTGACGGGAGGGGCTCCAATGTCGCATATTAGGCCTGGCCATGCTGATGCTAGGACTTCGCGGTAATAAGGAAGACCAATAGAATTCAAGGGACTAGATTTGGATTATTAGCGTAAGGTCATTATCGATCTGAATGTAATTGAGACAAACGTTTCTGGGGTCCATTCAATCTGTGGGATAGGCTCCTCAGGTGTTGCTGAATCAATGGGCCCGGGAAGATCGACAAAATGGAGCTTGGATGGTGAACCCCATAGATGGATGAAGCACTCGGCGTCAGTCAAAGCCATGGCTTCTCCCGATGGTGCGATCTCGAACATGCTCAAGTATGTCAAGACATTAGCTTGTCGAACATTGCTAGTGTTCGGATTCATCAAGTCCACAATATGCATTTGTCCACTTTGCGAGACAACTATGCTGGTGGTGAGCATTCTAGGATGCATACGAACGTACGCAGCGCCTGCCGGGAAAGGAATTGGGGGCATAGAAGACATCTTTTTGATATCGAAAACGTTGAGAAAGGGGTCGAGAACAAAATTCTGCCCTTGTCTAAGAGAAAATCCACATGTCACAATAAAATCATGCTGAGCATCCATGTCGTTGATCAAGGCCGAGTGCGCATTCCAAGATTTAATGACTGAAAAGTTGACAGGATCCAGGAGGTTGACTGAACCATTCTTGGTGGCAGCGCAGATATATCGACTCCGCCTCATTATTGTATATTGATGCTCCGTTGGAACCTGCTCAAGTTAGTAATCTCTGCCTTGTCACGGTGCAGGTGACTAACCTGTTTCATGACTTCACCCTTAGTGAGGTCGATGACAAACATCTTGTCCTGGAGTCCAGCAACGATGATTTCCGATGTCCCCTTGGATGTAAAGCTCATGCACCGTAGGTCTTTCATATCCTCATGTCTGCCACCCAAGCCCTTGTCAGTTTGCCATTGAACCATAAGCGCAAAGAAGCAATGTCTCAGAACCTTATATGCCATAACGGAGGGCCTCTCCTCTGTGCCATGTGGACATCCTTTGAGCCAAGCACGATAACACCTTTGTCATTGACCAATATTTGCCGAACTGCACCATCAACAGTCAGATGGGCCTTGAAGGAGGTGTATCGTTGCAACTCGGTCCCGTAGAAAGAAGAAACCCGGCCCTATTTCAATCAGACATGTTTCGTGGCGGGTTCAATGTGACGGTGCTGTCATACGTATTCGTTACCCGTCCAAAGAAGCTCTTGCGACGTGTCGAAAGTCATTGTTGTAACCGCCGATGGCAGTGCGTGGACGCCCGGGGGCGGGAATTGAATCCGGACGACCTGACCTCCAGAAACGCATTAGAAAAACATATCTTAATCTCCAGGAGCTCAAAAGCGCCCTCCGCCTTCGCGTGGGGGGGCAGGAAGGCAGGCATGTGAAGCTGGTCATACCTCATCCCAATCTCCGTCCATGATGAATGAATGAACATTCTCTCCAATATCGTATAGCTGGGGGGATGGAAGCGATGTTTTAAGACGATATATAAGGTTGTGTCGCGACCATAGTGCCCCCAGCGGTGGGTGACAATGCAGCAAGCGGGATGCGGCGCGCGGAGTCAAGTTGGATGTTGGACGTTGGCAGGCAACGCGAAGGAACGTTGGAGGGGCACTTGGCGAAACTGGGGTACCTAGGGACTAGGGTAGGTCGGTAGGAAGCTCTAGCAAGCACTGCTAACTTATCGGTGGTAGGTGGGGTTTGCCGCGGCGGTTTGACATCAGATAGCCAGGTACTCGTCAACACTAATGGATTTTACGCAAGATTAATGTACCAACCTATCATCGCTTTCATTTATAGGACGATCTCGCATGGCTGGTATGTCTCTTGCTTCCATAACTTCTTTCCCTTGCTCGGTCTATTTTCATGCTATCTGGTATATTGTGAAACTAATAGCAGCTACTTCGATAGCAATGCCTGGAAACGGGTCAATGTCGTCTTCAAAGCTAATTTCAACCTTCCACTTTGTCCTGGTCATTTTTCCAATTTCGTCCCACAAACGCTGGAAGCTGGCTTGGCTGTGAAGATATGGGATTTCATCTGCGGGTGAGCAGACATCCTTTATCCCCGCCTGCCTTCCATATATCAATGCGTTCTTAGTCCCCTGTTTTAAGAATGCGACCAGGCGGCACCCGATGTAGAGCTGTTGGGTCCAATTGAAGAGGTGAAAGAAGCTATCGGCGTGGATCATGGTGACCATTCCCTGAAGTTGTAAAGGGCGCTTATCATCAGGATCAGCCATGTCCCCGATCACAAATGTAGCTTTGAATTGGTCTCTATCGTTGAATAAATCATAACCAATGTCTATCAGCCTGGGCTCGATATCAATCCCAAAGAGCTGTGAGCTGTCGACGCCATCAGCATGGAACTGCCTCAGTGCTTGTCCAACACAGCAGCCAAGGTCTAGGAGAGCGTCCCTTGATTTTGGAAGACGAAGTCGGAAGAGGACCTGGCGATAGCAAGCATCTGAGGTGTCAGTAAGACGGAGAAATTTCCATCTGCCAATGCACGGGAATTTCGTAACCTTCCAGGCCTCTTCTCTCTACACAACCAGGCCGTATGAGGCTTGAGTTAGCAGATATTGCATGGGCAAATACAGGCGAAGGAATTCATGGAGAAGAACAACAAACGCACAATACGAAGAAGATGCTGATCTATCTCATCTTGAGGAATGTTGCTGTAGGTATGGAGCAGAGCACGGATCGGCCCAGTGTCGTCAGGAAGTCCAGGTATAAAGGCCCAATCACGGATTTGCGTAATGTCCATGCCTTTGGGGGACAACCTGGGAGTAAGACGGGGGGGCAGGAGGCTGCGCTCCGTCGCCCATGGAAGTCCCGGAAGAGGTTGAGCCACGTCGAGCTTCACAGGCCTCTAACCCAGTGACGCGGACGTCAGGCTAGAAGAATACACGGGAGATAGATGCAAAGCGAGGCAATGAATCTCATGGCGGGCTAAGTCGGCAATAATAAAGTCTGGGCTGGCCTGTGGTTTGCTCATTGTCAGCAAGGCCGCCTCGGGATGGCTGTAGGCAGAATGCAGGAATCGTCCCACTGCTGAAGCGCCGAAGATATCCACAAATTGCCTGATCCATCTCGCTACAACCTGGCCTGTCACATATTCATGTTATCAAGCTAATTACCTGCCCCATCTCATCCAACCATGCTGCGCCCAAGGATTCGCATTGGAAGGACATTGTTTCTCCTTGCATCCTGCGGTCTGGATACCACGTAATCATTCTTCCTAGTCGGGGCCCGGCCGCTTCCTCTACGCCTTATGAATACCCCCGTGCGGCCCGGCTGATTGGAGGCAATCTGCAATGAGATCCTTGGGAGCAAAGATCGATACATTTCTAGGGCTGGCAGGCGACTTTGAAAGTATGGCTTTTATGTCCTCTTCGGCTTCGATCACCTGGTTTGCTTACCTCCATGCAGATTCTTTTCGTTCATCAGTCACGCAGCGCATTACTCGTAGTCACATGGGGAGATAAGCCCTCTAATGCGTGTGGTCGTAGCAACTTCACTTACAGATTGATTTTCTCAAAGTATCATGGCAGCCAACTTCGATGCTGGCTCCTGGCGGCTCGCCCCCACCATGTTCCTTTACAAAGACATCATTGTACCGAGAGTGACGAATAGATGCGGAAGTGCCTCCTCGATCTCACCGTTCCATTCACTGTGTTAGCGCCAACCACCCATATGCAGGTTCATGGATAATCTAGGTACGAATCCCTGAAGCTTTCGGCCCACTAGCTTGAATCAGATAGCTCTTTCTCGTCAGGTGGACTCTTTGAAGATAAAACGAGCACCCACCCAAGAGTTGTTGTGGCCCCTCTTTGTTGTTGTGAAAAAGCGAAGACGTGACCCTCACAATTCCTCGTATGGACGTTTCCTGTGCTGGCAGGTGTGCGTCCGGGATATGAGCTTGGAGCTTGGGGCAGCTCGCAATATGGCTCCTAAGGCCATGTGGATATCCACACTCTTGTCTAGGAGGTTAAGATGAAATAGGTGAAGCATTATGTTGAGTTGGGCTTGAAATTGAGTTTGCGCCTCACACACTAGGTATTATCTCCGACGTGGATGATGCTATTCCCGAATGAACGCATGGCAAAGTATGCTTTCGGAATTGGGGATTGTTCCAGGCTCGTTCTCTGATATCCGGCCCTCAATGCTCCGGAAAGTTCATCATATAAGAGTGAGTCGTAATTTTCTGAACATCAACGGTTTCTTTAATTCCCTTTTCCCTTGCAAAAAGAGATGGTAATGTAATGTGACTGATCGCTTATATCTAAACTAAAGGGCAAACAAGAGTCTAGACCGCAATGTTCATTCACAACGTATTCTTCTTCTCTTCCAGCACCGCATCGCGTCTTCATGTGACTTACCTCTTCCCACAAGGCCATGTATATACATGACCTTGAGCATCCTCCCGAGCTGTCCGAACTCCCAGGCAAATAGATCTTAGAGGCTTACAGTTTTGTCGGGCCGAGTAGAGAACTCTGTGGATGACTAATAGTATTGTCTGTCTTAATCGGTATCGTATCTATGGATACCTCCCGAGGTGAACTCGACGATTGCTTTGAAAACTGTTTCTATCCAATTCCTTTGAAGCCTGAGGGAGGATGTTGGGTTTGACTGCTTAAGTAATCAGAATGGGCGCGATCAGCCGAGTATTTTCCGTGACGCCGAAAATTCTTCCACTCCGTGCTCTGGATCCTCCAGAGCACAATCGCAGCCAGTGCATTTCCACGGGGCCGAGTTCTTCCTATTCCGTTGACCGCGGCGCGTCGCATTTATCATCATCCGAAGAGAGCCTTGGTCAAGGTACGTTTAAACGTCAACACCCCTCATGCTACGGCATAAGAAAACCCATGCTGTTGCGCCATTTGTGGTTGACACGAATTGCGCTTCTGTCGGCCTTTGCATGGCCAATTTCCACTCCGCGCACAACTGACAATATGGCTTCAGATCAGTGCAGCGCGCGCTGTTGCTCGTCGCATTTAAGACCCTGCGCTTGCGGCTGATTCTTCAATTGCTTCATGAAGCTCTGCCAAGCAAAGCCGGTAGCTTCTCCTCCTCTCACAACCTTGGCCGGTTTTCCATCCACCACCCGATTGTTACCGATACAACATACGAATTTTTGAAAAAGCTGGGGTGTTGATCGCAATGAGCGCGGAACAAGAGGAAGCGCCCGAGACGGCCAATGAAGTCAGATATCCGTCGCCTGGCGCAGAGGCAATGGATGCTGGGCCCTTCTACCATACTGGTGGTCGCGACCAAGAGCATGATCAGCCAGATCATCATCAATCTGAAGAGCTCACAGATCATGGCCAAGCGAAAGATCAGAATCACACCGAAATGCACCACTCCGAGTCTATCGCATCTCATCAACATGCAACACGTCCTCCAAATCTGGAAGAGCTCCAGCTAGCTGCGCAATTGGGCAATGGATTAGCTGGAGCATCAATGATGCCTGCTCCCGACCCCAACCTCAGTACAGATCCTAATATGAATACGGATCCCAACATGAACGCGGATCCCAACATGAACACTGATCCCAACATGAACACCGACCCGAATATGAACACAGACCCGAACATGAACACCGATCCCAGTATGAATATAGACGACCATGGGCTTCGCAACATGATGCCACCCCCCGACGAGCAGCATACACCTTCATACCTACAAGATACCCCAACCTCGGATTCCATGGTACCTCATGGTTTGGTCATTGGGCCCACCCTACCGCCGCATTACGGGCTGGGAGATGGCGTTCCGCCTAGAAAACGATCGAAGGTCTCTCGGGCGTGCGACGAGTGTCGTCGTAAGAAAATAAAGTGTGATGCTCAATCGGATAACGGCGAGACACCATGTTCAAGCTGTGCGCGTTCGTCGACTAGATGTTTGTTTAGTAGGGTGCCTCAGAAGCGTGGCCCGTCTAAAGGGTAAGTGCAACATCTTAAAAACTCCATACAAAATAGGGTAACTGATCAGTGTGTATGCGCGGGGGCAGATACATAAAGGAACTTGCGGACAGGATCCACAGCATCGAGAACAAGCTTGAGTCTGAAGGGGGACTCACCCATGAAGATCTCAGTGGTCTTTTTAGCACCGATCGACCCCGAAACCTCAATGTTGGCACCGACTCAAATAAGAAACGGCCTTATTCTGGCATATCTGGGGCTGATTTTGACTCACCTTCCTCTGGTCGACAGGCCCCTTGGGGAGCAGAGTCCAGGCCGATACAACCTCCACCCATCCCTTCCGAGAACAATGTTTCGCTGCATTATAGCGCCGAATCACTTGCTCCCCAGGCCTCAGCCGTTCAGGGCGACATTTCTTCCAAGCAGTCTGAGCCTCCACTTGACATACCCATACCAGAAGTTGAAGTTCCTGAACTTACAGATGGGATGCTGCAAGAGTAAGTCTCCTCAAGTCTAAAGCTCTCACCAGTTGATTCTAACCATATCACAGCTATCTTGCCACAGTACAGCCATTGTATCCCATTCTTCCATGTAGTAAACAGCGTCTTGATCAGTTGTTAGAAGCGTGTCCTTCTTTAATCAGAACAGCATTTGTACACGCCCTTTTGGCCGTTGTTCAATCATCATCGGGTATGGTCAAGCTGGCAAGTTCATTACTCAATGAATGGGAGAGTGGCCATGCCCCCCGAACAGCAGCAATCAACATCGTTCATGCTCAAACCATCCTTCTCTTGGTCATTGATGCAGACTGGCGATGTTCCCCGACGGTCTCATCGCTGTTAGCTCGTGCCGTGGCGCTGGCTAATAGCATGGGCCTCTGGCGTTACCCAAACATGGAGCTGGCTTCCGAAGTCGACTCAGACGACAATCTTTCTGTGCGTATATGGTGGTCTCTTGTCGTCATGGACCGTTGGCACGCAGTGGGAACTGGCCGTCCAGTCTTAATAACCATGCGTAGTGTGGTGCCACCCGCAGGGCTAGATATAGTGCTGAGCGACGTGTCTTTTTACCTCTCGCGTAAGTGTGCTTTTTATCTTCGTTCAACCTTTTCTTTTCTGACGATGTAATTCACAGGGCTTTCAAGGGTACTAAACCGAGTGTCGGAGGTGATTGTGTCACTCGGACCCACCTCGCCCACGACGGAGTCGATGAATGCCGGAGTTTTGACAGATTTGGTTGAAGTCTTCCGTGAGGATTTGCCAGCCCGCATTGAGCCCGCATCACATGCACTGGTGCACCTGTCCTACTGGCACTGCCGGCTTTTGATTATACTCTTGACGCCGGGAGCAACGGCGTCGGAGCTTATTTGGCCGCTGAGGGAACTGGTTGACCTCCTGACGAGGAATTCAGACCTGCGAAGCCCACTGGCCAACCATTACACCTCTCTCATCATCTTTGCCTCAGCTAAGCTTATCAACATTGATTCTTGCCGGGATGAAGCAAGCCAGCTCAGTAGAGAGATTCTAGAGAAGCAAGGGGGAGTGTGGGATGTGATTCGAGACAAGATCTCGGACCAGGTGCGGCTCGCAACACTGGGGGATGCGGCCGGGCTCCAGCGACTGGCCGATCTCGCTACGTCCAACCAAAGCGTGGCCACGGGGTCGGAAGGCCAAGGAGCCGGGTCCTCGCTCTCGCAAGGATACTTGCAACTTTCTTAGACATGTATAATGACCAATCCCAGCGGCGAGTGTATAATGTACGATTATGAGCAGCCTAGACAGAAAAATCTCAGCGATGGCGGACTTGTTTGCAAATACGCCTGACGAGGCGCGGATGTTATGATCGAACCTTGAACGGATCCGCGGTGTCGTAGGCTATGATTGCTCCATGCGGCAACGCCCCGAGTACCATGACCCAAACCACCCACAGACTCCCGTCGCCTACCCACTTGCTACCGTCTGAAGGTCAGAGCTCACCATGTCGGATTAGCGAGCCTCTCTAGAGCTCATTCGGGCAGGGCTACCGGGAGAGGAGTACGTACATGTCGATTTCACCCATGCAAGTACCCATCACTCGGTCGCGAGACAGATGCATTAGCGATGAAGCACCGGCATTGCAAGTGGCGGCAAGCTTCAGTCGGTCGGTAACCCCCACTCTCCCAGGGCCTTCGTGAGCCGTGACGATGGCCTCCCTCATCCCCCCGGTCCGGTCAGGGCTGGCGAACGGAACCCCCAATGCAGCTTAGGGGTGACAGGAGTCAGGGACCATCGCTATTACTACAAGCCGTGGTGGGCAATATTAGTCGTACCTAAAATATGCTGGCAGCAGCCGGGACGGATTCGCAGAATGTCGTAATAGCTCTCTGATATAGCAACACCCGGCCAGCATAGCTACCTACACACGCATTCCCACGTTGCCAGCAAGCCGCGATCGGCCAAGTCAGCACGCGTCGCAACGACGTAATTGGGTCTAAGGCAGAAAAAAGCAAAATACATGCCACCTGAGTCGCTGAATAATCGCCCATGGGTTGTGAAGCTGGGGAAGCAAAACAACGGCGTGCGACTAGCTCATTGAAAGAGGGCCTCGCTGTGTCTGATTTGCTGTTTAAACTGGCCCTTTCGTTTCTTTCTTTTTTTGTTGGGGCAGTAGAAAGGGGGGGGGGGACAGCAGAGGGGCCTTCGGTCACTTGGCCGATGGGCACAGCTGGGGACCGAAAGGGCGCCCCTCTCCATTCTGCCTCTGGATGACGGAGGATGGTGACTATCACGAGCATCTACGCCGCATCCCATGGGCCTAGCTGGCTGTATGTCCATCTGACTTCACTGCCATGGGGGATGAATCTTGCTGTACGAAGATGGAAATGGACGGACAAGGGGGGAGCTTGAGTCGACTGGGGGCCGGTTGGAAGGCTGGGGAGTGGCGCCAAGGTAGCGACGATAATCCAGGGGAGGGACCCAAGCCAGCCAACCGCGCCGCTCGTCTGTGCAGCTTCACTTCCCGCTTCCGTTTTCCTCCATCTCGGGGGCCTCCCCCCATAATTCATCTCCGACGACAGCAAAGCCGCCGCTGGCGCCGCTTGGGGAATGTCGCGCGTCGGGGTTCGTGGGGCTGTGGGGGTTGCAGGGCTAAGGCCCTCGCTTTCTTCCAGTTCATCAGCCCCCTGATCCTTGTTGAAACTCGCACGAGTAAGGCCGTGGCCCGGGCCACGCTTGCTGGCGTTACATTGACAACACAAGGGAGCTGGGGCATGCTTTCGTCAGTGTGCCTCGTCGCCTTTGGCTTCGCTGTCTGCCGAGCATGGAGTCGCAATGGCGCAGGACGGGTTACGTATGAGCCATATCACTGAGCGTGGTGTGAAATATCAGAACCTAATGTAGAGCAGATTGATTAGGTCACGAAGGCGCGGGGGCGAGCTAGGTTGGTAGTGAGTATGTTTGTTCATCGGTCTATTCAGATGAACCGGCAGACGTTGGGCGTGCCCAGTCTGACCAAAAACGTATAATCTACCAAGTAAGATATCTCGTAATTTGAAACTGGTGTTGTTGTCATCGGCGTATGAGGGCAAACAAGTAGAAAAATAAACAAGCCGCCTCTTCACGTTTTCCGAATGACTATATCTGTATGTAGAGCGTTCATATGTCGTCACATTTCCAAGAGTCAATGTCTTTCCTAGACAATCCAGAAGGATGTCAACGATCCTTCATCCTCCTCCAAAGGTCGTTAAATATTCCGCGAAAATACAGTCGATTGCTTTTTTGAATTTGCCAATTCCAAATCAAGTTCCTGAACACCATTTCATAATCCAGTCCCCCAGCCCCACCCCACAATCAGGAAATGCAAAAAGTAGCCGCGCCTTGTATATAAAAAAGTCTATCCAAGAAAAAAGAGACACCATCACGCGTGTTGAACATGATTCAATGTCAATCCAAAAAGCTCGGAGTGCATGTTGGTGTATATTGTGCCACCAATTTCGTGACGATCGCCACGTGGCTATGTAGAAGAAGAGACGTTAAGTCGTTCGAGGTGAGGTTGGTACCATCTCTCGAGTGAGCCCGATTGGGAGATGTGAGCATGGGAAATCGGGCTTCATGAAGCTCATCTAAAGCTTGAATTTATTTATAATTCCCAAAAGTTGCCCATGGTGTTTGGGCCGAGAGGATCAGGGCTCTCGTCGACAATCCCGTCAATGCCCTCGTGGTAGTTGGGCATCCAAAAGGCGGGATCCTCCTCAACCATGGACATGCCAGCGCCGGGCATAGCGCCGTGCTCGTTGTTCTTATAGAAGCTGTCGTAGTCGATGCTGCTGATATCGGCCTGGTTGCCCATCATGTTACCGTGGCGAAGATAGCCAGCGTTGTTGAAGTCGCCGCCATCAGGCCCAGACATGAAGTCCTCCACTTCGGAGACGTCGCCTGAGGTCGATGTTGTGTTGACCAGGTTGGGTAGTTGCTCGGAGCCGCTGCCAAATTCGAATGCGCCGAAGCTCTGAGTGCCCGCTTGGCTATAGCTCGAAGGGGCAAAGTTGTCACGCTTGGTGTCGCCGAGGTCATAATGACTCCAGTCGACAGAAGCAGCGCTGAGTCCTGCGCTGTACATGGGCCCATCTTGATCGGGGGAGAAACCAGCCCCAAAAAGGTCAAATGAGCTATTCGGGATGTAAGGAGGATACTCGATGGCGGAAAGGTCCAAGGGAGGGACTGTGCCATTCATCTGGGCAAACGTCGACATCTGGGGAGAAGCTGCTTCTGACTTGACACGGCGTTGGGAGCCACCAGCCCGACGAACGTCGGCAATGCTGTCGGAGCCAGCACCTAAGCTGCTTGTACTGTTGGCAGAGTTGACCCGGTTGAGCGAGTAAGGCCCGACCTTTTGCGAGGCACGGTGGTGCTTGGCAGTTGGTTTGTGGTGGCCGTTCTGATCAAACATCATCATGTCCGACGAGTGTATTGTGTTCGCTCGACGACGCCGAGGGACGGGTTTGGCTCGGGACATGCTGGCCTTGTGAGCCTCGCCCTCGGAATCCGATTCGGGAACGGTGTCGAGAGTAGCGGGCATGTCCTTCTTCTGGGCACAGGAGCAGCGGCCGCCATGATTACAACAGCAGGTTTCTATGGTGACAGCTTGTTTAGAATACATGCTCACGGAGAACGCGTCCGTTCGACACGTAGCAATGATCGCTTACCGGTGTGGCCCTCAACCGTTGGTTGGAGGTGTGCACATTTGCTCGTCTTCTCGCCGCAATCGCACTTGACGTGAGATGCCCGAGATTTCCGCATCGCACGGCAATGCGAACATTGCGAAACTGGCCGTCCCTTCTTGTTGATGTGCTGAAGAGGCCGATCTGGAGTGGGTTAGTGAACCCATTCGCACGCCCAACGCAAGCTGTTGGGGCCAGGGCGAGACATTCCAAGGACGACGAGCGGGGTGCTGATGAAACCTCTCGCTGTCGCCTCGCACGCCCGCGGCCCTGGTGAGACTTGCGGGTTTGGCTACATACCTGAGTGTTGGCAATTGCTCACACGATGCCCGCGAACGCAGGCCTCGCAAGCCCATTTCTCTCCGTCAATTATCATAATGAATTGATTATCGCGAAAGCGGCAGGGATGGAGATGGAAGTGAGAGTGAAGCTGTGGGTGAGTTGCGGCTGAAGGTTCAAGCAGCGTCGACCGATGAAGAGGACCAAAAAATCGTTGTCGGTTTGCAGGTTCTAAGTGGCCAGAGTCTAATTGTGTGTTTGAAAAATCCGGTTGCAATTAGAGCTGGGAACTAACACCAGAATCCCGTGTCAATTTGGCTGTCGCTGGTGTCTCGGTCTGGATTCCGGGCAGAACAAGAGCCAAGGCCGGGGCGTCCTTATTCTGCTTCAAGCGATAGCGGCTGAGTCGCTGTTCAATCAAGCCGGCGTGGGTGGTGCTAGCGGAGCGTAGTAGCTGGAGGCGTGGCCTTGGCTTGCTGCTGCAGGTGGCGGCAGTGTTGGTGGGTAAGATCCACGGGGGCTACTTCTGGGTGCTGGGTAGTACTTAGTGTAGGTAGTACCTGCTAGGTTGCTTCCCCCCACCTGGAAAGCAAGGTCGTGTTCAGGGCTGATCGAGACTTGCCACCGGGCACGTCGTGGTGTGTCGGCTGCGAAGACTGGCGCTGTGGCTTCGGGAAAGCAAGGGAAGAAGCAGGCTGGGAAGGCGGAACAATTGATGTCGCAGAACAACCAGTTTCTGTCTTGTCAATGATTGAAACCGCTGTTCAAGGCGATTTCCGAGAACGCAAGAGGTGAGTGGAGATTTTCTGAAAGTGGAGAACGTTGGGGTTTTTCCCAGCTCCGTCAGTGTGCTACGAGCTGCTCGGCGGCTGGCCAATGGATTCCGGAAAAACCGGTATTTGCTGGAGCCGAATAGGCAAGGAAAAATTCTTGAGTCGAGAGGCCGGGAAATGTCCGGACTTGGTAAGTAGCGGTTTCGCGCAGGCGGATAGCTGATCGACAGCTACAGCAGAAGCAATGCCGCAAGATGCCCAAGTATGGTGATGCTGTTGTAGGAGGTCGCAACTCAAGTGAATGAGTAGCAAGCAGGGTGAAAGCTCAGTCTCTCTTTACTCGGCCGGGCGGTAGTAACAAGCGAATCCAGGGAGCCTTGGTATAGCCCATTTAACATGCGTCGGGGTTCGAATCAAGGTGGTCGCTGCGGATTGCGATGCCAATGCCGTGTTCTGGACAGAGTCCTGCAGGCCCTCCCTCTCTTTCTATGTCGCTTTGGATGTTGGTCTCGGTAGGTACCTGTCTGGTAGCACAGGACCTTGATAGAATGGGAAGGGAAGATCAGGAAGAAAGTAAGAAGGAGAAAGGAAGAGAGCTACGAATCCGGGAAACGGAGGGCCGCAAGTGGGATTCGCTTGTCTTTAATTTGGACGAGCATATGACAGAGAGTGTGCTGCGAGGCTCGCCCAGCGGCCAGGCCCAAGTATTGCCTAGATGAGTAAGGTATGGATGTTGATGTCTGCTGCTCGGGGTGGGAGTGGGAGTGTGCAAGGCATGAACCTAGCCAGGGCTGTCCAGGTGTAGAACTACAGCAATACACCAGAGCTGTGCAGACAGTGCCACCACGACGTACCCGCCTGTACCATGCTTGGGGCAGGGGTAGTTCAAGTCGAAGGGTGGTGGGCTCGGCTGCGAATGACGACGTGTGGGATCGTCCTAAGAGGGGATGGCGCTGCAGGGTTCGATGCTGGGCCTGAGAGGTGGACCGTCCCAGTGTGGGATGCATCCAGCATCCAGCATCATCCAGCATGGGCTTGGGGACTTGCTTGTGCATAAGGGGTCGATGACCTGGTTGGATGCGCCCCATTAAAGAAACGGTGCAGTTACACGGGAGTACATCACGTCCTCAGTCCGATACGTGGGCCTGGCCGGTCGTCCGTGGTGCGTGGGTGAGGCGCCAGAGTGTGTGTGCGCGTGTGCGTGTGATGGGTGTGGGAGGGCTTCGGACCGCCGTTCTGGGATGTGCGGGCTTGGTACTCGGTGACCATTCAATATGACATATTGATAGCAACGTCAAATGTCTTCGACTACCGGCGACAATCATTACCGCCTGCAGAAGAAGCCAATGGGTTACTGCTCGCAGTAGGCGCACCCAATACGGCAGAGAGCAACATCTGTACACGTCTGCTCGGATTTCTGTTATTCTTTTTTGAAAGTCATGCCTCTAAAATTAACAATAACAGCAGAATGAGAGGGACCCGGTGGGCAGGCAGTAGCCGTGAGGCGATGGGTGAGCTTGTGCATGTCTGGAAAGGCTGCATGCTTGTTTTAGCACAAGCATCGGCGTATCAGCCTACTGGGTGTAGCGTTGTGTTATTGGCACAGGCAATATCTTCAGCGGCTACCCAGATTGGCTGCGGCACCGGCGGCCAAAAACAAGAGAGCAACGTTTCTTCAGCCGGACACCCATGCTGTTCCAAATCGAGCGCTGCCAATTCTTGGTATCCTGATTATACATAGCATGTCTTACCTCTGTCCGCGCCGCTGGCTCCGGCACTCTGACCTCTCTCGTGTCAGATCTTAGAGACTGCGAACAGCTGCGAGCATGCGTCTAACTAAATAGCACCTGTTCCCTAGCGAAGCCATCCAGATACGGACTGGAGTGGCTAAGCTGCGTGCTAACTGCGAGTCCAGATTGGAAAATCGCCAAACAGCCATCTCTCGGGCTAGCTTGCCAACTTGGCAAGGTAACTCCCCGCACCCCAGCTATGGGGAGGTACATTGATCTGCTCCACCTTGACACCCGTCCCTAAACAGCCGGACTCCTCGCCATGAACCTGGGCTGACCCCTCCACGAAGGTAAGGTAAGGAAGGTCCCTGGATGGGAGAATTCGCGACCTGCTTGCTGCTCTGGCAAGGCAGGCAGCACCGAGCACCAAGCGCTAGGCCGGTTCACATGAGGGCGATCAGCCCGAGCATCGCCTGGTCCTCGTATCTGACCTGAGGGACGCCATGTGTCATGTCAATGGGAGATCATGTTGACGCACATGCGGCTGGGAGAGCGAGTCGACTTTGCCTACCTTGGCTTGGCAACCTACCTACCTGTCTATTGCACTGGTAGACAGCGGCACGCCACTAGCCGATGGCGACAGACCTGGTCCGACATCCAGCCGTCTTCCAATTCGCATCGAGGGGCGGCACAAGGCTTGCCTCTTTCGGCTCCCCGTCTGATTTGCCATCCATTTCTGCACGGCTATCACAGGAAGATCCCGACGGCTGAGCGAGCCTTCGATGCCCTTAATTTAAGCTCTAAATTTATCCTTCCTTACTACTGTCCCCCATTCTTTTCCGTGCTGAGACGCCGCCGTTCTGCTTTGTCTGGATCTCTCCCCATCCTGACACCAAAGCAATAAACTCGGGAATCTGAGAAATCCCTGGAGGATCTCTTCGCATGCAATCGAATGCTGGGTCGGACACAGTATCAAACGGATATTCTCATGTGAGCATATGTCGGAACAGATTCGCTAGCAGGTCGGGATTTGGGCCAATTTGTGACCAGTCAGGTAGCCTAGCGGGCTTACACCCCCCCCAGCAGCCAGACAAGGGGTGGTTGAGGCCAGGTGCAACTGTGCCATACGTGCTAACCTGCTCTGCTGCTCTCGTTCACTGGACGTGGGTGGCATTATCCAGGGTGCAAAGTACCCTATTTTGTGCATTCAGGCGTCGCTGTGATAGGAGCGAGCCGCCGATGCAAGACAGCCTGGAGCCAAGGCCGCCTGGCCTCTTTAGGACAGTAGAAAGCCTGAAGACATCATTGTGCTTGAAGCTCTGTCCACGCGCACAGCTGCTGGGCGACTTTGGCGCTTACGCTATGTGGTCTATGGGGAAAGCAGCATCCCTAGCAGCTACCTGTCGTCGTGACTAGATGAATTACCTGAGGATGATCCCGCCCGGTCATTAGCAGAGGTGGAACCTGGACACGAGATGAGATACAACCCTTCCAGAGATACCTCTGGAACGAGGAGCAGACGGAGGAGGCGCCACAGCCTGCCGAGCGGCCAAGGAACCATCAGGAGCGCAGGTATGTATGGCAGCAGGTCTCTGAGAAGGGTTGTCAGAGCATGTAATCATTTTGCTGATTTGCCCGATTTACGAGGGACGATGCTGCAGGAGACCTGCTTTGCACGATCATAGTTTAACCGGAAATGTACAGCTCACAGTCCCCTACGTGCTGTATCTCGGGCCGGTGCGCTGTTGGTGCATAAAAAATCGGAGAGCCCCGGAGGAGCTCCAAGGCATCCATTTAGCCACCACAAATCATAGGTAAGCAGCCTCGGGGGTCAGTGCAAATCTATTTACCGTGTGACCTCCCATCCAGGGTGGACTGTGGTCCGCTCTAGCTAGCTGAAACCGCGCTGTATTGGCCGATCGTGGAGACCCGCTGCCGTGATGGAGTTGCCAGCCAGTTATTGGATTGAGAAGCGTGGGAGGAAAAGAAAATATGGACCATTGTCACTTTCCCATCCATCGCATTCGTGCACAACACGAGTATAGCGGCGCGTCTGGGCATGCTTGGCGCTGCCGCAGGGGTCTTTCTACCTGACCTTGGAAGGTAAGTAACAATCAAAACGGCCAGTGGAGATCGTGAAAGCAGTGAGGCTTTCCGTCCTGTATGCGCACCGTTCGTTCTATCTGGTCCAGGTCCATCCTTTGCCGAACACCAGGGCCAGGACTCATCGAATCGCAATCCCAGAATGCGACGTCAGCGACGGTGAGGATCTTGAAACCCTGACCAACTGCGATAGACCTTGCCCTAGATTACCTTCCCGATGGACCTTCTCTAGCCATCCAAGGCTCCAACGAGGCTCCAGTGAGGAGCATTGGACCGAGAGCCTCACTGGCCACCCCCGACGACACGCAGAAAGCTCGGTGAATCTCGCGGCGCTGGTGGCCAAACTGACTGACCTGCATCCTGCTGAGCTCCTAATTTTAATGATGCGAGTTGGGGGACAAGCAGAGAGGGTGGGGAGGGCGTCCAGCCTCTTGGGCGTGCCTCTGGCAGAGTCTTGTCCAATAAGGCCCTGCCCCGATCGCGGAAAGGCGTCTGATTCGCTGCCGTACCCGTAATGACGGCATGCCACATCACGCCAAACATCCAATCACTAGCGCATAGCCGAGCGCACGGGCCAGACTTGTTTGAACCGCCGTACGGCCGAGTTGGGAAGCTCACGAATGCCTACCTCCCCTCCAGCACCCGGCCTTGGGTGGGCGGGCTGAGTGTGTTGGTGGACTCGGGCCCCGCCTCCCTTCCTGCTCCCACAAGAACGAACGAGCAGAGGAGAGGCAAAACCCACCGGGATGCAACCAGAAGAAGTATAATCCATCCCAAGCCAGGTGCTCTCGGCAACCCAGTTAGGGCACGAAGGATTCTAGGCTAAGGGTAGTTAAAACGGAGCCGACCGGCCGATAACGATAATGTCGGAGCAACGCCGATATCCCTGTCCGTTTCGCCCCACACGCTCTACGTACCTACCGTCGGACGTTCTTAAGTCCTTGGAGAAGCAAGGTTCCAAGCCGTCTGGACGTGGGCGTTTCAATCTGATTACGTACTACTGCGTACTACCCATTTTGAGAATCGCCAAACCACTTTCTTGTTTTCCTGCTAAAGGCGCCAAGTCATTACCCAAATACAATATTCATTTCGTACGAGGGACGGGAGAGTTCCCACTAGCGAACGGTTGGATGGACTTTGCCCTCCGTCGCGCCAGGCTTGTCCCTCACTTGAAGATGGACTCCGTTCAGCCGCAGGCGCAGCAAGAGTGAGAACACCTTGGCCGGCAAGTCGTCACCCGGTTGTCCCAGCAGCCTAGCGATTAGCTATGTCGTCTACATTGGCCAGTGAAGTCTGCGAGAGCTGGGCGGTTACGAATAAGGAACGGGTTGTCCGGGGTGTGGGTCGGCCTATGGTTGCATCCTCGATGCTCTCTACCACCTGTTGATATTGTGTATGTGTGTCAATATGCAGGCAGGCAGGTAGCTGGAGCGGCCGGATAGCAGACTTGCATATGCTGTATTTTTACAACATGGGGGCGATTTCCCTCTGGGCACGTACATGCCGTGTAGCACTGGTGGTGCCATGGGGACCCCCCTTTACATGGAACAATGCTGCCCTGTGAAGAGAGAGCCCTTTAGCTGCTGGATTCGGACAATGTCCGTTTTCCGAGGCTTCCCCGGCCTCATGATGCACGCAGGGACGGAAATTTATGATGTGTTAGAAATCCCCATATGAAGCAGATTATAAGTATCCAAAACCGATGTGACTCTACCGACGCTGCTTTGGTCAAGATCACGATGGGGTGCTTGATGTGACCCCTAGGCTTCGACTGGAACTTCTAGAAGTCTCACACTCACAATGGGGATGGACCCTGGCTCCACAACACAGGGGTGTATTGGAGTGTTGCAAACAGTTGCATCTAGGTTTGACTCGGGGCAGGCACCCGAGGAGCATCACTACGTATTCAAATATTATGTTTTGGCTATAAGATCAGCTCCACGGAGCAGGTCGCTCAGCTTGCTCATGTAGCTGGACATACGATTCTGGCTGCCAGGGCGTTTCACGCCTGTGGGAGTGGTCATGCACGCAAGCCCGTTGGGCAATCGGCGCCTGCCAATTGCCGGTGGGCTGAAGGTCACCATCAGCATATGTGATGTGTTGTCAAATATGTCTAGAACTTGGGGGACGTGAATGCCAAGCTGCACTGCATTCGAGGTTGTGAATGCTCGCCATCCAGCATCAGGGGGGATGGCGAGTTGTACAATACATAGCAGTTGTTCCATTCCATGGCATGGCTGGTGCATCACCGTATGCAATAGGCGCGTTATGCAGGTCGCTATGCTGGGCTGCCCCTTCTCTTGGATCTTCCCTGCAGCAAGGGTACGTACGGATTGATAGGCTTCGTGATGGAGGGAGGGGTCGCTTGGGTGATTTGGCCTGCGTCAGGACACACAGGCGACCAACAAGCAGCCATCTCAAGCATTGCTCTAGTTGTGGGTAAGGTGGTGGGTAGTGGGGTTCTCCGCCTCCAGCGCCGGCGGCAAAGGATCGGCTAACACCCATAGCACTACGGGAAGTACGGAGTGCCCAATGCAGCAAAGAGGCACGATAGTATTAGCAGTGGAGGATAGGTAATGTAAAAATAATAGTGCCTAGGTACTCCCCGTCCGTCGACGGTGGACGAGAGCCAATGCAGCTCGGAATCTGCAAGGCAGCGTAATTTCGTCCAAACAAATCTTGTGGTGCTTGCTTTCATTAGAAGTAGTTTGGTGCTATTCCGAGTTAAGTCCACCGTCCTCTTGGCTGTGCAGCCAGAGAATCCAGGAGATGAGTCTCCAGCCAGGAGTCTAAGATGGGTTCAACCAAGCGAAGGGTGCTAGTCATGAAGTACCTCGATGAAGTCATCTGGATTGTACTTCTACATGTCTTGGCTTGCCATGTGGTGAGCAGGATGGCATACGCCCAAGTACCGAGCCCTGGGGGAACATTACACCGCTGAAGCACACCACCCAATAGGGCGATCAGACTAGTGGAAACAGGGGGAAAAAATTTCACCCAGGTGATGGAGGGAGACCCCCACTTGGCTGACTACGTCGAATCTTGTGAGATCAATCCAAATTCCTTCCCCATTTTCACCTTCTAGCCACCTCCCACACACACTTCTTTCTGTGTCGTGGACTAACGTTCCCGGGTTTCTCCTCGTCGGAACGCCTTGAATCATTCATTCGCACATTCATTCGTTCCCTGGCCAAACTATCCCTTTTCCTGGTTCTCGTCGGTGCTTCCGAAATCGGTTGCAGTTCGCGTTATGCAAATTTTCTCTCTTCCAACTGGCTGCTCTGGGCCACAGGATCAAAATTCGCCTTCGCCCGTCGATACAAACGTGCCTCATTCGGCCGTCTATCACCCGTGGGGGTTCCTGTTTCCCCTCCGTTCGCTAAACTGAATACTAAGGTGCCGATGCGACCATCCAAGCTAATCTTCTAGCCTTTCGCTGACTATGCTGGCTTGAGAGAGGCAATCCTTTGGGTGTAGCCGCAACATCAGATCAGATGTTTGCAGATTTTTCAGCCAGCCATTGTGCTACTCTACCTTACCATGCAGATGCAGAACCGGATGGTTTCACCCTCGGATCGCCCGGACTGGCGAGCTTCAAACCCGTCGACATGCGTCGGAATGGTGTGTGTTACCATCATCAATGCAAACAATAATATCTCTGAAGTCGCCGGGCTCCGAGGCTTGCCACACCGGGCTCGCAAGCGACATGGGAACACATGGAGGGCAGACACACCGGGCTTGATTTGCTAAGATCTTCCGGCCACAGATGCACGTACATCTGTACCTGGATGAGGTCGATTTCGTAGATTATACACCTTTGACTGAGAATTTTTGCCAGAATGTACTTTGGTATTCATACCATCGTATATCGACGTTCATTGTCATCTCCCCTTGGACATGAACGTTTTCGCACTGGCATAGAGCAAACCAAACCTCGTTGCTGGGCACCCGGCTTTGAGATGTCGTCTTGACTGTCTTGGAGAAGCCGGGAATCAGCTGTAGGCACATTCCCTCGTAGAAACAAAGAAAACCCCCGGCCCGAATTCGTGAAGCGGAGTAGACGATCTGCCATGAGACGCAAGTGGTCACCATCGAGGGTTGCATCAGTCCCAGGCCTATGCCCATGACTTTGCAGCACCACTTTCCGCTGTGTCGTATTGCCACAGTGCATTAGGGCGTAGCGATCTGGGATATAAGCAATTGGGTTTTTGGGTTACCCGCATATGGAACTTGCAGGTTTGACCTATTTCGTGCCCCCCCTCCCCTTAAGAAGAGGGTGGCTGACCTCCGCCCTGGGATTCGGCGGGTGAAGCTGTTTGGAGGCTACGAGCTTGTGGGCTGGCAGGACTGAATTGTCATGATGCAGACCTCGCCGATCCGCTGGCCCGGCCTCTGATACATGGCTCCAGAACTCGTCATATCTCTGTTTTGCAAATGGTCATGCTACAACATGCCCAATATGCCGATTTCCGAGGTTACGACCCCGGTGGCTCGAAATACCATCGGCTAGGTGCGGAGAGCCAGCACATTCCCTCAGCTGCCCGTGATGTGGCCAAATGCAATGTATGCGTGCGTCTGTACATTGGTAAATGCGGTGGTGGTACAGCACATAGGCAGATGCCGGGGGTGGAGTGCGGGGTGGATTGTGGCTCTAGCCGAGCATCTTCGAAGGATTCCGTGACGAACCGTTAGCCGCCCAATTCGCAAGCCCAACAACCCACCCACGGGCGGAATAGTACAGCTGCTCCGTGGATCATCGAATCGAATACCAACTGGCTTGCGGCTTTGCATGGTCAAGGTTGGGACTTTGTTAGGCAGATATTGCACAACCTATCAGCACGCGAAGATGGCCAACGCGAGGTTTGTTTCCCAGCTCCCCATGTGTGCCCACGTGTTCGGCGGAGGACGTGTGCTAATGGTGTACACAGCACGGTTAATATCGTTTTTGTTGGCGCAGGCGCCATAGGCTGCTTCTACGCCTCGAGGTTGCACCATGTATGTCAGCCCTCATTGTGACAAGTTCCAAACTCCCCAGTCATCTGAGCATATGGCTGACGTAGTGCCGTACAACGACAGCCATCTCGAGGCCTGCACGTGTCTCTTATTGCCAGGTCCAACTACAAGGCTATTGAGCAGTCTGGCGTGCAACTGATCACCCGGAGCTTTGGGGACTATACGTTCAATCCCTCCGGCGTGTTCCCGTCGGTGAGCGCGGCCGCGCAAGCCGATGGTGATGGAGCTCCGGCAAGGCAATGGGACTATATCTTTGTGACCACCAAGGCGCTGCCTGATGTCAGCGATGACTCTGAGATGATCACGCCGCTGGTCGGGCCCAGGTCGTGTATCGTGCTGATCCAGAACGGTGTCGGTGTCGAGGAGCCTTTCCGGAAGAGGTTCCCGACCACGCCCATCGTGAGCGCCGTGACCATCGTGAGTGCGGAGCAGACGTCGCCCGGCACAATTCGACAGAACCGCTGGACGAGGACGAGCCTCGGGCCTTTCACTGATGGCCTCGGTACTGGAGACCGGGACTTGATCCAGCGAGGGACGCGCTGCATGGATCAACTCACCGAGTGGTGGCGAGACCTGGGCGGCATCAAGGACGTCGAGCCCCACGACGAGGTCGGGCTCCAGACCGTGCGGTGGCACAAGCTCTGCATCAACGCCGCCATGAACCCGTCCGCCGTGCTGTCCGGCGGCCGCGGCAACGCAGACATGGTCATGGACCCCGAGCTGCGGCATCACCTCACGGGCGTCATGGAGGAGATCTGGGAGGCCGTGCCCAGGATCCTCGGCCGGGGGTTCCCGGACAGCATGGCCCGGCCGGACCGCATCATCAAGAGCACGGAGCGCAACAAGGGGGCGCGTCCCAGCATGCTGCTCGACTGGGAGGACAAGAAGCCGCTGGAGCTCGAGGTCATTCTCGGGAACCCGGTGAGGATTGCCAGGGAGCGGGGCGTGGAGATGCCGAGGCTGCAGACTCTGTATGCTCTTCTCAGGTCGGCGCAGGAGATGCGCAAGAAGGAATCCAAGAGCAAGCTTTGAGTGCTGGTGAGAGGCGTGAGACCAAGAGCGTACTAGGAGAGCTGTAATTGACATGTACGAGTTAGGAATATAGAATTGCAGGAAGCATGAGTCGTTTAGCAAGCTTGAATATGTACTACATTGATTCTTTACCTTTGTTGTTGTCAGCAACATGAGCTTGCTCTTTTCTTTGGCTTGAGTGGTGGGGTGGTTGGAGGTCTGTCGCTTTAAAGATGCTTTGCTGATGTTCAACTCTGTTTGCAATACTTTATATCTACCATTTGGGTTGACGCTCTCAGAGCCGTTCTCGATTTTATATTAGTAAGGTTCAAATTAAGTTTCCTTTTTCTAGATTGAAGCTTCTAGCTGAGCTGGGGACAGACAGCAGCTAGCTTCTTGCTCTAGATCACACGACAACTCTCAGATTGCAGTGTCTTGAACAGATAAAATTATGACTTTTGGGATGTTCACCTTACGATCTTCGATATCTCAGGGATATATGATATGTCACCAGAAATGAATATCAATAATATATAATCTTGGCATACTACCTATGTGCGTATGTCCCCTGCCCTGGAAACCTCGACTAAGCCGTCTATCGAAGTCTCTTCCCATCTTCGTCATTAGAGAAATTTATATGTATTTCTATACTAATAGCTAGATAGACGCCCTTTGCACTGTGCGGGATCTAATCGGCGTTGACAATCAACCAATCAATCAATCAACTCATGTGCGTATGAATACTCGTTGAAGTACAGCGTTGAGGCTACTTTCCCAATGGAAGTGGTACCAGATATTACCTGACGAGTTTCGAACGCATTCAGAATGTCTCTTGATGCAGCAGACTTGAGCTACTTTCGGCCCAGTACTCATGATATTTGACGAGCATCAAGTCATAAACCTCAGTCTAGCCTATTCACGAAGTAAGTTGTGATAAATCACAACATACAGGGAAGGGCCCTGTTCCTTCATCAAGCCGAGATGCATAGATGGCCTCCGTGTGCTTTGGTCAGTTGCAGTCCTCTGATTAGTCAAATACAGCCAATTAACCAGTTGATACATGAGTCTAGGTGGAAGGCATACGCTTCAAGACATCACCTAAGGGGCTGGCATGTGACCGATACCAAGAAGAGGTGTCACCTTGCAGGATGGCTAGCATGGTGATGCCCCAAGGATCAATTGATTACGCTTCCACGAGGAAGAAAAGACTGATTCTCTGGAAGCATAGGATAGAGAATCGTGGCTGAACAGTGCTCGATTCATTTGCTCGTAAAATTTGTGCCAGGAGGCTGCTACATTATATCTTCTTGTCCATTTATCAAGCTACACACTGTAGGTTAATGTGGGGTACCGAATTCCCTGGTGCTCGGGACAAAAGCTCCGGCGGAGCCCAGGTCTTCGGGTCCAGCCTACAGCTTAGTATGTATATTGTGGAACCCCAACTCCCGGTATCTCGACAGCCTCAAAATCCAGAGGTGAATACTTGTGTGGTGCTCATTGACCGTTTCGACCTTCCTGAGCTGCCTACGGTGCATTCTCAATTGATCAGGCACCGGAGAATCCAAGCCAATGGTTTGGATATCTCGCTCCAAGGCTTTCCATGGTTGCATTAGAGAGCGGGCAGATGGGCACTATCGTCCCTTGTCTGCCTTAGCCCTGTAACCTCAGGACAGGCGACGCTTAGCGCATGCTGCCCGTATCTACACTCGCAATTTCCCAGGGACTTGGAGGGGACTTGTAGGCGGCGAAGGACACATGTCTGCTATGGATGTACTGTACACACGCGTCCAAGAAGGACGCACAGCTGGGCATGTATCGGGTGTATCAAGTGAAGACAAAATTCGACGATCTTACAGTGCTGCGTACAGTGTGGAACAACGGACACCCTTGGCGATTGTCATGATCGTCGCTGGCCGGTGAGTTTGATTCTTGGTTGGATCTGGCGAGAGGGGCTGCACTGAGCAGTTAGTCCCAAAGAGGGGGTTAGCCCTTGTCTGGCAGAGGGGCAGGCGGAGGGGAAGGGTTGTCCGTGCTGCTATTTATTCTGAGGCTCGCAAGAGGCTGTGAAGGCCGCAGCTGGTGTCTGAGCTTGACCTGGAGCAATGGAGCAATTGAATCTCGGTCGGGCAAAAAAAGGCTGGCACTCGCTCAAGGCTCCACTACCGACGGTCGCTGGTGCCGCAGCCTGCCATGCAGCAGCATGGGCGGCGACCAAGGCAACTTCCTGCCCTGGGTTGAGCTAGCTGCATGATAGGCCCAATCAATGGATCTCCCCTTCCTGCCTAGCCCCAAGCGACCCAGAACTAAGCAACTGATTCGACAAAAAGTCGTGACGTGACCTACCAGGGTCTAGTGGAGGGGCGCTCTTGATCTGCCGCACTGTGAGCGAGCCAGTCCCTTCTCATCGAGCTGGGCAATGCACTTCACCATGGCAATTTGATTTCTCCTTCCACAGCACCTGCTTCTGCTTCGAGGGAGCTTGGTCCAGACTTCAGATCCTGTGACGACGCTCCTTCCGGCCCTCGCCTCACTCAGCTTTGAAGCCCCACCAAACCGATCTGATCTCCCACTCGCAAACCTGCTCTCACCCTGTCGATCAACAGCCACAGCCATTGCCTCCTCGCTCCCGGCTCAAGCCACTTGAGGTCTTCGACATGTGCTAGGTTAGAAGGCACTCATCACCTCTCCCAACCCCCCTAAAGGCGCCCTGTCCCTCGTGAGGCTGCGGGAAATACTTGGCGAGACAAGCTGTTCTCAGTGCACGAGAAGCTATCAGGCTTCTGCGTCTCGAGTCTGTAATGGATGCACCCAAGGACGACCCGCCGCCGTCCACTCCACCTCCTACTGTTGAGCCTCAAGCAAACTCACCCCCAACTGACAATCCACCAACGAACCAAACGAGCGACAATGGACCGGGATTGATCCAGACCCAAGGGCTTCCCCTGGGATTTACGCAAATACCTCCACCTCGGACCTCTTCGATACAAAACCAGCAGACACCAACCCCCGGCGGCCATCGAAATAGTATCACGACGCCCGAGCCGGTTTCCTCATGGAGTGCTGGGTCGGAAATGCAACTTGGCCATGCGTCTGTTACTTCAGACACCTCTGGCGACAGGGTGTTCCCCATCAGATCCGTCGTGAGTGTGGATCGAGGAAGCAGAGTGTCCGGTGACGACTATTTCCCTGGCGCCACGGACCCCGATAGTCGTGGGATTCCTGTTCACAGACCGATAACTTTCCGCACCGAGCCTGGCTTCGAGTTGAGGAGAGCCGACACAGGCCCAATTTCCCAGGCCTCCGGTTCCTCGAGAGATAGACTTCTACATATGCGCCGAAAGAGTACCTTGAGTGGGCCAATCTCCAGTATCCAGGCGGATGCCGCTCGCCATGGCACTATTACTCCGCTGGATCTTAACATTTCAACCTCCGATAAAATGAGCGAAGAATCAGGGCCTTTAGGAGACATGGATCCGGCGGTAACACCTCTTGGAATAGAGGGAGTTGAGGTAGCAGATATGGCCGGTGGTTCTACAGACTTTCGCCGCTCGTCAGTTGCAGATATCGGCCACATGACGACACGATTCACGTACACGCAGACCGAAGACGGCCACTCAGTCATCACTGGGCGCGATGGAACACTCCAAAGGTGCGAAGACGAACCGATCCACACTCCAGGCGCTGTTCAAGGCTTTGGGCTTCTTTTGGCTTTGAGGGAGGAAAGTGACGGTTGCTTCGTCATCCGCTACGTTAGCGAGAATTCTGAGCGAATAATAGGCCATTCCCCGAAACAATTATTTCGTTTGAAAAATTTTCTGGACATTTTAAGCGAGGAGCAACAGGACAACCTGCTCGACCACATCGACTTCATCCGAGACGAGGATGCCGACCCTGCTGTGAACGGCCCTGAAGTATTCAGCTTGTCCGTAAGGCCACCAAAAGGACGAAGTATTAAACTTTGGTGTGCAATACACATCAATCCAGCTCATCCCGAGCTGATTATCTGCGAGTTTGAACTGGACGATGACACGATCTACCCACTTCGTCCGTCTGACGAAATGACCCCGGATACCCCACATGACACCTTACAGTCGAATCCTACTCTAGAAGAGATTGAAAAAAGCACTGAAATCCTCAGCAAACCTCTTCGAATTTTACGGAGTGCTCGCAAACGACGGGGCGAGCAAGGAGCAATGCAAGTCTTTGACATAATGTCTCAGGTCCAAGAGCAGCTTTCTTCAGCCCCAAACCTTGAAACCTTTTTAAAGATACTTATTGGTATTGTAAAGGAGCTGACTGGTTTCCACCGTGTCATGATATACCAATTCGATTCCTCGTTTAACGGCAAGGTCGTATCCGAGCTGGTTGATCCTGCTCAGACTCGTGATTTATATTATGGGCTAAACTTCCCTGCGTCCGATATTCCACGACAAGCAAGAGATCTCTACAAGTTGAACAAGGTCCGACTTCTCTACGACCGTGACCTTGAAACTTCCAGAATCGTTTGCCGCACCAAAGAGGACCTTGATACCCCTCTAGACATGAGCCATGCTTATCTACGCGCCATGTCTCCTATCCATCTTAAGTACTTGGCTAACATGGCCGTGCGATCTTCCATGTCCATTTCAATAAATGCCTTCAACGAACTTTGGGGTCTGATAGCCTGCCATTCCTACGGCGATCAAGGCATGAGAGTGTCTTTTCCGATCCGCAAAATGTGCCGGTTGGTTGGGGACACGGCTTCCAGGAACATCGAGCGTCTATCCTATGCATCGAGGTTACAAGCACGCAAGCTTATCAACACAGCCCCTACGGACAAGAATCCGTCAGGCTACATTATCGCTTCGTCAGATGACTTGCTGAAGTTATTCGACGCTGATTTCGGCCTTCTGTCAATCAAGGGTGAAACTAAGATTTTAGGAATCATAGAACAAAGCCAGGAAGCGCTAGCGATGCTGGAATATCTGAGGATGCGTACTCTCACGTCAGTTGTTGCATCTCAGGACGTACGGGAGGATTTCCCAGATCTCCGTTATCCACCCGGCTTTCAAGTCATTGCAGGGCTTCTCTATGTGCCCCTAAGTGTCGGAGGAAATGATTTCATTGTTTTTTTCCGCAGAGGACAGGTGAAAGAAGTAAAATGGGCGGGCAATCCTTACGAGAAAGTTATCCGAGACGGAACAGCAGGTTATCTTGAACCTCGCACGAGTTTTAAAACTTGGCATGAGACGGTCATTGGGAAATGTCGGGAATGGGACGAGGAGAAAATCGAGACGGCGGCTGTTCTTTGCCTGGTTTATGGCAAATTCATCGAAGTATGGAGGCAAAAGGAAGCCGCCCTACAAAGTAGTAAGCTTACAAGACTACTTCTTGCAAATTCAGCCCACGAAGTTCGAACGCCTCTTAATGCTATCATCAACTACCTTGAAATAGCATTGGAAGGCACGCTAGACCAGGAAACAAGAGACAACTTGGCAAGGTCACATTCAGCATCAAAGTCATTGATTTACGTGATCAACGATCTTCTCGATCTCACCAAGACGGAGGAAGGGCAAAATCTGGTCAAGGATGAAGTCTTCGACCTTTCTTTGTGCATCAAAGAAGCAACAGAACCTTTCCAAAATGACACTCGTAGAAAAGGTCTGCTCTACGAGGTTGTCGAGCACCCTGGCTTACCTCAATTTGTTCACGGCGATGGGCGCCGAGTGCGCCAGGCAATATCAAATGTGGCCGCAAACGCTGTGACACATACCCACGAAGGTTTCGTCAAGATCGAGGTGTTTGTTTCAGAAGTACGAGATGGTCAGGCAGTTGTGGACTTCGTTGTGGCAGACTCAGGTCGGGGTATGGACAAACAGCAACTGGATGCCCTATTTCGCGATTTGGAGCAAGTAAGCACCGAAGAGCCCGAAATCTCTGGGCCCCAGGACCTCAACAAAGCCCCTGATGCACGCACCCTTGGGCTGGGACTGGCAGTCGTGGCACGAATTGTTCGCAATATGGACGGGCAGCTCCGACTAAAATCAGAGGAAGGACAAGGTTCCCGGTTTGTAGTTCAGCTACCATTCCATCTCCCACAGGAGAAAACCGAAGTGGTCAATGATGGGAACGACGAAGGTTCGACAAATACCAAGAATTCCAACACAGCTCCTTCAGCGGCCCCGGCGTCTCTTTCTGCAGCTCCAGAAGGAGAGATCATGCTAGTCAATCGAGGAAGTCATGCCGATCTTCACACAGCGTCCAAGGCAACTGTGGAATTGGGTAGCCCGAAAGACCGCCGTAGCATGGACAGCCATGAGAGTGTGGGGAGTCAGAAGAGCGACGCAGACCGTCTCATCGATGCTCTTCAGACTCCGCTCTCTCTCCATGACAAGGAGCCTGCGTATCCCTTCTCAGGGCAAAGTTCAGCAGTGAGCTCTCTCAAATCTGTGTCAAAATCATCACAGGTATTTGCCCCAAGCTCAGGGAGTCCGCACTCCAAGAAGAAGCATCAAGACCCCTCGGAAGCTCAACCGCAACCAGAAGTTGGATTTGCCAAAGTACGAGACACAAAAACGCCAGTCCGGGCTATCAAGGTTCCCGATGAATACTCGGATATGCCTCCTCAGCCTCAATTTGGACAGCAATCCGGTGTGCTATTTGAAATTCCAGATAGCTCATGCTCAAAAACCAACTCAGAGAGTGTGACGAGCGGCGGGACTAGTGACGGGCAGCTCTTGCGCGTCTTGATCGCAGAAGATGATCCCATCAACATGAAAATAATGAAGAAGAGGTTAGAACGAGCAGGTCATGAGGTTTCACATGCTGTGAATGGACAGGATTGTGCAACTATGTTCAAAGAGCGTTCGTCAGCTTTCGACGTGGTCTTGATGGACATGCAGGTAATATGAACTTAAGGTCTTACCCAAGAAGCGTAAAGCTGACTTTGATTTTGCGATAGATGCCGATCGTCGATGGTCTGAAGAGCACTATGCTGATACGTGAATCAGAGCACTCATCCGGTCATCTAGGACACTCTGAGCTTGCTGCCAATTACGGTCGCATTCCTATTTTTGCAGTTTCAGCGTCATTGGTTGAGGCTGAAAAGCAGAAATATGTTGATGCAGGCTTTGATGGGTGGATTTTGAAGCCGATAGATTTCAAAAGACTCAATACGTTGCTAGTGGGCATACACGATGAAGGGATCCGTGTCTCATGCCTATATGAGCCAGGTGCGTGGGAAAAAGGAGGGTGGCTTCAGACTCACCCCGATCAAGCAACAAGCCAGGAGGATACCACACCGAAAGCAGAGGAGAATGAGAAAGAGGTAGAGCTTACGGTTGAAGCTCCGATCGAAGCATCATCCACAACAAATCCTGATGATGCCTAAGAATGAGCATTCGGTATGTCGAAGGCAAGGCCGTCGCATGAAGTTTCGAGCAATTGCTTCAAGACGTCAGTCTGCTAAGGCCTGACTCTCACACTTCGCTGAGTGGGTCGCCCTTGCATCTTACCACGTCAGGATGTTGGACAAAAGAGACAACAGTATTTAAAACAGTAGCTGAAGGCGAGGCAGCTCGAGGAGGGCGATGATTTTAGGGAATGACATCCCCTGTCAAGGATCGACTACATGCACTATTTTGATTTTTTATGAACGCTGCGGATACGGATGGGAAAATACACGAAAAGGGACACACACGGAGAGCGTTTGGCGTTTTGCATACAGAAAAATGAAGGACATGGCACATATTTTCACGTTTGTTTTATGGTCACTTTTTCCCGAGCTACGGTTTTTCTTACCCTCTTCTTCTTCCTCTCTTTTCTTCTCAATAGAAGGTGGGGACCGTGTACACACATTACGCACGACAATTATGTAGCTTGTGGTGTTGGTGAGGGATTTTTCTTTTTCTTTTTTCTCTCTTCCTTCTATTTCCTTGTAGAATATTCTTTTGGGAGTAATGCATAGTGATATGGCTATGGATATGGTTACGGTTGGGCTTTGTCCCTTGCATGGAACTCTTTCTCACTCATACTGAGATGGGTTAGAAGGCGCATTCCTATTATTCCATTCTGTGTCCCTAGATTTGGTGCTGGGCGAAGGCCAGAGTTATACACGATAATACTCAATATGTTTATGCCATCTGAGTCTCTACAAATAATGATGTAAAAGAAAGCCATACTCGACTCCAGCTTTTGCGGGAGATGAGTCCGTATCGTAGTGCACGGTAGAAGAAAACATTACTTTGAGAAAATAGTTTGTCGTCTTAATTCATGGTTGCCGTTGCTAGTTGCGCTTTGCAATGAGATCGATGGTCTAGGATTGATAATATTTCTAGCATTTAGATAACTCTTCGCGGGTATAGTCTTCGACTTCTCTATACAAAATGAGCTCTGTAGGATACTACGGAACGACAGAGCATCAAAATAAATATCCAATTGTCATGTAATGTCAGGGTATGTAGGGTATCCTATTTTACGAGCAACGTACTATCAACAGACTTTACCTATATATCAGTATATGGACATGATCTATTCTCTAGCTATGAACAAATATACAAATCGGACACAAATATCCAAGAAAATCTAGGGTCTTAAACATAGCATCTTCTTCCAGAAGGGCACCTTTTCTTGCTCCTCGTAGCCCTCTTCCTTGACGTTGTGCTGGCCGACGACGGTCAGGAAGACCTGGTCTAGGGTAGTGGGGCTGACGCTGTAATGGCTGATGTTGAGGGCTGATCGGTTCTCCTCGAACAGGATCATGAGGTTGCCGATGGCGCTCTGGCTGAGATCCTGCTCCTGGGCGGTGGTGATCTCGGCCGCGGTCTTGCCCCGGGTGCTGGCCAAAAAGTCGCTCGCGCGGATCGAGAAGCGCAGCTGGCCGTGGTAGGTCTTGTCCTCGACGTCGGCCGACGGGAGGGTCTCCTGGATCCAGGCGAGGATCTTGGCCATCTCCTGCTCGGTCGTCCGTGGGGCCGTGGCGGACACGAGATGGACGTGGAGGGCGTCGCCGAAGCGGTGGCGCAGATCATCCGGCGTGCCTAGCGCCAGCATCCGGCGGGCCATGATGCCGGCCCTGCCCGCGAGTGCGTCGGCCTCCTCCATGCTGTGGGTGGTGAGCAGGATGGAGCGCCCGGGGACTGTGGCGGCAAGGGTCTTCCACATGACTCGCTTCGAGGCGGCGTCGAGTCCCGATGAGGGCTCATCGAGCAGGACAACGCCAGGGTTGCCCATGAGAGCGATGCCCAGGCTTAGTTTTCGCTTATTGCCTCCGGACAGAGCATTGGCCATTCGGTTTGAGTATAAGCTGAGACCGACGGCTTGGATGATGGCTGTAACGTTGTGATTGACGTCTGGAATGCCGCGGACCTTGGCATAAAATTCAAGGTGTTCCCGGACGGTCATTTGATCCAAGGCGTCGAATTGGGGGCAGACACCGAGATTGGCTCTCGCTGCGGCCAACTCTCGGGTGACCGACTTATTCTCAACAAAGACATCTCCGCCATGGTGGCTTGGCTTGATATCGCCACGGATCATGCTGATGGTTGTGGATTTACCCGCGCCGTTAGGGCCGAGCAAGGCAAAAACTTCGCCGCGCTTGACACCAAACGTGACGTTGTCGACCGCAGTGTTCTTCCCGAAAGACTTGGTGAGATTCAGAACACGAAGCCCGTCCTCGTTGGTACCCGAGCTCGTGACTCGGGTAAGCTCGCCGGCAATCTCCTCATCTGAGATCTCATGCTCGGCAGGGGCATCCTTCTTCTTTTGGAAGATGCTGAATAGTGAGGAGCCGGACGATCCACCATCGTACCAAAGAAGGAAGCCGAAAAGAAGGAAGCATTGCACCACAAGGTATAGGATAGGCCCTCCAAACTGGAGGATGCCGCCCGGATTCGTGGACAAGTCGTCCCCATTGCACGCTGTGGAGAAGAGGTTGACAGTCAGGAAGAGAGCCCTTGTAGCTGAGCCCACTGGGCCGACTGCCGAGATGACGAAGTGCACGATGCGCAAAGTCCTGTCGATCTTGGATGCGGGGACATATGTGATGACACACATGTAGGCAATGAGGTAGGCCAAGAACAGGACAGCTTGGATTGCGGCCGCCCAGGCATATGTGGCCAGCTGCGTTTTTGTGAAGAGGGAGACAACGTAAGCCATCAAAATCGAGGCAAGACCGTAGAGGAACAGAACGACGAAGACGTATTCGATGTGGAACCATACTGAAGACAGACCGCTCCAGATTCCAGTAACAACAGCGGCACTGACAAGCGCGATGGTGAAGTCGAACAGGAGATATGCAATCCAGAGTGGGAACGGGCGGACACCATTGGAGTACTGTAGACTTCTTACAAACCTTCGGCGCTCGTTGCTGGGATAGAGGGCGAAGAACGCAGGATAGCAGGATAAAGCAAGACCCATATAGATCACCAAATTCAACGAATCGCCAGTTTGAGGGTCGAAAGGAACCTGGAAAGGAGACCAGGTGGTCTGAATCGTGGTGTTGGTGAGAAGAGTATCCAAAAATTGTTGAGCAGTGATGGGACTGGTCACGAAAAGATTGGCCACGTAAGCAATCGTAGGTGGATTAGAGTCGTCTCCAAGCCAGAACCCAGTGGTTAGATTCTTCCTTTTGTCGTTTAGGATATTTTGGAACTCGTCAAAAGTATCAACCAATTGCAGGTTACTGAGGGCGGCTTGACCCCTGGAGACTCCCTTGCCCCCACCGCCGAAAATGGGTCGCAAGAGCTCAAGCATCGTTGCTTGCGACAAGCTGGCGCGAGGTCCGGCGAAAAATGAGATATTGCCGCTGCTACTGACTTGAGAAAACGCGTCTTGCGTCGTAGAGGTCGATACTTGGGAGGATGGTGAGCAGCCAGGGGTGGTCTGGCGTTTGACGTAGAGCGACGTGAGGCCAGCCGCTAGAATGGGTAGCCAAAAAGCGATAAAATATGGAAGATAGTTTCTCTTGAGAATAGTCAGACGCTTCATGAAAAGGATCTGGGCCTGTTTCACATATCCAACTTTCTGGCCATCCAGCAGCTTTAGGCCGCTCTTCTTCGGGCTTTCATCTCCAGAATGCTTTTCATGTAACTCTGTGGTGTTTTCCGAGTTGCGGAAAGCTTCCTCATCTTTGATCTCTTCAGCCACTTGCAGGAATACGTCTTCAATTGTGGGACCAGAGAAGCGATAGCCAGGAATACCTTCTTCCTCAAGAGTCTTGATGACCTTTGCGGAGAGGCTGGAGGAGGGTGACTTGTAGGTGACGAGGTCAAGTGTTTCCTTCTTGGTGACGCCTTCGATGTCTGGCGTATACTTCATACCAGTAGATTTCGGGATATGAACCTTGTACCCCCCACCGAGTTTGTCCTTGAGTTCAACTGAAGAGCCCTCAGCACGAAGAGTTCCCTTGGACAGAATGACGATATGATCAGCAAGCAGATCGGCCTCATCCAGAAAGTGGGTGGTGAGAATCAGAGTTCGCTTTCCGCGTTCTGCAAGGAGAATGTCCCATAGCTTCCGACGCGACAAGGGGTCAATACCGCTGCTGACTTCGTCGACACAGCACACGGCACTGCCACCAGTTAGCATCATACCCAGCTGCAATTTCCGCTTCTGCCCTCCTGAAAGTGTCTTTGACAGGGCTTTACGCTTCTTAGTCAGGTCAATTGCGTCAATGAGCTGAGTTATTTCCTGGGGCGTGGCCAGAGCATTAGGCGACTTCAGGCGGTTGAATATTCTGAGATGTTCTTCGACTGTCAGATCATCCCAAAGCACATTCTTCTGGGGCGCGATACCAAGCCCCCCTGTGCCATCAATGGCAATAGAACCGCTAGTTAATTTACTAAGGCCAGCAATGCTGTTGAGGGTGGTGCTCTTTCCTGAGCCGTTAGCACCAAGCAGGGCGACGATCTGACCCTTCCGAGCATTGAAACTGAGATCGTCTACAGCAATAACAGGCTTGGCAGGTTTAGATTTCTTGGCAAAGATTCGTGAGAAGATGTTCGGGTTATAGATTTTGGTGAATCCGCTCAACTCAACGGCATTTTCACCCAAAGCTGCTCCCCCAGCTTCTGGGAATTGGATCTTCCTGCCCTTGGTAGAGGTTCCATAAAGACTGTTCTCAATGATGGCGCCAATCAAGGGGTAGGCGAAAATTTGAATGATGACAAAAACCCAGAGGACAATACCAGGAAGGTTCCAGGGGCTGTTTGGAGGGGTTGCGGTCAGGTTGGTGGGCAATTGTTCCTTCTCAAAGCGAGCCATCAAAGTAATGAAGTAAACATAACTGCAAGGAGTAAACAGCACCGAGAGAGCGGCCACTACTCCTGTGCGAGGCGCCGTGATGGATTGAGCCAGAATACCAAGAAGAAGCGTGGCTAGAATGGCAGTGATGCCACTCAGTTGGGCCTTCTTGAACAGAGAAGCGAAGAGGATCGAAAATGAAGACAGGGCCAATCCAGCCAGGATATTGAAGATGATCAACACGCCCGGATTTGTGTGTGTGAAAACACCAGCTCGCAGGATAGCGGCGGAGATGACCCAGGCCGGAATATAAACGATGCTGAAGGATAGGTGGTGTGAGATGATACGAGCGGCCTGTGACATCCATGGATATTTCACGGGCATCATGGCATCGATCAAATTTGCTATGCCGTTCTCTCGCTCAGTGGCAATGAACCCCGTCAAGTGGTATGTAACCCAGAGGATGGTGGCGATAAAAGTGACACCCATGAAGTTAATGATAGCCTGGCAGTAGATCTCCCGGATGTATTGCTGCCGCTCTGGTTCGGTCAAGCTGGTAAATGCAAGTTCTTTGGTGTTGGCCAACGGATCGGCTTCGGGGGTTTGGAGCTTAGCAATGATCTGATCGACAGCGCGCTGCGTAGGAATCATATAGACCTGGGAAGGGTTCTTGGTGTTCTTCACGCTGAACCTGACGGAGCTGCGTGTGAAGTCGGCGTCGGTCCGGATGGTGTAGTTCCAAAGGCCACCGCTCCCCTCGTTTGGTGAGGACCTCATCACCACGGCATTGAAGCAGGTCGTAACGCCGCGCAGGGTGCTACGGCAGTGCCTAGGGATATCACTTTCACTATCGATGCGGATGACTTGTATGTCAGAGTTGGCATTTGTGGTTGCCGTAGCCAGCTGATCAAAGACTCGCTCGATATCGCCGCCAGTAAAGCCATTGTTGACTAAAAGAACCTTGTCTCTGCCAGTACTCTTGCCAACTTCGTAGGCGTCGCCCAGGGATCGAATGGCACTGGGCGTGGCGATACCAAAATCGGCTGGGGGGACAAAGAGATTCCTTGCGAAGCTGAAGAAGGCGCCGAGGAAGACGGGAACAATCAGGGCCATGAAGACTGTGATGGTTGGATGGCGCAGGAGAATGGACCTCCAGTTCTTGCCCATCAGGGTCCACGTCTGCTTGAGGAGAGCCATGATGTTGCACTTGTCGGGGCCGCTGGGCGCAAAACGAGGATCACCTGGCGAGGAGCGCTCAACTCAGTGAAGCAGCATGAACAGACAGACCGGGATGAGGGAGATGAGACCAGCAGGCGACGGGGATGGCAATTGCGAAACCAGCCATGAGCCTTGGCGCAGATGTCTCTGACCTTGAATCCCGTGGAGACGGTCAGTTGCCGCGATGATGGCGATGCTAGTGATGATGCGATGCGACGAAATGGGTGGCAGTCGCGAGAAACGACCAGCTAATTACCAATAGCCTGCGAGGGCGGAAGTACTACGGCTGCCGGCGCCGACACAGCACTCAAGACACACGGTAGAACGACTGGACGGAGGTCTCTGGGCATGCTCCTCTTTCCTGGACGGGGATGGGCGCATGCTCCATTTATTCAGTAGCTGTTCGATGGAGGAGTCCAAAGGCGACGGCCATGGAGATTTTGGGGGGAAGTGGCAGTGTCTCCAGGATCCAGACCGCGCTGTGGGGCGAGCCATCTCACTATTTCCGATGTACGTGTATACGGAATAAAGGTGTGTATTGGCATCGAGTGTATACGCAATCGATCTCTATCCGCCTTAGGCAGACACAAACAGCCCCCGTCAAAGCTTTCATCACTACAGTTCGGGGCTTGGGCACTAGGCAATTGCGCCTGCTGGGCTCTCCATGTGCAGTTCCAGTGGCTTCGTGGGGGGGTTCTGCTCGATCTTCGAGACGTACGACTAATACAGGCCACAGAACATGAGACCGAGGCATACGGTAATAATGCGCAGTGCCTCGTGTGGACGGCTCTTTCTCACGCCATTCCCTGTCATTGACCTCGGACTGGCATGGACCGCTGGAATACGCGTTTACCCATGAAGCGGCCTCCGAACACAGCTGCGCCAAGCTCACCAGACGCCTTGGCCATAGATTAGCTGACAGCATTCGCGTTATTGGAATTAGCTTGGTGATGCGATGAGGAGTTCGGACTTTAGATCGACCCGTTGCGACTGATTTCACTCTAAAAGGTGGATCCCTAACGCAGAATGGCAACCCATTCGACGGTTATTGCTTCAGGTTGGATTAGACCTTGCAAGCAGGTGTGTCATCGGGATTCGGATGGCGGAATATATGCCGGATCCCTGCTCGCCGAATCCAGGTTCCAGGTGCCTCCAACCGCCTTCACGCCAGCGGTACTAAATTGCTGAAGATAATCGTCAGGGGACTGACTACCTACCTGCAGTAATGCGCTGGTGCTAAGCCTTTCGGTGTCGCTTATTATGCGTCACCCCTTCGTAGCTTCCAGGTTTCAGTACACTGATAAATCCCCCAGTCAGCTCTGTATGTACCATCTCTGCAAGATACTATCAATATTAGAGAAGAACAACATAGAGCCTTGCCAGTAGTTAAGGTAAGGTAGGCACAGGTATTTACAAGCCCCAAAGGCGTTTAGCAAGCGCTCAGAGGGCTGAAATACCGATAAGAGATAGCCATAGCCGGCCCCACTTCTTTGATGACGCATGAGCGCGCATCTTAACGTGAATTCTCATCCGGACTGAGGCACCGTTAATCAAGCTTCATTCCCAGCCCCTAACTTCAATTATCATGTGAATTTGCTAGGGGCGGGGGCAAAGGGGAATTATAACCTTAAAAATGGTGGGGAGAAGACGAAATGGCGCCGGCAGAGCCTCCACTGCTGCAGCTGGGAGGCCGAGCGCCCCTGATATCTACCATGAGATGCTTACAGAGGCCGGCGTCTCTTCACGCCAGCAACCCATCGCCGAACGGCCGTTAAAGCGGAGGCGCGTCGGTCGCAATGCCGATCCAGTAGAGGATGGGCCATCATCGGCGGCCCCTGCCACGGTTGTGGACAAGGCGGAGCAGAACCGTGAGGCTGTCCAGGATGATCCTGTCCCCGCGCCAACCGTGCAGACCATGGAAAGAGACTCGGATGAAAGTGAAGACGAGGATGTCGAATTCGAGGACGTCGATTTTGAAGCTTGGCTGAACGCCGGGACTGGTGAAGGACCATCCGGAGCAGCAGGAGAGCCGTCGGGCGAGCCGGAGGAGGAGCCGGCAGAGCTCGAGCTTAACCTGACGGCGCAAAGGTCGGAAATGACACCGAAGAAGAAATCTGTTGCTCGCGCGAAGCCTCTCTCAAGGGAAGAGAAGGAGCGCCGTACTCAGGTGCATCAGATGCACTTGCTTTGCCTCCTGTCGCACGTTGCGAAGCGGAACCATTGGTGCAACGACCCCAAAGTGCAAGATTTATTAAGATCGCTTCTCCCGAAGAAGACAGTCACATACCTCAACCCTGGATCCGACCTATCACAGTTCGGTTGGACTAACAGCCTGAAAACCGGACTCCAGCAGGTAGCGGAGATATGGAACACCAAATTCGAGATCACGGAAAGAGGGCTGAGGCGATCGCTTTGGGCTGAAAATCCGGAGCAGCTGCAGGATGTAGGTATTCAACCAGACCGATTCGCGAGATTGCGCTGACATGTATGTTTTGCAGTATGAGGCACCGGACGATATGGAATCGTGTCTTGACCGCGAGGACTTCCGTCATTCTGCTAAGAGATTAGAGGGATCCCGAGATGTCGGGGCGCAGCTATATTGCGCGCTTTTGAGAGCCGCTGGTGTCCGCGCTCGTCTGGTGTGTTCACTACAACCCCTCGCATGTGTGTCCGGGGCGCCGGTCCTTGCAAAGCCGAAGGAATCGAAAACGAAAGCCTCCAAAGCATCGAGGGCGGAGCAAGTCCGAGCCTCGATGGCCCAATATGAGGAGAGGTCGAATGCTGCCAGGGCGTCCCTGGCTGAAGGTCTGGGTGGCTCTACCGCTCTCCGAAGGCTGGGCCATCCCAGCGCAACCGCCTACAACTTCAAACCAGCTGCAGCACCGCCCCCGAAGCCAAAGGCTGGGCGTGGCTTCAGTGCGCCGAAGCGCATCCGCGAGTCTCCGCAGCCGGTGTATTGGGTGGAGGTGCTCGACGTAGGGCACCAGAAATGGCAGCCAGCGGATCCGGTCGTCACCAACACATTTTGGAAACCCAAGGTTTTCGAACCGGCCATGACGGACAAAGAAAACCTCATGTCGTATGTCATTGCGTTCGAGGCTGATGGCTCAGCCAAAGATGTGACGAGAAGATATACCAAGGCATATACGTCCAAGACCAGACGGTGGAGAGTTGAGAACGCTTCGGAAGGGGGTGAGCGTTGGTGGCACAAGGTGATGAAGTCATATCAGAAGCCAGTACCCGATGTGCTCGACCAGATCGAAGACAACGAGCTTGTGGGGGTAGAGGCCCGGGAACCGATGCCGCGAAATGTCCAAGATTTCAAGGATCATCCCATCTACGCTCTTGAGAGACACCTCCGCCGACATGATGTATTGATCCGAGATGCGAAGCCTTCTGGCACGATTAGTGCGGGGAGGGGGATGCCCTTAGAGAAGATCTACCGGAGAAGAGACGTCAAGATTGCGAGGACCGCTGACAAATGGTATCGAATGGGACGGGAGGTACTGCCGAATGAGATACCTGCAAAATGGGTTCCAAAAAGAGCTCAACCCAAGAAGTCCAGATATGATGACGACAGGGAAGATGAGCGTGAGAAAGATGATGCCGGGATGCCGATATATACAATAGACCAGACGGAGCAATACGAGGCTCCCCCAGTGAGGGATGGGAAAGTACCCAAGAACAAGTTTGGCAACATCGACCTCTACGTCCCGAGTATGGTACCAAGGGGAGGTGTCCATGTCGAACACGAACAGGCATCCCGAGCGGCTTATGTGCTGGGAGTGGATTACGCCCCGGCGTTGACTGGCTTCTCATTCAAAGGGCGCCAAGGATCAGCAGTGCTCAACGGCATCGTAATTGCAAAAGAATACGAAGAGGCTGTACGGGAAGCCATCGAAGGTTTAGAAAATATGGAGCAAGAGGCGGAGATAGAGAAACGACGGCAAACAGTACTACGGGTATGGAGGAAATTTATCATGGGCTTGCGAATCAGGGAGCGGGTTTGGGCAGGGGTGGACGAGGAGGAGCGGATGGAAGCTGAACGTGAGGCTGAGCGTGAAGCCGGCTTGGATGCAGAGATTGAGGATGCGCCGAGTGATGTGACTGAGGAATTTGATATGGTGACTGGAGATGATGATTACAATGATGAAGACTACGGGGGTGGTGGATTTCTCGTTGACTGAGGTAGAGGAGGTCCCTATGAATAGAATCACACCTCTAGGGAACCTTCAGTGCATGATTGCGGTAAGAATGCGATTCTTCAAATACGAAGGGCTGTCCTGCCCCTCCAACTACAAATGTCCTTCAAAGAGAGGCAGTTATATACCTGCAATCTATTATATTAACCCTTTGTTAGTATGTGCGAGAATCCATGTTGGTGATCTTGACGCGTCCTCATCTGTATCCTCTCAAAGGTTATTTCTACACAGACGACGTGCGATGATGTACAGAATCTCATGCTGCGAACTTATGATATGGAGACCAACCAGGTACCCGTCTCATTGGTCAGACATTGATTGGATACTTGAAAACTGCGCATCTCTATTCGAGGGAATAATGATAATTACTGCCAATCAGCGTGCTCGTTGAAAACCCCTCCTGTGCTTCCCGGGAGAGATTATCCTCCGCGCTGAATCCAGATTCCGCTACTGGAGGGGTCTCAAACCGGAATCGGAGACGACACGGAGTTTCTTCGCTGTTGAGCAGCATTGCTACTCAAGCACTGGTTACTGTGCCGATTTTTGGCCTATCAGAGAAAAGCCTTTCCAATGAAGCGAAGTTTGTTTTTGTTTCGTTATGAAAGCGGTCGACGATCCTCTTTACCTCAGCTATTTCACTTCTCAAGTTTGCCTGTTCAGTTCTGAAGGATGTCATGTCATTTTTCATGTCCAACAGTAAAGCCATTGTGTTGGGTTCATCGGGGGAGCCATTCGCACCATTGGCTATTGACAGAGTTGACAGTGGTATCCTGAGAGGAACCGTTCGTGTCGTTGTTGGGACTCATCTTGGAGTAGTATAAGGAGGTAGTGAAAAGAATCGACAAGATGGTAGCAAGAAGTGGACTAAAAGTGATGCTTGGAATGATATGATGTTGTGTTAGGAGGAAGAAAGACAAGGAGCTGTGGGGAGATGACCGGATAGACCCTGGGTTGTGCCGTCGATCCGCACCCTTGACATGGTGTAACACTGTGTCGATTATTATTAACCTTGATCGGTGTGAATGCATCGTGGTGCTAAGTTGGATATAAACCTTGTGCCGCACGAGCGAAAGTGATTAATGTCCATGTTTCAGGCCCATACGAGCAATGAGCAAAGTACGGCGCAGGTCTACCTTGAAGATGAATCTGATCCTTAGTATGACTGCCTCTCTTTGAAGGATATTTGTAGTTGGAGGGGCAGGACAGCCCTTCGTATTTGAAGAATCGCATTCTTACCGCATTCATGCACTGAAGGTTCCCTAGAGGTGACAAATCGTCAACGCATGTTCGTTTACTTGTTTCTTCCCACCATGAGCAAGGTGTATCCTAAGATTAGGCCACGCACATGACTATATCGTAATGTTTTTTACATGGTCTATACCTGAACCTTTCATACTAATCAAAGTGAGAAATCTAACACACGTAGCCTAGGAATAGGCATCAGCACCTCAGAAATATTATAGTACGAGCTGGCCAGTATATAACTTGGCCATGGTCCCCAAGGGGAATGCTCAGAACCACACCTCTCTCTAAACCACGATATTAGCATTTGATATTATTATCCCTACCACATCACCTAAGGCCCGGTTAGGGCAAATGACTAGGTCTAGAAAACATGATGACGACTATCAGGAACAAGCCAAAGCAGCTCTATTCAAATTTGATCAAACATACAAACCTCCCATTAGTTGGTGAGCCTGGTATAGAGATGCTTTGGGTTATTTCTGATAGTCGTCCTCATGTGCTCTAGGACCTGGACATTTGCCCTGACTGGTCCCTGGGGGTAGGGAATCAAAGCATGTATTGTTTACTTATGGCTACCGAGCCAAAGAGTTGCTTTGACTAGAATTCGATACACGCAAGCTGGGTGTACTGTTTTAGTGCATTGCTTAGGTATTACCCTGAGCGCCTGCGGGGGCAATAGGGTTTAGAGTGCCCGTGTGCTAGCGCACATCGGTGCCTAAGAGAGCTGGAACAACACCGCCCATACAAGGGCGTACCTACTGGCTGGATGTGGCCACCCTACTGAAATGGAGATTGGGGGAGCCTCGAAAAATACTTCACCACCGGCATCAAACCGCACCTCACGCGAATGTCTAACCATGCCTCGTCTCTTTCTCATTATCCACCTTCCATGATACCCATGCAATCCTCCATGGCCCATATTTTGCTATCACTGAGGGTCGGACTATCTCCATTCCCAGGAAGGAGCAAGCTATCTTTTCCACTCGTCCGGCTGGAGCAACGGACGCACGACGCTGCTAGCTTGCCTCGCATGTGGACTCAATCTTGTATCATTTAATAATGTCTCGCTTCGCCATTTGCTATCTTCGTATTTAACTGATCCATCTAGCTACTCCCCAGCTCAGTGCGCTCTCTGGGTACTACTACGGGGGGATGCACTTGGGTAAGGAACCACGACGCGTCTTTTTTATAAGGAATTGAAGCAGTGGTATATCTTCAACGTGTCCAATCAAACGATGCCAGTCCTCATCATCAACACCTTAACACCAAAAGAAGGGAAGAAAAAAAAACAGAAAAAGAAAGCAAACCAAAGAAACAAAGTCAGACAATCAGCAGCTAACAGTCGCTGTCTCATTACTTGGTGATCCATCCAAGGTAATCGGCAACGATCAGGGTGACCATCCTACATTAGCAACATCGTTAGCACACCGTTGACATCGAAATCCAAGGACGGCGGGGTTCACTTACGCATGAGGGGCAATTCGGATATAGTAGGTACCGAAGCCACGGTAGAATCGCAGGGCACCTTCTTGACGGGCAACTTTGGCGAAGCAGTCAACCATGCCACGGTAAGGGAGCTTGCCGTCGGGACCCTTCGTCTGCTTCTGGAGACGGGTCTTGACAAAGTCAAATGGCAGACTGAAGAAGCTGGCAAAGAAGCCAGCGATCGCACTCGCGCTGAGGGTCTGGGCTTGGGAGGAGAGGCCGCTGTTCTTCAACTGCACCTTGGCTTCGCTGAAGAAGGCGAGCTGGCCAAAATTGAGAGCCATGGCACGCGCGATGGTGGGTGCGGCGCCAGCCCACAGAGCAGCTACTCCCTCGGACCTGGCAATGGATCCCAGGGCATCGATGACTGACTTGTAGTTCTTTCTCTCCGCGAGCGGCTTGAGGCCGTCGCTCTGCATGCGGATCAAGGCCAGGTCTGCAGGGTTCCCGATCATGGCTGCGATGCCACCTGCCGAGAGACCTGCAGTGGCTCGATCGGAAAACCCGATCTGGCGACCTTGCTCCTTGGCCCGGGCCGTCAGCTTAGCCATGAAGGTATCGAAGAAGCCCAAGCGGGCGGTGGTGTATACTGCCTGGCGCAGCAGGCCCGCAGACAGACCCGTGTACAGGTCAAGGACCTTCCCGCTGCCGACGATCTGTCGAGTGACCGACAAGGCGGTAGGCTTGGGTCCGCCTGATACCCCCTCGCCAGCAAGCTGGATGCGGACCTTGACCATGTCGACGGGCTGGATGACGGTCGTGGCGACCATACCACTGATACCTCCATTGATGAACGGCAGTGCGGCTCGGGCAAACGGAGTCTGAATGAAGCCAGTAGCCACAGCGGCGGTGCTTGTTTTGGCGGCACCAATGACTTCGGTCGTCTTGGACCTGGCCGACTCGGCCGCTTGCTTCAAACTTCCAGTAGTCATTTTGGTGTTGCTTTTCTGGTTTACCCAAGTTTATTTGGATCTGAGCGCGAGCGAGTGTCGAGGGGGGGTATGCCCAGCCACAATAAACGAAGAACTATGCCTCTTTTCCTTGTGTGGTCTCGGTTCAAGGAAGAGCAGGTGTCTTTCAACCGAGTTGTGATGGCTCGCGGCTATCTATTGGCTCACGGTTAACCGAGGAACTGACCAAGAAAACATGCAGAGATCGGTTTTGGCATCTTGGGGGGCCATGATGATATTATATCCTAAAGGGAACGGCAATTGATGACATAGGGCTCTGTGAGGTGGGCACAAATGGGCAAAGGTAGGCTCGGACGTATGTCAATGAGGATTCTCATGACCGACAACAGCCGGGGGCATCACCTCGGTCGTCCGACGAAGCTATTAATCTGCAGCAATCCATTGCAAGGAAGCGCTGATGCGTGGTGTTGAGTGGGCCCAGCTATCGGCTCGGGAAGTGCAGGGAAGTGCAGGGAGCGCGCCAAATGGGTCGTTGAGGCTGCATCACATTGAATCACGACAGCCGTGGTTGGTGGTCCGGCTGTGTCTAATCCGGTGGGTCGCAGATCCAGTCGACGACGAGCATCGACGTGAGAAGGGCTGGAGGTGGAACATGCCAGGAGGAATGGCCCAGACCTACAAGCCGGCGACCACGACAAGGATCCCAGCGGCCGTGGATCTCTCCGTCATGCAGCGATGGGGCGTGTGAATTAACAAAACCCTACTCACATTGTCTCTTGGAGTCGACGCTCCAGTCAATGATTCGTGGCTAGGACGAACGTGCGGTCCAGCGAGTGGAAGTGGGACGTGAGACAGATACGCCAAGGCAATCGAGCTCCGCAAATGCCTAGTTCTGTCGAGCCGACGATAGCTGAAACTAGCGAAGAAAACGAGGCCGTCTAATAACCGAGATGCGCAGTCTGGCAATCGCTACGAGATGTACACGGCAGCAACGTTGCGTGCTCGCTCAGCATGTATGGGAGACTCGCGCAAGTAATGACAGGAGACAAAACGAGGTGGATGGAGAGGAAAACGGCGATCTTCGGCGGTTGGGAAGAAGCGATGATGGCATACTATTTGAATGGGGGAATGCCAAAAGCGCCTCCTCTCCTCTTTTGCCTCGACCTCATCGATCCGACTGCCACCATGCTTGACAATGGTGGTAAAGTGAGGAGTCGTGGCAGCTCTCATCCAGTAGCCACCCTCCAACACACGTCATCTCGACCATTCACATTGCCAGTCTGGATGGAGGTTTGGCTAAGTAGATGGTAAGTTCCAATGACATGTGGTGGTGTTTGACCTCTTTTACGACTAGTGCCCAACGACCAAGCGTGCGGGGTACCGTTGACGAGCCAGTGCCTCGACTCATCATTAAACTTTGAGAAGGGAGGGGGGGGGCGGAGATGGATGGCTACGCGAGGAGCTGTCACTCCAGAACACCAGCCACAGGCACTCTCGACGTATTACAAGGAGCAATTACGATGTCGGTTCCTGGACTGGATTCTGAGGGCCAAACAAGGTCCAGCGTGGACACTACTGGCCCAGAAGTCCACCCCGGTGCTGGTAGCAGATGCTAGGCCCATGTCAAGCGGAGGACCCTGATGGGAGTCGCAGCCCTGCTTATTGGCTTGGGAGTACTCAATACGGAGAAATGACACAAGAGCACACATCATGTAAGAGGGATGCTGGTGCGGCCTAGCCCGGACGCAGTATTTCCACTCCTTCTGATTGGCGCAAGTTGAATGTCCAATGAACTTGGCGCTATTACTACGGATAATCGAATCCACCGCAGGGACAGTCGGGCATGGGCATTGGCCTGATGGTGATGCGAGGGAGGGCTCTCAGTGCGCTGCTGCTCAGTTGCTACCACAGCATGTAAGTGCTGTTGGTCGGTGGGCCTTAGTGGACCTGCAGCGGACTGCGGGGCTCCCTTGAGCTCTAGGCCCCCCAGAAAGGGAACTAGCCCAGCGGATTGCCAGAGGCCTGAGACGCTAAGCAAGACGCCGACCTGCGACTTTGTTATCGGGACGCACTTTGTATCACCGAACCCTGAGATCCTCGGTTAAGCTCACGAAAATGAAGCCTCGACAGCCGAAGTCAGCAAATCGCATCTTCTTATCGTCTGGTCCTATAGATACCTGATCCCTGGACGGACAAATAAATCATATCGGGAATCTCCTCTACCCAATCACCTGCAAGGTTCCCCTGAAGGTTCATTGGGGCGTTGAGCTCCCACCAAAATGACGTCGTTTTATGGTGTGCAGCTCTACTATCCCCAACAGCCGTGTCTTCCGATAACGGCCATCGAACCTTGGTAATGCTTTCGGTTTTCAGCATGCCAACATATTAAGAATAATGATCAAGTGGCTATTCGGTCCAGCTAAGGCACCTGGGCGGGACCGGCTGCTATACCAAGGAGGACGGATGGTGGGGGAAACCGATCCAGCTCACCAACTTTATCCTCCATGTCCGTTGTGTTATCTCAGGAAGCAATCGCGATATCCACATCCCCAACTACGTCGTAATAAACTGGGAAATGAACCATAATGCCACCATGGGTCATTGTTTGGTCTGACAATTATTGATTGTTCATGGCCTTGAACTCCCTGGACGATTCGTCATGATAGCCGTCATCCGGCAAACGGTTCGGCTACCGTGAACGTCTTAAACCGAAAACTCCCGCCGGTCCGGTCAGTTGCGGCATTGTCTCATCACGACGATTTCATGATTCACAAACCGCCAGCAGCCTACGTGCTGCGCCCGCTTGGCATCCCGCGGAAATGGCCGCCTCGTCGGTAAGCGCGCTGAGCGGGCTGTGATTTGTCTGCCTTCAGACACCAAGCGAGGGTATATCTGCAACTAAAACGATGCGAGATCAAGGGTGGGAGGCAAGACGACGTGGGTGAAATCACAGATTGGCACCTGAATGCAGCATCTATCTACGCCCACCCCCCTTTTCCCCTTTCTTTTTTGAGATCTCAGCTCAGCTTGATTCATCTGCGATGCATGCACGTGGTAAAACAGAGGCTGGTGAGTCGAGTTGATGGAATGTAGAATTCTCTCTACTCTCGATTCAATTTAGTGTCCAACCTCGGGGGCTGCAGATGCAGACAGACTGCACACATACCGCCATATTGCTTGGCCTATGTGCGTCCTCTTATCTCATGCTAGTACCAGCTTGCATCAGCGAATTACACATTCAACGCAGAGAAAACCCACTTGTCGTCACATATAGCTAATAGATTTTGAGACAATGACTAACCGGCATGAAGCTCCTGACTCATAAAACGGAAAGGCTCTCGATGCCAGCCAGCTTTGTCAGAGGAGCTCCAAGCCTCGGATAGCACCCACCCTCGCGAGGCCGGCTCAGTTACTTGAGGGGAATGTCCCGAGTCGCCCTCCGTCGATGACAATCACCGTTCCGTTGCAATACGCCCCGGCCCGAGAGGCAAGATACAACAAGGTTCCGCCCATGTCCTGACTAGTTCCCATTCTCCCTAGAGGCACCATCGTGTTGGGTAAAGCGCCCGGGCCACCTGAGCCATCCGAGTAGAGGTTGACGATGGGCTCCGACATCTCGCTCGGAAATACTATGGCCGGAAAACCAGAGTCAGCACCCCCACTCAACCTCTTAATCCGAGTTGTCGGATCGGATGGGGGTTTAACCGCCTTTGTGACAAGATGGACGGGATAAACTTACAGCCTGGCGCGATACAATTTGCTCTGGGGATCACAAATTTGCACTCGGTCAGCAAGATGGTTCTCGTTCACGTATCCGGCGACGGCAACCGCCGAAAACTCACCGGATATTCCACTGAGGCAACGCCACGGCGAGCTGCTTGGCCGCCAGCGTGGCCCCTGCCTTTGACTGCCCATAGGCCCAGCCGCCGGGTGCTTTCTTGTTGAAACTGGCAATTGAGCTTGTAATTATTACCTGTGAGGACTGGTCCAAATTCCCCTTCTTATTACCGAGGTCCAAGAGCTTCAAGCAAGCCATACTGGTGAACCAGACGGCAGCCGTGTTCACGGAGAATGTCTGGACATAATCATCAAAGCTGACTTCCAGATTGGCCTTGGCCCACTCCTCGGCCGTAGTGTCGGGCGTTGGGAGCTTAACCTGCGGCCCTCCGATGCCTGAGTTGCAGACGAGCAAGTTGAGGTAGCCGCTGTCCTTCTCGATGGTCTCTACCGCCTGTGCCAGGCTCTCCTTGGAAGTCACATCGCACTGGATGGGAATCACGTTGGGGCCGACGGAGCTCACTGCAGAGTCCAGGATCTCCTTTCGTCGCCCAGCAATGTAAACTTTGGAAGCCCCGTTCTCAACCAATGCTTTTGTAATCATCAGCCCAATGCCTAGGAGGGTGTCAGTACATGCCTCACGTGGCCGCATTGATATGTCCGAGGTCTCTGCTCGCGTGTCCCACCTGTTCCTCCTCCAGTGGCCAATGCCACCATGTTGTCCACGTTGAACAGCGTAGAGGCTGAGAGGCTGCCAGGGGAGGAGTTCTTGGAAGCCATGATCAATCACTATGGCCGAGGTCTTGAAGCTAGGTATGTACGGTCAAATAGAATTCAATACACCGATATACTGTGTTTGTATAACAATGTCGATTATTTGGATGAGGGTAGTATTCCGTAATACTACACCAGTTACCAATTGTCCTATGACTATTTATCTTTTGGGCGTAATCGGCGCAACCCCGCCAGTGGAGCTCTCTTCACCCCGCCGTCGTCATTGCGATTTGGTCCCTGTCGACCATTGTTATAGCGGTCTTATCCACACTGTGCAATTCACGCTCAAATCGTACAGTGCATCTTTTCAATTCATACTCCTGGCACAAACCCGCCGGACCCAGTTAATTTTTTTGAAGATGGTCCAAATCAGAACCTCTGGAAATCATATCTAGAAGACTTCTCGGCACAGAAACAACACAAATCCGCCATGTCTAAAAGAAAGCGGAATTCGGAGCCCACCCTGCAAGACCAGCTCACAAAGAGCCAGGATGAGCTGTTCCGGGCCCTAAAGGCCGCCAAGGGCTTCGAGCGACAGCGCCTCAGCAAGCGGCTTCACGAGGCTGGCATCACGCCCGACAAGCAGGAAAGGCTGGAACGGGAGGTTGCCGTTCTCAAGGTTCGATCCCCACATCTGAACACATGTATTTCAATCGCATGGGGTTTTCTCTACCTCCAAGAACATCACTGGTTAACTTTGCCAACGCGCAGTCACTCGAGCTCCACCAGACCGCGCGAGCGCACCTCTTCTCCTCGCTCCTCAAGGTGAAGGCGATCGCGGCATCCACCGACCTCCCCGACGAGATACGCACCGGCGTGCCCAGGCCCGAGCTCTCGGAGGAGGAGAAATCGGCGCTGCACAACGTGACCAGCGGGCTGTACAACAGGAAGCCGGTCAAGGACGTCGTGGACCGGGCGATCGGGTCGGTGTGCAGGATCCTCGGGGTGCCGGTCCCGTCCAAGGGGGGGAAGCAGGGGAGGAAGGACAGGCGGGGGGATGCGGAGGATCAGCCGGCCGATAGGATATCCCATGAAGCCGAGGACGAGGTCAATCTTCCTCCGGAGAGTGGTGATGGGGCGGGCGAAGAAGGCCCGGACGAGGTGACGGATTTTGAGGGCTTCAGTGATGACGGCGAACCCGGTCCTGAGGTCGCGGGTGTTGCTTCGGACAGCGAGGGCGAGGATGGGGACGTTGAAGAGGGTGAGTTCGCGGAGTACAGCCATCTACTTGGGAGCTCCTCGGAAGATGAGGATGCGGAATTCGACGACAAACGGTATGATCAGTTCAGAGGCCGGGAAAAGGTCAATCTGGACGACATCTCAGTTTCGGGATCCGATGCAGACGTGGAGGTTGGGGAGGAGAGCGATGATAATGACGAAGACGAAGAACAAGAAGAAGAAGAGCAAGAGGCTGAGAGCGACCAATCGTCCTCGCCTCCGCCCCCAACAAAGAAGACAAAAAGGAGCAAAGATCCCGGCCCCATCAGAGACTCAACTTTCCTGCCGTCTCTGATGGGAGGCTATATGTCCGGTTCCGAATCAGCATCAGATGTGGACGTCGAGGCGCCCAAGAAAAGAAGGGGTCAGAGGGCTCGACAGGCCATCTGGGAGAAGAAGTTCGGCGCCAAGGCTAAGCATCTCCAGCGGAAGAAGAGGAAAGGGGGCAGGGATGACGGATGGGATATGAGACGAGGAGCCGTCGACGGAGATGACCAGGGTCGCAGGACGCCATGGAAAAAGGGTGTGAGCAACCCTTTCTTAAATAAGGGCAGAGGTGATGGCGATGGTTCTAGTTTCCAACCAAAGCCGCAGCCGCCCAAGCCAACCAAGCGGGATGATGAGGGAGTACTGCACCCCTCTTGGGAGGCGGCCAAGAAGGCTAAGGATGCTCAGAAGGCAATCGCTTTCTCTGGAGCAAAGATCGTTTTTGACTAAAGATACCACAAAATTTTGCATCATCATCAAATTTTAATTACCATGCCATTCTATCAGAAGTGCTGACCGTCTTATGCCTTGCACTGTATATCTCAATCAAACATTACCCGTCTATGAGAGACGTATTTAGGGGTATTTCTGCCGTCTCATCTGCCCATCTTTGATCTTAAAACTCGCTCAGCCGCCCAAGCATTAGTCTTCATCAATCTCTGTCTTTAAAACATTTCCTTGAACTGAGCAAAGACAGTCCCGTCACCTCCGAACGTGCCACTACCTGATTCAGATCTTTCCATTTCAGGAGCATTAGGCCCTGGGTTCTCCTCTTCCTCGCCTCCCGGAGTTTGTACTCCATTCAAGCCAACATAGCCTTCAAATATTCGAGACATCTCGCTTTGTATCAGTGACCCATTTTGATCCACCGTAGCTCCCTGTTGGAACTGCCCAGCCGGTAACGAGGGCCGTTGGAATGGCGAGGGTCTACCCGAACCAGAATCCAAATGGCCACGAGCAAGCCCAATCATGCCAAGAGCGGCTGTGGAATGAGGATCGTCATCTGGATTCAGGCCAAATCGAGGTGCAACGTCCTTGAGGGACCGTATCGTTCTCCACAAACGCTTCGACACCCAGCTCTTGGCGGACAGATCTTTCACCAACTCAAGGGCCAGGTAGAACTCTTCGCGACAGACTGCGCTAAATCGCACTGGCGCGTGGACAGATGCAAGAAACACAACTCCGATGGCAGATGTCAAAAACTGGTTGTAAAAAACTTGAATGCGACGATAAAGATTTGTTGTCGTGTTGAGATGGTTGAGGTAACGGATCGTGTCCTTGGCAAGATCGACGACTCGCTGAGCCTGTATGGGGTTGGCCATAATGCTAGTAGCACTATGCAACACTGGCGTGTATAGCCAGATGCGAATCTGAAGCTCATTAGCTTCCACCTGAGCCAGCATATCGGGTGACATACCTGATTAAGTCTCAAATACGTCCATATCCGCAGACGTTGAAGGTTATACGAGGGCGTCAATGTCATGTGTCTGTCCTTGTCCCAGCTCCTAACTTTGACCTCTTCAGGAACAGTTTCATACCATTTTAGAATATCTTTATCAAGGTTCTCGATTTCTTCTTGGCGCAACTCTCGTGCCAGGATTGGTCCAAAATGCATCACTTGACGCCAGACCTTAGCACACAGTTTTGAGTATGTAATCATAGCCATCAAATAGGGATATTCCTCCTAAACAGCACCGTTAGAAATTTCACCTCATGAGTTTTAAGGCAGTTCATCTTGATTTGTCTTACCGGTACCGGTAAGTGAGGGTCGATATCATCATCCTGTACGACATATGGCAGCCCAGTACCAAAGGCCCACCTGCGATCGAGAACGTAGGCAGACCAAAAGCTGTTCAGGGCATTTTTTCTATCCAGTTCATTGCGAATGCCCAAGAGACCGCTTCTCTGATGAATCCCGAGCTCAAGACACAGTCTGGCGACCTGACCCATCACTCTCCAGGAAAGCACTTCGTCGTTGGACAGGAAGCGATAGCCTGCCAAGAGCGCTAAGAGTGGCAAACTCGATACATCGCTCGTGTCTGCCATCAACTTTCGATTAACAACTGCCTCCATGCTGTTGTAGAGTCGTGCAGCTTTTTCGCTATGGCCATGCTCCTCGACAACAAGCCCACAACACATAACCATCTTCAGCTGTAGCGTCTTCTCATCATTCAGAGCTTCTAGCGGTTGCTGATTTCTCAGCGATTCAATGACAGAGGCTAGGCTTTTAGCATGAGAGATGACAGCTTGGATGTCAAGGACAGGGTACATAATCCCAACCTCCTCTTCGTGTAACCGGCATAGACGAACCATTTCGTCTCTCTCAAATTCAAGCAACGGATCAGGAATCGCCTGCCCAGACTTCTCTACCATTGGCAGCTGATTATCCTCCAAAAATTGCTGAGTCTGGAGATCATCGCCCTCATTCGACACCTTATACCCCATGTTTGCCATCGTAGTGTTAGCAACATCCAAGCTATATACCATGGTCGTCGGTCCTCTGAAAGATCCTTGCCTGGTAGAAAAAGCTTCGGGGCGATGCACGGTGCCTCCACTATGGGCTGGCGTAGGCGCGGAGGATATCGAGGCAGCCAATCGATCTGTCGGGGGAGCCGGGTGCGCAGCATCATCCTGCAAGGATTTGACGGTTTGATTCAGCCAATTGACCTCATCTTGCAGCCGACTGATCTGTGCTGTGACCTGCTTGAATTCGTCCGAGTCTTTGAAAGTGCTGGAACAGCAGTTGGGGGCGTACAGGCACGCCAGGTTGAGGTTCCCGCATCGTTGGCATGGTGTCTCACCATTGCATTTGATCTTGCGTCGTTTACACTCGTTACTAATCCAGAACGGTCAGTCATAAAGGGCCCTGGCGCGGGGAATTATTGATCAAGGCGGCACGGCCGTAGTGGTTGGTTGGACAGAAAATATCCGAGGTGCGTATGTCTTACCAAGCGATGGAGATGTACTGTACGACGGGCGGATACGAGGATTAGCGAGAGCGAACTTCTACAAAGCACCTGCTGCAAGCCATGTGCACTAGGCCGAATAAACGGTGGCAGTGAAGTGGAAGCATTGTACGTACTCGGTTCCTCTTGCTCCTGGTCTGTTTGCTGGCACTTCCGTCATCCACTGATTTGCGCTTGTTGGAGCTGTATGGAGCTACAACTGCTGTGGCGGTTGGAGCGGAATTGTCTCCGACAGATGCGGAACCAGGACTGTGCTGGGGCACCGGGGTGTCGTAGACTGATGCAGCGTCGCTCAAGGAGACGGGAGCCTGGGCGAGGTAACGCAGGTCCGTTGCCTGGGTCTCAATCTGCTCCATCGTGCATCGACGGCCATCCAGAGGCTGGAGACAGCAATGATGTCGCTGGATGAAGCGGAAGCAGCAACTGCATAGCGACGACTTTCAGCTTGCCCCGAATTGGTCAGTTCTTCTGTTTCCCCAGGATGAGAGACCACGTGACCGCTGGTCCTCTCTTGCCTCTGGCCTGCGGGTAAATTACCCTCCGACCCAGCCTAGGCCTTACGGCCTACCCTGCAGCTCGTGAATGCCTCCTCGATTGATCCATCATCGAACTGCGCCAGGTGTTGAAAGGCACTTTGCCTCATAAGGAACTCAGGTGACGTAGTGGAAGTCACTTACTTTTCCATTAGTCGTCGCCAAGGGCCAATGTGGTTGAAACTTTCACACTGCATATCTCTTCTACCACCCTCGCTTATTACTGCCAAACAGACGCAGAGAAACTAAACTATCAGAGGAACGTTGGGGTCCCTTTAACTTCAGCACCCTACAATTTAACTTCACACGTCAATCGTTGGTTGCCACGTCTGGATTTGACAAGCTGACACACTTTATCTAAGCAGTATGCGAGATTGAATCGCCTTGTGACCCTACAAGGTGTCCAACACGGTGGTGTTTCCTTCGCTTTGATATTTTTATAACGACAGTCACACCCAAGCCGCGGACTCCATCCGAGAAGTTGGCATGATGGACTTTTTTATCGAGCTAGCCACTGATTTGAAAGGTGAGACTTAATCTGTAACACATATGTTTAGTACCTAGGTCTGACATGGGGACACTAATTGATCCAACAGTCTTATTTGTAACTCGCCTTACAACCCAAGGCATGTGTTCAGTAGTCTGATTTAATGATGATATTGATCCAACTCTTGCAAGGCTGTCGCCTTAAGGCACGAGGGGTTTTGAATCTTCTCTGGTGGCCAGCCAAGTGGCAGTCATAAAAGCAGGGACCGCGGAGTCACGTCGATAGAATGACTGTGGCAGACATAATGACGCCTCCTATTGTGTCGTAATAGCTAATACTTTTGTGTATGAATAGATAATACTATCTAATAACTGCTCAATAATTTGCTATTGTCTTACACTATTGTCTATAATAAGTATGATTGTACAAGAAAGTCGAGATATAAAAACACTCTTACAGTCCCTGTTATTCTGACACCCACTTCATGGCAGCCAGCAGTTACTGGGTGAAGTAAGATTGTAGGATGACGGAATTAGGGACCCCAATATTCATTCGGGGTCTCTTGTTATTGATACTCGTAGTGTCTATGGGGAACCTCAGTCTCCTTCTGAAAACTACCTAGTATGTTGTTGACCCATATTCAGTAGTCTCTTCGAAAAGAGTTGGATTCATTTGATATAGAATCCTGTCATGGAGATTGCCATGGAACATCTCATACACGAGAGTTAATAAACATTTAATGATCAGTACCTCATACTCAAAGCTGTAAAAAAAGAGTCTACTAAGCCTTATTAGCGATTCGATCCATTGGGCGAACTTTTCGATAGGCACACCCTCGATTTTGGTAAGAGATGACCCATCTGCAATATGATCAATGATAATGCGGAGATCATCCTGAGGTTCTATTTTAAGTGAGCCAGTATTCCGCCCATTTCAACCTTGATTCCACTAATTTCAGTCTTGATTCCGCTGATTTGAGCCTCGATTCCGCTCGTTTGAGCCTTGACTTTGCCCATTTCAGCCTGTACTTCGCCCATTTGAGATGAAAGATTGCGGATCGCCCCGAACATTTCTGTCCTATGGAAAGTACTACCGTGGGCACTATAGTAGTACCACACAGTAGCGATACCACAGAGATACTGAGAGAATAAAATAACAATTGATGCCGACCCATGAAGTATGACAATTCCTTAGTATGGTTCTGGAGGAGGATTTGGCGTACTCGAGCTCGCGATATTATCTGCGTTCAGCATGGAAACCGGCTCCATCCTGCGGGTAGAATATGTATTGGCTATGATGATGATGATGGTATTTCTGCTCGCTTGTATGGGATGGATATGGGAAGAAGAAATTAAAACCTGGGAAAAAGTTGAGAAGGTATGGTTTTGTATGTACTGCGTAAGGACGGTGAGGAAGTTTCGTGGCCCGTATGGCAGTTCATTCTGAACATCTCCTGGATTTCCCTAGCATCTTGAAGTTCTGAAGGTTGTCGCATCCACGTTCAAGTTAATTGTGAGATGGTACAAAGAAACACTGTACTCAGTGAACTCCAATGATGCTTAGTTTTTTGTGGATAGTTTTGGCTCATCAAGTAATGGCAGATCGTACAGCGTTCTGTACTCGCCGGGAGGGGGCAAAGCCATCCTGCCTCATTTTGTATGTAGGCAGTGCCTCGACAAGTGCCTCGGCAAGTGGCTGTTAGAAAAACAGGAACCGTAAGGGCGCCTCGACAGAATTATTGTGGCAGTTAGTCATATAATAATGCTTCCTGTGGCTCTTCACCTAGCCAATCCTTGTCCTCCGTAAGTGCCTGTGGTGGTGGTGCCTGGCAACAGGCTGTACAATAGATGGACAGGCCCAACAGACAAAACTGCTGGATCTGCGCTATTTTAAGCGGCTTTGTTGCCGCAAGCAGGCCCTCGACTGATCGGAGGGGTGTATTATGGATGAGGTCGGATTATAGCTGTAGTGCATCGTGTCTGATGACTGTCAACATCTCTAGAAGGAGGCTTGACCAGGCCCTGAGAGGTAGGGATATTGGTGTCGGATACTAACATTATTGCTGTTGTTGCTGTTGCTTAGAGAGGTGTGGTTGGTGGTGACGAGTACTCGCTTAGAAAGTTGGTTGTGGTTGATGGATGATGAGCTTCTCCTCTTAACGGCCATGGCCAAGTTATATACCTGGCCAGCTGGCCCTTATTGTTAGAGTTTTTGAGATATTACTGCTTGTTGCCATGCTGAATGTTTTGATTTTTAACTTTTTCTGGTGTGGAAGGTTTGGGTTTGAGGGAAAAACTGTATAACTAGACCGAATCATATGCTGCCTGGTCTTAGGATATACCCTTGTTTATGGCCAAAATCAACAGCAAATGCTTCCTATTGTGTAACAATAGATAGATAATATTGGCTAATAAATACTAAATAATTCATCATCCTTATTAACTACCTATTATCTATTAATGTTGTGGCCTGTATTGGAAAGTTGGGATTGAAACACCTTTGCAGTCCCTGTAGTTCTGGCACCCACTTGGCCAGCGTATAAAGATCACCAAACAATCAAGCTATGTCTTGAAAATGCTACGAAATCGATATACCAATCAATCCACTATATGGGGAACTCAGTCCATTGTGTGGCCCTGAGCTATGGATATCTAAACGACAGGAGATGAAAGGGGACGGTATATGTAGTGTCGATGATAACTCAATGTTACCCCAACATGTGTTTCATCGGACTTGATTCTCATTCTTATTCTCAATAGTAAAATAGACGTTTCTTTAACAGAAGGTGTTAGAAATGTCTGGGCAATTCAAACTCGAAACCCCAGGGATCTAAGGATGTTGACGCTGATCATCCCTTTGATCTTATCACGACACCTGCGTACACGTTACCTTCTGAAACCAAGGTCTGTCTCTTGAAAATGATGTTGTATCATCCGCTCAACTAACGATCAATAGCCAAACTGTTTCAAAAGCTTACTACAGAGATGGCATGTGCTCACAACATGATCATTCGTGGCCTGAACTCAATATACCCCAATCACAACACGCCCAGCCCTCCGACCATCACGCGTTCTGCAACTATGCCAATCAGTGGTATCAATATCTTCATGTCCACTACTCTGGAGAGGAGAAACATTACTTCCCAGCTATTGAGCGTCTCTCAAGGCAAGGGGGACTCATGAGTCGTAATGTGGATCAACACAAGGCGTTCCAGGACGGGGTCGAGGAGTTCAGCCTATATGTTCAGGGTTGCCTGAATGAAAACCCCGATTTTAGGGGCAATGAGCTCATTAGGATTATCGACGCATTCTCTGAGGCTCTCATTGGGCACTTGAATGGTGAAATCGAAACAATGCTTGGCCTTCCGGAGGTTGGCGAAGAGAGAACGGCGGAAATACTGGATATACATGCTCAAGCTGTAGGGGGCGTTCTGGTAAGGACCTGCAATATGCCTATTGATGAACAGCACCTGCTGATTGCCTCCCCGTACAACAGAAAGCAGGGAATGGTCACCAGGCTGCCGTTTGCGATAAGCAACCTGGATCTTCACTACGATGGCGGCATACGTGCTAAGACGTTCCCACCCCCAGAGGCAGCAGAGCCTTTGTTCGTGATCCGACATATCGGATTATGGTTTCATCGAGACTGGTGGAAGTTTGCTTCCTGTGACCGCTTAGGAAACCTGCAGCCCCTTTATGCTGTACCAAAGAAGTCAAAACATTACCGTTCTGGGTAGAAACGTCAATGCATATGGAATGCTATGCTTGACGATTCAAGAGGGCCGTAGTTTTACGAGGAGTTGATGGATTGATGGTTTACTAATCTAGCTATGACTAACAGTGTTCTCCTAAAAATCCATGATAAATGTATTCAATTCTTGTTACCCATACCACGATATTAAGCAAAGACAATTGACTATTCCATCTTCGAAATGAAACGCATATTAAGTTAGAAGTTTTCATTGTTTGTGATTATGCACTAATAGATGCCTGTTCACAATGAAAGCCCTATTTCTTGTGATCGTTGACGAATAAGAATCTAATGTTCCCATTTCAACTGACCCTTCTCGCCGTCAGTCAAGTTCTAGTAATTCTAAAGACTTCTCTATGAACCGTTTATATTCTCCGGGCAACTGATCTTCAGACAACCCGTTCAACGACAAATCGTCATCCGAAATACCCTCGCTGGCCTCGTTGTCTGTCTCTGGTGGCGTCGATAGCCCAACTATCTTGTTACCGTGTTCCTTATTGCGCTTGAGCATGCACATCTCTACGGATATACCAGGCCCGAAGGCACATCCCACGACGTAGTCGCGCACATGGCCTTCTGGGGCGAGAGCATCCATTTCCTTGTGCCGCAGCCTGTCCATGACGCTGAATATTGTTGCCGAGCTCGAGTTTCCGTGGCTTATATATCTGTCATAGCTTGCCCGCATGTGCTCTGGCTTGATGCCCATGATGCGCTCGGCGCCTGACAGTATCGTCGCCCCTCCTGGGTGCATGGCCCAGTCAAAGTCGGCGGCTTCCCGGCAGTTGGATGGCAGTTCTGGCAACTGTGAGAGGAGAGATTCAAATGCCGGCTGCATGGATGAGCCGGCCAGCTTTGGAACTCTTGGAGTCAGCACGACTTTCCATCCTTTTTTTTTGGACATTAGCTAGTGACATTTTGATCTACAAGAGTGGTTGGAATGTAGGATCATATCTCACCGAGAGGGTCTACATTAAAACCAAGATCACCATCTGTATCTGGAATGATTCGGTGATCCCATCCTAAAAGTTCGTAAACGGGGTCTCGTCTCTCCCCAACCCCGTTGCTCAAAATCAAGGCACTCGCACAATCTGAGAAAAGGCAGGGGCCAATTCTGGTCTCTTGCAGCTCAATTATGCTGTCCAACTCACTCCGGATCAGAATCGTGCTGATCTCCAAGGCAAGGCATAGAATGCGAGCGGGTTTTCTCCGTGCTGAATGTCCCAGAGCGAGATTGGCGGCCGTTCGCAAGGCAGCCAAGCCTCCGCTGCACCCGACCCCATGCAGAAGCACCTTCTCGACTTGGTGGGAGATCCCAAGCTCTTTGGCGACATAGTGATCGAACCCCGGATTTGAGCTGTCCGTGCAAGTCGTGGAGACAATGTGTGTAATCTGGCTCAGGTCAATACCTGCCTCTTTGGCAGCTTTCCGGGCGGCATTGACGGCGAGCGGTAACCCGAGACTGAAAAACAGCTCATGAATCTGCTTTATGGAAGGGGCCATCTCCTGATTGACAAGCGGGTGCTCTGGAGTGCCGATTGATGATCGTGCTTCGATTCCTGTAAACCTGTTGATGGAGAGCATCTTTTTCATGCTAGAGGCAGTTCAGTCCAGCACAGGGGAACTCCCAATTATAGTTTATGAAAAACAAGTACTTACGCATCTGATTGAGGATAATACTTCTCGCTGAGTATATTTAATGCATCTGGCTTGAGCGAGTGAGGCGGGTATTGCGTCCCAATACCGAGGACGGAGAGGCCCAGTTCCCCGAAGGAATTGACACCTGACATGACTGCTGAAGTTCCCTTTGTTGGAATTGATGAGCATTAAGATAATATTTTGTACCTGGCCTCGGCAAATAGCTTCAGGCTGACATATATTATACGTGGATGGCAATTTAGGGCTTGAAGATGCCAAATCAATAGATTCATAAACACAAAGAGTGAGCTGTAAATTACGTTTTCAGCTGCTAAAGCTTACATCATTTTGGTTTCACAGCGTTTCATTCTCTAATTTCTCCTTTGGGGCATTCCTTCTTATATTTGAACTCATGCGCAATCAATGACGATGTCTAATAGAAGTAGGAGCGGCCAGCCTGATAGCTAATTAGGACCATACTAATCTTCTATTCTACATCCATGAGGGATGTGGAATACAGAACCTATGCAAGATGAGCTATCCACGGGTTTTTTTGCCCTAATGAGATCGGTACGGAGCGAAAACACGCGAAAATATGTGTCAGTCAATGACGACTTGAAGAGGTCATTGATGCTTTGAGATGTCTCAGCTGAATGTACCACCATGATAGGCTCAACAGCTGTTGTGGGGCCAATTTAGAGCTCAGCTGGACCTGACTAAAGAGTTGGGGATGCCAATCATAACCTGATGATCAGTATGTAGTTTGATCATTGTCGGGAGCCATAGAAATGGGGGCATGAGAAAGCACCTCTTATCTAGGTCTATGTATAAAGTTTATCTAGATGCTGACCCCAACGTCCTCGGTGAACCTTGTTTGCCCTCAGGCCGGACAATCACCACCGGGGAATAAAGTAAGACATATATATACATGAGTACCTAGTATCACGACGAGAAACCTGGCAAATCCAATACAATCTTTCGCTAGCTATGAAAACAGCAAGAACGAGCACATACCACCAAGATCAAGCTGCTCAATATATCAGTACTCCGTGTGCATCGGCCTTCATCTGGTGCCAGCCACGAATGAAGGGTCCTTGATGCTGCCACCTGCGTCATTCAATCCCTCCACAGGCCTGCTGTAGCTGAAGCCTGCAAACTGGTTTCTGTGGCCAATAACGTCAGCTTCGATATTCCTCACCCGAGATTCTTGCTTCACTTACTGCATGGTTTGGGAAAGAACCGGATCGTCCACATACGAATCCTGTGCCGGCTCGGATGTAAACTCGGGGTCAAAGTTGGCTGTGTCAAGTGCATCAATCTGCGTCAAACTGTGTCAGCAAGCACTTTCAATCTATGAGTGGAGATGGGTTCTGGACAGCAATACATACCACATTTGGCTTGAAGGTAGGCTCATATTTTCGCTGCAGCAACTTCTTCCAGTCAATCGCATGGAAGAAGGGGTGTGCCTTGATCTCCGCTGAACCGTTCGCTCCCAGTCGCTGCGCGGGATCACGGTTCAGTAGCCTCGTGAGAAGATCGCGAGCGGCGGGTGGGACGATCTCGGGACCCGGGAAGTGCAGAGGATCCGAAAGGATCTTGCGATACATTTCGTTTGTGTTCTCGTCATAGAAAGGAGGCAGACCTGTAAGCATTTCATATAGAAGCACACCCAGGGTCCACCAATCGACCGTCTTGTTGTACCCCTTACCCTTCAGTAACTCGGGGGCTAGATATTCTGGAGTTCCACAGAAAGTGTGAGTCTCATCTTCATCCTTCACCTCGAGCTTGCAGAGACCGAAGTCGCACAGAGCAATATGGCCCTGGTAATCAAGGAGAATATTCTCGGGCTTCAGGTCACGGTAGATGACATTGAATCCGTGCAAGCATTCGAGGGCGCAGAGAAGTTCAGCGGTATAGAAGCGAGAGCGGTTGATATCGAAACGTCTCTCAATCGTGAGATGATGAAACAGTTCGCCACCATTAACAAACGCTAGTACGAAGTACAGCTTCTCAGGGGATTGGAAGCTGAACTTCAGAGGAACGATGAAGGGGTTGTTAATCTGAGCAAGGACAGATCTCTCTGCCAATGTGTGTGCCACCTCCGAGCGCGAGATGATCTTGGCCTTGCGAATGGTCTTCAAGGCATAGATACGGTTGGTATCCTTCTTCCGCACTTGCATAACCTTTCCAAAACTTCCCTTTCCGACGACCTTGAGGAGCTCGAAGTTTTCGATTCCAAGCTTGGTGGCCGGTGGCTCGGCATATTCGACGGAAACCTGGAGCTGACCCGTTCCGTACTGCAAATCGATCCACTGAGTATCCTTGTTGGGCTCATTGAAGTTTGGATCAACGCGAAGAGCACCAATGAAGATGTCTTGGCTTCTTCCTGATTTTGGGGGGGCACTCGGGTTGCGGATATATAGATGGACGGTAAGCTGCGTCACACGGGACACATCGAACTTGTACTGTGTGTTGGAGCCTGCCCAGGTAGGATTCTCGGGGCTTCCATCGATCGAATTGACAAAGACCTGCACCTTATCGAAATCGAGGAGAGCATATGGCATGTATTTTCCGGAGACACGTCCATGGTTCGTCGGGATGTCGCTGAGACCAGATGAAGAGGTCTGGGGACGGTTCGATGCCCCTGGCCTCACAGACCCAGACACGCTACCAGCCTGGCTTGTGGATCGACTGTGAGATGCAAAAATATGACGGTACTGCTCGGGCAAAGAGAATCCCCTTCCTTCGTGGAGAGTAACAATCAGGATACCGGGTTTCGAGGTCTTAATGACGGGGGCTTGGGTAAGAGTTTCTGTATACCCGGTTGCGGTCAGTAAAAGCCACGAGGATCATATCGAGAGAATTGGTAAACAAACCCGCCGTAATCTTCTCATCTTCGGCAGACGCATAGCTTTCCGGCCGCTCTTCCTGTTCCTTCTCTGGTGTAGCATTCGTTGCGTTCCTTGAGGAGTTCGACGACCAAGATCCAAGATGGGTCTCCTTTAACTCTGTAGAGGGGGTTAGCTTGAGTCGATAAACGGTGTAGAATGAAGGAGAACTCAAAGAACCAGATTGCTGCACATACTCTTGGTGATCTTCCACGACGCCATGTTGACTGACGGCTCTCGTTTATTATAAATTTACTTTATTTTCAATTGCGCCCAGAAGCCAACTGGAAATATGTTGGGCGCTGGAGCTCTTCTGGTTCAAGGGCAGGAGTAGTAGTTAATTACCAATCTGCTGCACCCACTATTATTGCCTCGGTGGAGACCCTTCCCGGTGCAATTGAGCTGTGGAGATGGATTAACGATTGTTCCGCATAGGGGTTCAGGCTGGAAACGTTTCATTTAGGCTGTCAGAGCCCTCAAACACAGGGGTGAAACATAGAGAACACCAAGAGTCCGGCGAAACATCCTTAATGCGGTTTCAAAAGCGGCCCTGACAGGTGTTCTCTGAAGCTTTTCGCTATCCATTAGCTGCGAACACAGGTGTCATCAGCTTATCTTGGAGCTGGAATGACGAATTCCATTGCGGCTGCCACTACCCCGCAGTGCCTCTTTTTAGGGGACATCTTCGCCATCTTAGGCGTCCAAGCAGAAATATACTCATTTTACAAGTTACCATTGTAAACCCAAAAAGGAAAACTCCAAAGCATGAGATGTTCAATTAGGCACCGAGATATCGAAAACAGGGTCTTCTCAACTAGGATATCATTGCTCCCCAGGAATCTAAAACATTGAAAGATCGGACTAATGTCTCCACCGTAATGCTGCCTCAGTCCCTGAAGTCCCTGAGTCCGATCCTTAATGCAAGCGACAGAGTTTCAGATACTTGATATACACACTCCCTGTCCCACTCTTCCCATCATCTCAAGCAAACAGTGACAGCAACGACGATTCCTCCTTATCCGCAACTTCGCTCATCGGACCCCAAAGCTCTGGATTCAGGATGATTTCCCTTGCAAAGCTGCCGTTCTTCATACACATCCTTGTCGCCTCCTGCTCAGCCCTGACGTTCATATTCCGCCCCCATAGACAGCTCCAGCCGTTGTCTCACTCGGCGACGATCATCCTACAATGCTATGGCGGCTGTATTCTCTTCACCAATCTCATCAGTCTTATATTTCTTGTCAGGCCGGTGGTTGATGAGACGACCAAGCTTGTTGCATTGGCCTTCGCATTCTGCCACGCTTGGCCCAGCTACCGGGCTGTGAACAGGCTCCAGAATAATCTTGACGTCCAGGGAGAGCTAGGAAGTACTTTGGGGGGTCCCATTGTTCACCTGGGCGTTCATGGCCTCTTGTTTTTCATGTTCTTGCAAGCAGGTCTATTGTATTGAATGGCATTGGATTTAATTTTGGGAAGCCCGAGGTGTCTAATGTGGGCAGATATCTATATTTTTTTTCCCTTCTATTGAAACAGTCTCAATCCTTCGGCTCGTGCCTCGACTTCCTCCATGTCCTCATCTTCACTCTCTTCCTCCTCGAGTTCCATCTTCTGACCGAATAGTGTGACAAAGAATCGATCAATGGCCCCTTGCTCCCAGGATCGGCGATCTTCGGGTGCCATGAAGTTCTGTAGCTTTTCGTGCACGGTGAATCGCATCTTCCTGCCTTTGCTCGCTTTTCGGTCCACATTCTTGCGCATCTTGACGTCCTTCGCAGCCGTGAGCATGACAGAGGGAACGCCATTGACCTGGTCTCCGGATGTGTCGACGGTTCGCTGCTCTACCAGTTCCTTCAACAGCAGCTGATAGAAGTCGGCATCGTCATAGATATATTCATCCTCAGCGACTCTCTTGGCAGCCTGAGCTGGGGCACAAGAGCGGGGAACCCGCGTCTTCTTCACCAGGCGATCGTCGGAATCAGCCAGTTGGTCCTCCAGGTTGTTAATGAGGGTCTTGCTTTTGGCCCCGAGCCCCTTGGGAGCAGTAGTCACAGTGACAGACTGTACCCGTCGAGACCATTTCTCCAGTCTGTCCCGCCGTGATTTCATAAGTTCACGCTCTTCCTCCTCGAGTTGCTCCCAGATTTCGTCGTTGGAAAGAGAGATTTCGATTTCTCTCTTTCTCTTTGAGCCGACTTGGGCCGTGTTGCCGAAATCAAGTTTCAAATTGCTGATAGTATTGAGAAGGTTGATCGCAGCAACCTCAGCCGCCTCGTAAGGCTCAGTAGTAGGTTCAGAATCATCGATAACCGGAAAGGTGTTTACGGCGACCAAAGCCTTTTGCAGCCGGATACGGAGGTTAAGAAGCCCATCGTACACCTTGCGTTGCTGCTGAATTGCCACTCCCTTCTCTACCTCTGATTGCTGCTGAGATGCCGGGGCTTGGGACACCAATCCAGGGGCCGACTTCTTCTTGGTGGCTTTGCCGTCCTCATCCGAAGTGTCCTCCTCACTATTTTCATCATCCTCATCAGATGGGTCCTCTTCCTCAGACTCTTCAGAGTCCTCTCCCAGGTCAGAGAGGCCATCTGCAAGCGCTTCAAGGCCGTCATCCTCTTCATCCTCTGATTCATCAGAGCCAAGCTCGTCCTCGTCTAGGGCCTCGTCGGATGACTCGTCGTCATCAAGGTCTACACCGCCAGTGGCATCCTCACCGTCCTCCGAGGATGACATGAAGTCGGCGGCTGTTGCCCTCTTTGCTGATGGCTTTGCAGGCTTGGAGCTTCCCCGGAAGGCGAAGTCTTTCAGACGCTCCTCATCCGATTCAGCCAGCGCGTCATCGCTCTCGATTTCCGAGTCGCTAGCATTGGCTTCATCGGCTTCCAAGTCGGCAAGATCGGGATCATCGTATTGTTCCTCGTCCTCATCGTCCTCGTCCTCGTCTTCCTCATCGTCATCTTCTAAGGCGGCCCTGGAGACCTTGGAACCCCGATACTCAGAGCCCAAAAATACAGAATCTTTTTGTCTGAGCTTGCTTTTCCCTACGGCCTCATAGTGCTCCGTTCCGGTGCGCTCGTCGCCACTAGCATCGCTACCACTCTCTTCGACGTCTCGACCATCCGCCTCAGGGTCGTAGTCTGAGCCTGGTTAGTCACGAAACATTCAATTGAGACAATGGCACCGTCTCCTTACCTTTGACGATTTTTTCATCGTCCATGAACTGCTTCGCGCGACCCTTTAACCCGGACATCTTGAATGCTCTCTATGAGTTTGCCGGCAAACAACCAGGATTGGCTTGGCCCCACGGTGGGATTTTTTCTAGACGTTTTGCACTTGAACTTTTAAGCGGTGTAGAGCGGCAGAACCTGTCGGGTGGGTCTAGAACTGCTAGCTCTCCACTTTTACTTGCTGCTTGAGATGTCGCTCTAGAGCAAGCTGGTGAATATTAGAGCGGCTCTGTCTTCGAATTCATTTCAGTATATGTCGTTTTACAAATTAAATGCCAACCTAATTTAGGATTTGGGTTTTATTCTATCTTGTAATTCTGATATATGTAATTGTACACTACCTAGACCAGACTGGTCATTATCTACCGAACTGTGCATAATGCGTGCTACCCTGCCACGCCTTCTCCAGTCGACTCGGGCTCTACGGCACGAGAATCCCCTTGTATGTCGATTTCTAATTTATCAGGCTCCTCGCTTACTGGAACTTTTAGGGGTTGCCGCGAGCGGGGACACCTCCTAGCTGGCCGAAACGACCGCAAAGGAGGAAGATCACCGGAGTCGACAAAGTCATTGCTGTTTCCTCAGCTAAAGGAGGTGTCGGAAAGAGTACTGTGGCTGGTATGTGTCGCTTTTCCTGGTCTCTAAACTCTCGAGCTTCTAATTCATGAGGGCAGCAAATCTATCACTGGCCTTTGCGAGGCTTGGGCTACGTTCTGGCATTCTAGATGTCGACATCTTCGGGCCCTCTATCCCTACCTTATTTGACTTGTCTGGAGAACCGAATTTATCAAGCAGTAGGTTTAACTCTCATGGATGGCAAACAAAAAAAAACATGTTTACTAAGACCACGAAGATAACCAGCTTGTTCCTCTGACCAATTATGGTGTGAAGACCATGTCAATGGGCTACCTCGTTGGGGAGAGTGCCCCTGTAGTGTGGAGAGGACCGATGGTTATGAAGGCAGTCCAGCAGCTCTTACATGAAGTCGATTGGGGCGGCCTTGATGTCTTGGTTCTGGACTTACCACCCGGAACAGGTGATACCCAATTGACCATTACGCAACAAATCATCCTAGATGGTAAGGCTCACTACTACTTTGCATTATAACGAAGCTTATCTTTCATAGGCTCTGTCATTGTGTCTACGCCCCACACATTGGCAACGAAAGATGCTGTCAAGGGAATCAACATGTTCAAGACTGTCGATGTTAATATTCTGGGAATGGTCCAGAATATGTCTCTTTTCACATGCCCAAAGTGTAACGAGGCGACACACGTGTTTGGATCAAATGAGCGCGTTAAAAAATTGTGTGCTGAGCACAGTATCGATTTCCTAGGTGATATTCCCCTCCACCCTAACATTGGTGATGATGGTGACAAGGGCAAACCTACTGTGGTTTCAGAACCAACGAGTACCAGAGCGTCATCATTTTTGGAAATAGCAAAGACAATCTGCTCTAAAGTTGGCCTAAATAAAGACTAGTTTTGACTTGGCATGGTCCATACCATGCTCAATACCAACTCTGTCATCCAGAGTTCAACCAGTCATTTTTGTCTCGCTCCGATACCTGGCTGAAGCCAGCTGAATGCTGCTTTTCGTCGGACACCGATTACGAGTCGTAGCGCGATATGAATATGAAATCCGAGCAAACCAAGTCATCGTCAGTTTGTGTCAACCAAGCGAGCAGGTGGATTACCGATTTAAAAGAACCATGATCAACCATTTAATCAACGAACACCAACGCCGCCTCGGTCGAAATCGACAGGGCCCTATCGAGAAAAACTGAATAATTAGTCGTTGTCTTCGTTAACTTGATACACGTGGCGGCTTCGGGTAGGGTCCTTGCGCATGGCTTGGCCGGAACCTGTGAAGCCCACTGTAGGAAGATGTTAACTTCAAATCCCTCAGAGGTTATACAAATGGCAAACAAACCTCTACTGTTCACCCCTTGGGGAACTCGGAACATGCTCTCCTTCTTTGATTTCTTCCCAAACTTGGACTTGTTGTTAAAGTCTTGCCATTTGGTCTTGCCAGCCTCGAGCTCCTTATTCGCCTTGATTTTTTTAGCCTTGGGAGGCTTGGGCGAGTCAGCCTGTTTCTCGGTCTCTTTTTTGGCATCGGGGTAGACAGTAGCACCAGCGGAAGAAACAACACCTGGTGCAGGTGGGGTCGCGACAGTTGGAGAGGGTGCTGTGGCGGGAGCGTCCGCCTTCCGTTTGTTTGTCATAGGACGAATATCTTTCGCTCTTAGATTCTCTATGTTATCATAGCCTTTAAACTTGACGCTGTAAACCGGTGCCTTATCCGAACCAGTAATGCCCATGATCTGGGCAGGGTAGAATGCCTTGTCGCCCGAAAGCCATTTCGCCTGAACGATTTCATTGGTCCGGTAATGAACCACAGGCTCTTCCTTCTCCTCGGGCTGCGTGTCTCCTTTCTTAAAGGCAGGATGGGCATCTCGAGACCATTTCTCAGACGGCGGCGGTGGTGGGGGCGATGGCTGTTTGGTCGCCTGCTTCGCTTCTTCCTCCAGGATTTCGAGGAGCTCAGTCAGGTCGCGCTGCAGTGTAATGAGTTCTGCATTGTCGGGATCGTCACGCAGAGAAGTAGAGACGATATCAAGCTAGTGATCGAGATGTTAGCAACGGTAAATGACAAAAGAGACGACGGGAGAAGTCAACGTACTTGTTCTTGATATTCTCGTCTGGTATCCTCCGTGCTCGGGGGATCAGGCATGCTGGGCTTGACTTAATGGAGAGGAGCGTAATGGAACAAACAAACAGGGTTCTTGGTTATTCCTGCGTACACGGGGAGAGGCTGCAGCAAGTGTGCTGTAGCAGGATCGAGATGTTGTCTATGGGCATCTGGGCAATCGGCTGCTAGCCTTCCTGGCGCTAGTGATATCAGAGCGTGTGGAGGGCACGTGATTGCGGAGCGGTACGTATCACCAAGAAGCAAACACGCGCCTACGATGGCAGAACACAGGTGAGAAGAGAGTGAGGGATCATTTTCAATATTCTTGAGTGAAGTGCTTGCATTTCTATCTCTGGGGCAATGTATAGTGACAAATGAAACATTTGCTTGGGGGATGTTCGCAATGCGCCCACTCAGAAGCTAACCAAAAACACAAAACCGAGAGTGGTGAAGATGGAGGAGAACAAGCCGAAACGGCCAACATAGGAAATCGTCATACAAGTACCTGGATGTGCTGTGGTCGAAGATATCATAAATAAGATAGGTATCTTTCCGAGAAGGGTATCCCGTTCTTGGGCGCTCAACGGGACAGGGTGGGTGCTTTGTTTGGCGCTGAAGCATGTGCTCTCCTTCCCTGTGGTGGGTGGAAGAGAGAAGGTTTAACTCAGTTTGGACGCGCCCCAAAGCTTCAGCGCCTGCCTGCTGCTGGGTCTGCCAAAGGCCCATTGACGGCACGAACTTCCCGTTACGTAGGTAGGTAGGTACTGATTGTCACGGCCCATCCACATTGAACCTAACCCACACCCGTCCGTTCCCCCAACCCCTTCAGCAGATGCAATTCCGTGTTTGTCGCTAGCTGTCTCGGGCAAATGTTACCTGCCCATGCCTACATATAGTACTCTGACAGCCAACCACGGCTGCATGCAGGGCTGTTTTCGCACACTGTTTCCCTCGGGCATATTCTGCATGGTCTTACGGTGACAGCGCCGCCGGCATTGCCCATATCGTCACGATCACACATCACGCTGCATGACAGCGTTAGATGCAGCGCGAAACTCTTTGTTGAAAGAGTTCTGGCTGGCTGCCTGTCGTAAAGTACTAGAGCTAGGCCTATATAACACTAGCACCCATTGTTCCCGATTTCGCAAGCTGCCACAAACATCCCTGCCACGCACTTTGACCTCCATGTCTCTTTCTCCATGCTGATAATCGGCACCGCTATTTCGCCCTCGCATCACCCTCCAGAACTCAGTCTCAATTGAAGCACAACCTTGCGACTTTGGTCACGGACGGAGGAAAGGACAGTCTGACCGAGGCTGTGCATTTTGTCCACAAGCCCCTTTCTCAGCGAGACTGAGAATCCGAAACCAGGCAATCATGGCTCGTGACAAGGAATATGACAGCGCATCCTCGACCAGCGGCCAATCAAAACGACCTCCGCTCAGCCGTCAAGAGAGCGACCTGAACGGAGAGGCGCATCAGCGCCCAAAAGGGCACCAGAAGCAACATCACGTCGGCCGGATCCACGCCCGAGTTCCTTCATCAAAAGCACTTCAAAAATACGGTCATGGGCACGGCCACGGCGCTCATGGACACGGCCACGCGCACGCTTCAACTACCAAGTTGAACAATAATACTCGACGGACCTTTTCGCCACCTGATTCGCCTCAACAACCCCAGCGACCGTCGTCACATCGCCGGGCGACCAGCGACGGTAAGCTTACTCGCGATTCCTCAGCGACAAGCATTCAGAAAAGCGTTTCCCAGACGAGCCTGAAGCGCAACCGTTCGCACGGCGAGGTGCACAAGCGCACGCAATCGTCGGAAAAGATACGTCGGAATTCATTGGGCCTGACCGCAGTCAACCGGCCCAAGTCAAGCAAGTCCCAGGTTCACTTTGATTTAGGTGGTGACGGGCAGGACGATGATGAATGGGTGGATGCTAGTGGTTCTAACTCACCTCATCTGTCACGCAAAGGCTCCATCAACAGCAGCGCGCAGTCGTCCTTGAAACCAAACCTGAGTGCTGGCAACTCGCGGCCGCAGACGCCCAACGAACAAGCCCAGCGCGTGCTGTCGTCGCCCGATCGCGAAAGACTGCATCAAAAGGAATATTTGACTACCCGTATACTGCAGCGAACACCTTCCCACGGAGCGCCGCCCCAGATGACAAACGAAATGGCCCAGGTGAACCCGCAGCAATTTTCACCTAGTTCTGGCCAAGAAGCTACCTTGGCCGGGAGCAGTAAGGATGGCCTTACATCTCGCTTTGTTGATACTCCCGCTTCGGGTATCACGAGCGAAGGTTCCTTCTATCGTCCGGAGAAGAGCGACACCCACCACTCGGACGATCTGCTTCGACGACCTGCGTCGATGGCTGAACTACCCCGTGCAGAGAGACAAATGGAACGCGCACGCGTAGCGCATGATACGGATGATAGCGCGCTGGTGCCAAAGCCTGCGCGAAGGACTGCTGCAAAGTCAGCAGAGACCTCTCGTATCCAACAAAAGCTAAATCTCCAGCGCGCTAGCTCAGCCATTGAACCCAACCATGGGGTAGCCACTGGGCCAGGAAATCTCGGCGCAAGCCCTCTCATAGGAGTTGGCGGCCCTGTATACGATGCTGGCAACAGTCGCGACCCGAGAATGACCAAGCTGATGGACCGCACGGGCTCGGAGTACCTCGTGGTCCGGCGTTACCAGAATCCTGTTGCTCGATCCCTTAACCGATTGACCCATCTGCCTGATATAAATCGTACGAAGAGAATCCCTCGGGTTAACACTGGCTCATCTACCAACAAGCGCTCTCTCGAGATGCCCCTCCAGCATACCCGGAACGTTAGTCTGCCAGATCAGCGGCGGCAAGCTTCAAGGAGCAACCTGACATTGCGAACCAACGGGGGATCCAACTATGACGACAATGAAGATCAACGTCTTAACGAAAGGCTCAGCGGGTCGAGCCTTGTAGGAAGCGAAGAGGATAACGGGACATTAACGCTTTTAAGAAACCTCTGGGAGAAATCAATAGAACTCAGCGCCAGCGGGGATTGAAGATTTTCGCGACGTCGAGAGACATTTTCTTTTCCTGCAGCTGGTCCTGGCCCGTGCCTCTACTTTTGGCAGCCTGCAGACTCTGATACTCTGCGCCAGCGAATTTTTGTTCTGAAACACGGCGTTCGGAAGGGACAAGATACTCATTTTATTGCATCGGACGAGGCGACAAGGAAATTATGCTTTGAAAACATGACCCTTGGGTTTGAGATGAAGAAGCGATATCTGTACACAAGCCTGATGTCCTCCATCCAGACTTCAATCAAGAGCAGACTATTCTAATTGCGTTGATTGGGTCGTGGTGGTCATACTCGGATACATCACCATCACTTTTACTTTGTAGCACTATAAGGAAGGATATTCAGGGGGCTAGGAGCGAGAGGAGCTGTGTGAGGAGGCGGTGATAGAGCAAAGGAAGTTAGCCGGTACGGAATACAGAATATTTTGACGTCAGTTCATCATTAAATCTTGTCATTTTGTAAACTCTGGAGTGTAGAAATCTATACGGGTAGGATCTGCAACAGCCAACCAGGGCCAAAAAAAATTTCCAATCGCCATATGCCAGTTCGCCAACCCCTTGAGGAAGCGGCATATTTTGTTATAATATACAAGGGTGTTCTTCTCTGTAATTACCAATCATACGTTGGGTGAAAGTAAATCATATTTCACACAGTTCTCGACCTAGTTTGTATTGTTAGTAACGGCCAGTACTAGAAGCTCCTGGGGATGAGATTTAGGTCACTTACATCGTCGATGCTAGCTTGCATGAAGCGTCTCGCCTCTAGCCCCATCCACACGACAACCATGGAGAAGTCGCCATGCTTGGCCATCTCAGCACCGCTCTGTGCACTGAGCTGTCGCAGGATGGGCAGCGAGCTGCTAAGAAGATCCACGTTTGGATTCAGGCTCCGGCCGATACCCTCGAGGAGCAGGATGCTGATAACGACGTTGACAAAGTCGCCTTCTAGACGTACATGGTGATTACGGACCATGTTGAGGACCTTCTGGAGGATGTCGCCGATTTTGACGTTGCCCAGTGCAAGCGTGTTGCTCTTAACGTTGAGCACGAGGTGCTGCATCTTGAGTGCGAAAATCTCCTTGTCGAGCACGGCGTCTGGCTGGCGGCATCGCTCACACATCAGATGGCCAGCTTTATATCCATCAAATTCAGCAACGGCCCTGAAAAGGTCCAGGAAATTCTGACGATTCGTGCCATTCAGCTCTGTCACGAGACCAGTGTCGATGAATATCAATTGGGGGCGGAAGCCCTCGGAATCAAGCTTGGTTAGCTCCGATTGCCACCCAGCCTTATCTTTGCTATGTTTATATGGCCGTAGTCGTTCCAAGATCTGTTCCGTGACGTCTGACATTTCATCAGGATGAGGATTGCTTTCGGGACGACGGATTCCGAGATTAGGCTGCGCCGTCTTGTAGAAACGAACCATGATGTTTCCTGGATGAAGATCCGCATGGACGAAATTATCCAAGAGAAGCATCCGCAGAAAGGCATCGAGCCCCTCGTTGGCGATATCGTGTTGGAATACACCTCCACCGTACTCCATGAAGTCGGAAATAGGTATGCCCTGAGCAAACTCCTCTATTAAGACGTTTCGGGTGGTAAAGTCAGTGTATGGGTATGGGAACCAAGCTGTTGTACGGTCCTTGAAATTTTGGCGGAATGCGGTAAGGTTTGCAGCTTCTATGCGCAGATCGAGCTGCAGTTTCATCATCTCGCCAAACTGCGAAACCTCGTCAGGCAAAGAGAGCCATTCTATTGTAGGAATCATGTTTAATGCCGAGGCGAAGAAGTGCATGATTCTAAGGTCTCTTCTTACGATACGTTCTACCCTTGGGTGAAGAACCTTGACTGCCACATAGTCAGAAGGCACGCGCTTGGGAGAGCTCTTCAGGACGATCTCCACGTTGTGTCGTAGTGGATGAAGAGTTTTTGAGATGTCATTATCTCTTGGGGCTGCGAGATCAGGCTTGAGTTTTGCCTTGTAGACTTGCGCGATGGCTCCAACACCCAACGGCTTCTCGTTGAACTCTTCGAAAATGTCCTCGAAGCTGCGGCCATCGAATGCGGCCTCGACAGTCCGGCGTGTCGCTTCCATAGAGTGTGCATTCGAATTGGAGTGTAGCTTGGACATGATCTCGCAGAGCTCATCAGGAAAGACGTCGGAGCGGGAGGCAGCCCACTGTCCTAACTTGATGAAAGCTGGACCTGCTAATTCCATAGACCTGACGAGGAATCCGTACCACCACAAGGTGCCACTGCGCTCGTTATCTCGGTGCAATTGGCGTTGCCCGATCCATATTGCTGGGACCGATACGATGACAGGTATAAATATGGCGGCCAGCTGGAGGAATCTAAGGCCTGTGCAAAAGGGCTCCCACACGTAGACATCCAGGAACACAATGACAGACTTGACGACTCGGGAGGCCCCGTGGGAATCGACGGGGACTTGTTTCTTGATTTCATCCCGGGATGCCCTCAGCATTCGCTGCTCCGTGGTTTCCTCGGAGTCGTTTCCTTCATCAGGTTGGGCAAGGCTCACAAATGCCGCGGCCCCTAAAGCAGTGGCACCACCTGAAGCGTGAAGGCATATTCGCCTAGCTCGTCCCTTCGGTCCAGCAGGAAACCTGGTTGGGAGGCTATGGAATTCAAGCCTGCGAAGAGGCGACAGCCCACATTTCTGAGGGATTGAACGCGCTGAACGAGCGCAGAACCGGCTGAATAAGAGCCGAGTGCTCATCTCGCCGATTCCTGTATGCAAATAAGAGCCCCAAGGAATCCGGGGCTTCCTTGCATACTTCCTGTAAAAGAAAGTGGCATCAAACTTGAGGGTGCATAGATTCAAATGTACATGTACAGGAGAAAGTACATGGATGACAGCGCAGGGCGAAGTAGTGGTCGCATCCAGGTCTGGTCTTACAGGTGGGATGAGAATAGTGACGTATAGGCCGAGCTGCTAAAAAAAAAGCATGTGGATGGCTTGGAATAAGGACAAGACCGGCATCTCCAACGGGGATTGCTCGGGTAAAACGCTGTACGAGTAATTTAACGCGCTGTCGCCATCTCTTGAGGCGATACTAGCTCAAAAGTCTTTCAGCGATCCGCTCCTTCCCGAGCCAGATCTGTAATCTACCTCCCATGTAATTTTTTTTTTGCGCCCAACCGACCAGGACTAGGCATCTTCCCTTCACTCCAGAACACTGCATCACTTTTGATCACCCCCTCTGATTCTTCTGTTTTTCTATTACAGCAATCGGAATAAGGAAAGCATCTGATTGAATTTCGGCAACATGGGTTGGTTTTGGGCAGATACAACACCCGCCGTTGCGCAGCCCCCGAGTGGCCACCCTCCTATCGGTGGAGATCGCGAACCACCCGTACGGTCTTCCAGCATCGCCATATCCATCACTTGAGACGAATGCTAACCGCCATGATAGCGAGGATGCCCTATGCACCAGAAATCGGCCGATGCTCTCAAATTCACCGACAAGGAATCGGCCAAGTCTCCTAGCAACTCTGCGTCCGCCTGTCCGGTACCACACACCCAGAGCGCACCCAACTCTGCTTGCCCTGTGAAGCACGACTCCAGCAACAACGAGGACAAGCCTAAAGGAATTCTGTCTCAACTGAACCCCCTTAACTACATGTTCCCCGACCTTTCGCAAAAGCCTGCGCCAAACCAGGAATTTAACCTTCCTACCTCCCGAGAGGAATCAACCATTCCCAAGGGATCTGGTGATGGCAACTGGGAGTACCCTTCTCCGCAACAAATGTACAACGCTCTCTTGCGCAAGGGATACTCCGATACTGATATCACTGCTGTCGAGTCAATGGTCTCAGTTCACAACTTTCTCAACGAGGGCGCATGGCAGGAAATCCTTGGGTGGGAGCAACGATTCGGGCGGGGTCTATACAGAGGATGGCAGCTCTGCAAGCGTGGCGAAGAACACACTGGGGAAGAAGTTGATCGTCACTGGGACGGAAAGGATGTTGAGCCCACCCTCATCCGATTCCAGGGCCGACCCAAGGATATGACCCCCAAGGCTACAATGTTGCAAGTGCTGGGATGGATTTACCCCTCTAAGTTTGGGTAAGTAATGCTAGACAAACTCGTTTCTTTCAAACACATCTAGTGGCTAACAAGGATCTGAAAGTTCTGAGCCTCCATTCGATCGACATGACTGGTTCGTTTCCAGAACCGTTAACGGACAGCCGCAAGAGATAAGATATGTCATTGACTACTACTCTGGCGAGCCCGAACCTACAGGCGAACCCGTTTTCTTCCTCGACGTGCGACCTGCGGCAACTATGCAAGGTAGTGCCGAACGAATCATCCGCTGGGGCAGTGACGTGTGGTGGAAGGCCATTGGAGGCGATAAACGCGAGCAGGATCCTCAGTCCTTGGTTCGCTAGAATCCTGCTAAGCCACGGAGCTAAGCGTAAAGGTCGGTTTCCTTCCTTTTGACGGATGCGACATGATACAATTAGTCACCCTATCCCCAGTGAGGGGTTAGGATTTGGCGTGTACTCCTATTCTAATGACTGGAATGTTTTTGAACGTTGGAGTTGGCGTTAATCGATACAAACATTTTTGTAAAGTCATGCTATATAATTCCCCTTGTAATTGTATTACTTACTCGATAAGAGATTTTTAAAGCCTAGTTGTCTGGACCGTTCAGTTTTTGGACCATTGGCAAGGTGATACTATTGCTGAATTCAGCTGAAACACAACTGAGTTTCATTAACTCAATCCTTCATGAAAAAGACTTGTGAGATATCAAATCTATTGCCAAAAATACCATTTGCTCAGACGCTATCCAGATGATGGCATTCTAAACGTGATCTCAATTGTAAATTCATTACTTGACCCATGTATTAGTGTGAGATTTACATTATTCTTAGAAATTCGAGACACATCGTACGGTATATAATACCTTGGAGCTGCACATATTTCAGTCCAATAACACAATTACCAATCCAAAATCCAAACGGCGCACGTGTGGAGGGGCGCGAGATCGTCAAAAATTGAACGCTTGAGCCATCTCATGAACCAAGAGACAAGCACTAACGGCAGAGTGGAGACGGCCCATTTTAATTTTTGTTCCTTGTCGAAGAGACTTGACCCAGAGTCTTCTCCCAGAAGCATCTTCCTCTATTCTGTGCTGCCATTTTCCTGCCCTCTCTATTCCCCCCTGTCCCCCCAAACGCGCGGGACCAGCGATTCCGTTACAGGCCAAAATTTTGGCCGTTGATGCCTAATTGGTCTCCCGGGGTGGGAAATGCCGGTTGACGCAGACGCTGGCGATCCCTCGCACGCCCGGTCTGGCGGCGGCGACAGCAACGACTTCACGAGGCTGCACATCACGCCTTTCGACTCCGACTTGCTCAACATCGTCGTCCCAGCGTCGATCCGCCCCTCTGCGCGCAACGTCTCCTATCACACCGTCGAGACATTCCCCGAGAGGCGCTTCGGGTTCGTCGATCTGCCCGCGGCCGATGCGGAGAAGCTCAAGGCAAAGCTGAACGGCTTGATCCTCAAGGGCACCAAGATGCGTATCCAGGAGGCGGTCCCCGAGGCGCGGATAGAACCCGGTGGCTTCGACCCCGAGGCGAAGAAGAAGAAGAAGGACAAGAAGAGCAAGGAGAGGTCGGAGGACAAGGCCGAGAGGAGCTCCAAGAAGCGCAAGCGGGACGACAATGTGGTCCGTGGCGTTCTTCTGACGGACCGGAAGGTGCAGCGCGGGTGGACGGAAGCCCCGGATTACAAGCAGAAGAAGCAGAAGAGAAAGGAGAAGGGAGAGAAAGGGGAGAAGAACAAGGACAAGGACAAGGAGAAGAAAAGACGGACCAAGTCTAAATATACCGAGAAGGAGGAGTGCCTGCTCAAAACAACAGTCCCGCCCGATGCGATGAAGAACCTCCCCGAAGACGTAGTACAGGACAAGAGGAGAAAGAAGAAGAAGGGTGGCGATCGGGAGTTTACCGTGCACGAGTTTGAGAAGACTACCAAATTCCCCAGCTTTCTGAAGACATCCAGCTCGGGAGAGTCGCGGAAAGCTGCTACAGAGTTCGTCGAGGGCAAGGGATGGGTGGACGAGGATGGGACCGTTGTCGAGGCTGCGAAGGCTACCAAACCAACGCCCAAGGCGTCGAAGAAGGCTCCAGCCAAGCCCAAGGAAGAGCCTGTTGAGGATAGCGACGACGAGACAAGTAGCAGTGGTACTTCTTCAGATGACACATCCGACGATGATTCCGAGGAGGAAGAGGAGACTAAGAAGGAAGACGTCGAGATGTCTGAGGACGCCAAGGGCGGGGATGACGACGTTGAAGAGGAGCCAGCGCCTCAATTCACTACACCGAAATCTACTTCTACGGCCAACCGCCCGACATCCTCGGGGTCGGTGGGGAGCCTCAAGCTCCAGATTCCTGTTACCAAGACGCCCCCTCAAGAAGTACATCCTCTTGAAGCTTTGTACAAAAAGAAGAAGCCGGAGGACGATGCTTCTGGAAACCCGGCCCAAGCGTCAGAGCCATTTACCTTCTTCGGTGACAATGATGAAGACGAGGATGAGGACGAAGATGACGGAGCCGCGGAAGACAGCGATGAGCGGATGGACCGCAGCACCCCAATGCCCATGACCCCCTACACACGCCAGGATCTGGAGGAGCGCAATATCCGCAGTGCCGCGCCCACACCTGACACCGCGCATCCCAGCCGTATGCGGAACATCTGGGCCGCCTTGCACAAGAACGACGAAGACATGGATGAGGAGATGGACGGTGCAGACGAGGAAGACGATGATGAGAACGGACAAGCCTCTGCAGCCGCCGGTCCCAAAGATGCGGGCGATTTTCAATCTTGGTTCTGGGAGAACAGAGGCGATCTGAATAGGTCATGGATGAAGAGGAGGAAAATGGCGGCAAAAGAGAAGAGACATCGGGAAAACAAGACAAGAGCCTCAAAAGCCGTATAGACATATTAATGATGAAGTATATTTGCGCTCGTTGAATGGGATTTTCTAAGTTATCAGGAGCTCGATGAGAGAGCTCTGTTTCCTTCTGCTCCGACATAAATGCGTCCCTCACCAGATTCACCGAGCTTCACGAGTAAGCCTAAGTATCTATCTCATTATAGGTAATGAGAGTTAAGATACAGGCGTGCTCACAGAGACTCGTGCACAAATAAGGATGGTCTGGTTTATTTTTTCCGCAAGTCTTTAAAAGGTATCTCATAAAATTGTTTATTTCTAGGTAAGGGTATCTGAGTCCTACGATTGGTGGCGTTTCATGATGCTGTTCACCATTTTCAATTTGGCCGATACCTTTCAATGAGGAGGTAGGCTACCTGGTGTGATTGCAAGTAGATCATCTTGACACACGTGAGGCCTATTGTCTTCTGAGCAAGTGTTTCGATGTTTGCTTCGAACGAGCAATCTACTTCCGGTTAATGCTTCGTATATCCCAGCCCGATCTAGGGTCTGTGGTTCAATTGTATGCTCCCTGACCACGCTATTCCTCGATCTTACATCCGGCGAATTGTAAGGGGTATGAAACCCCCCATCCGTATTTTCGGAACTCTTGTGAGACCTGTCCCTGTGAAACAATCTGTGACCGCCCTTGCGGATCTTTTCGATCAAAGCCGGAACGAAGCCATCGGCCGAATCTGCGTCATTGACATTATGTTGGATTTGGCCCTGGCAGCTTCGACGGCGGTACGATGCCGAGACAATGGGATTGCCAGAAGCCATTTCAATTTGGGAGCCATTCTCATAGTTGTTAACGAGCAGGTTATCTGGCGACTCCTGGCAAAAAGGGTTCTCCTGGAACAAGTCACGATAGCAGTGAGGAGGTTTTATAGGCTCATCTTCGATGAAAGCAACCGAGGGACGCGAAGATCTGCCGCAGTGAGCATCGACACCTTGTTGATATAAATCGTCTGTTGTTTCAACAACATGTTTAGGTTTAGCTCGTGGAATGAGCCACTCATTGGTGCAGTGACGAGGAGACAGCTTTGGAAAAGATGTGATGACCCCACAGCCACTATCTGGGCGAGATTCTTCGGGCCTATCCTTTGGAGTTATGCCGAACTCTACCCCTTCATTGCCCGGTGGGGCCAATACTCTCAGCTTAGTTGAAGCCTTCGAAGATCTCCTTGACGGGTCTATGAATGGTTGCCCACCAAATCTAGTGGTGGATTCGTGTCGTTCTTGTGCCCAAGTAATTTCAGCAATGCTTTGGCGAGATATGACCGTTGTAGTTGTCGTGACTTCAACATCTCTGGTTTTCGTGTGGATTTGGTTACTGGCAGGCCCCAATTTCGTGTACGAAGTCTTCGGGTGACTGATGGTTGTTGCCGGGCAAGCAACGACGGCTGGAGGTGGCAAGATCGTATCGCCGTCTAGCTTGGGCAATGCTGGTGGCTCCTTCGGCGTCTCCTTGGGCTCTTTTTTGCCCTGTGAAGTTTCTTGAAGAATATTTATCTCGTCCAGAATTCCACTCACCATCTGCCTGGCGTCTTCATCGCAAATCAAGTACATGCTTCTGAAGCCAGGGACATGATATCCTGAATCATCAATTACGTGCAGGTTTCCCTGAGAGAGCCTGTGCTGATCAATGATTCGCCGGGCTCTGCTTGTTAAAATATCCAAACTTGCCAAAGAGGAAGAGGTCGTAGAATCGGCTCTCTCTGGCGTCGTGATGGATACTCGAATCTGTTGATTGTTTGATACATCGACTAGGTATGTTGAGCGGCCAGATGCTTGACGATGGAGCTCAACGGGAACTTGGCCAACCTGAAACACTTGTCGCTCAAGCTTGTCGAGTGTTGAATAAAGGCAACACGCTGAAGGCACAGAATGCAAATCTAAAATGCAAAATGACGGAGTACGCATGCTTGATGTGGAAGAGCCATCTTGATTATCGGCTCTCCCCTCGATGACTGGCAAACCGTTATGTTCAGGCTTCTCCGAAGCCGATGGCTCGCATCTCTCACAGCCCTGTATGATGCCTTCAAGCAAGGACTGCATGCTCAAGGACACTGGATGGCTGTCAACAATGTCCTTATTGTCATTCTCGCCTTGAGCGTCTTTCATTCCCACTGTGGGTTGCTGGATGCTGCTGCTGCGTTCGTTGAATACTTGGCTTTTGGAAGGGCGTGGAGGCTCGGCGTTCAATCTCTAAGTGAAGTCATGTAGCCTTCCTGGGCTGACGAGGCTATAGGATACCGATGTAGCTGGCGGAGGAGGAAGATCAAACATCTTCCCTCTGGTAGAAGCTGTTGTCTCATCTTCGGGTGTGTTCGGTCCCGAAGGGTTCCAATTCGTTTCTTGACGAAAGATGACCTGTTCACTGGGCGACGCTTGGAGACTGGATTGTTCAGACATATTGATGCTGCTCAGGTGCTAAAGGTATTGTATAGGAAATAGTGGGCGCTAGAAGTGTATAATAGGAAGCTAGAATCTATGATGCTCGGAAGATGAGCCGGTTGGTGGTGAGGAAAGGCGATGAGAAGTCGGCTACTCCCGGCTTGAGGGAAAATACTCTAGGATTGTTGGCTGAGCTACTCATGCAATTGCCCAGACTATGTGTGGTAGGTATCTACCAGGAACATCCCTTACCAACCTGTTTGATGCCTGACTGAATGCCGCTATCGCCAGGCATCATTCCTTCTGCACCAACTGGATTGCACTTACCCATTCAGGAAGATATGTTGCATGTCAGACTTCTTCTAGGTTGTCAAAGAAGGAACGGCCGGGATTGAGTTCAGATATAACCCCGGTGCTCTCCATAATAGTTCCAGGCACGGTGAAGTGGCAGGCGACGCCACTTGCCATCCCGCGGGAAACTCAGAGCCGTCAGGCGAACGGGTGGAGAAGCGGAGACTCGTGGACTTGCGGACGGATGGCACTCGGATCGTATGATAGACTAGGCGGTCAGAGGGAAAGACTGTGGAGAGGGCAAAGGGGCGGAGATAGGGCCATTGCATATCCAGGTTGCTGGTTCGTCTCATCTGTTTGCGATGAGGTGACAGATGATAGCTTATCGGGAGAAGAAGATAAGGCACGAGCAGGGGTCGCTGCCGTGTTCGCTGTGGGTGGCGGCCAATTAGCATCTTGGTGGTGCGCTAAAGTGGAAGGCCGGGATGAGAGTGATGGTGTAAGGGGCGGCATCCGGCGGTGATCTGTGAGAACTTACACCACTAAGCACCTTCCACGGTCGACTGTCAGATGCTGCAGAGGGCAAGCCGGCGTCGGAGGGGCCAGCCTTCGGGCCATTATCTTCAAGCTACTCTTATTTAAGATTTTCTCCTGGATCTACAAGGGGTCCCGACTCAGTTGGTGGGGCGTAAAGTTCTGCTGCCGCATTCTGTCCGCGGGAAATGTTCGTTTAGCCAATTCCCCGCGGGGAACTCATCTCGTCCGCAAGAGCCGGTGTTTGTGCTCCATGGCAGCCGCTGCCACCCCCGTTACAACTAATCTATACCGGCGAGACGACCAACTCAAGCGTGGGTTGTTTTGTTCTGGCCTCTGAACCTTTGGATCTCCATTCTTCCTTGCGTGTTGCCAGGTCTGCTGCATTCCAGCCCAACAACGGATCATGCAGCAGCACCAGCAAGGCCGCGGGGAGAGGCCGTACAGATCACATCTACGCCCAGCATGCCTCACGTGCCGGCGACGGAAGTCGAGATGCCACACTGAGCCAGGCGCGGACCGTTGTCTCATGTGTAGAGCACACGGAACAGACTGCCTCTTCCCAGGAGGATCACCTGGTCCGGCCTCCAAGGACAGTCCTGACCAGGTTGCACGTCGCCGGGGACGCGGAAAGAGCAGCGCAACTCCAAGGATAACCACACCTCCTTTTCATCCAGTCTCTGGTCCAAGAGCTCATCCAACTGTTGCTTCTACATCCATCCCTGGGCCGCAAAATGGTGACATGGTGCCGGGCTCAGCATCTTCCTCGTCGGCGTATAATCCTTCCCTCAACCCCCCACCAAACAGAAGCCATCACCAGCAAGAGATGCATGGCGGCGATTCCCCATCTATTGAGTTTGGCTCAGCTGATGATCATGCTTCGAATCTTCACATTGTTGGCCCAGCTACGACCAAGGATAATCAAGTCCTATCAGACTACCTATCTGCAATCCCGGGGGCTACCCGTGGAACACGCATGGTTGTTCCCGTCCCTGCGAGTCGTTCTAGGCCGGTACTCTTTACAAGGGTTCAAAAGCGGCCCTTTGGTGTCCCAGTAAACCGTAGCCCGTCAGCCGAAAAACTGGAGATGATTGAAAAACTCCTAGAGCCATACGCGGGAGATGTAATTGATCTGTAAGCCCGGACGCATGAGAGGCCTTCAATCTGTTTTTGTGTTCTGAGCCCTAACAACCAGAACCAGTTATTTTGGAAAGGTGAACATTTGTTTCCCGTTGCTTGACGAGGTCTCATTTCGTCAGCAATGGCTTGAAAACAAGGAACGTATATCACCGGCCTTGCTTGCTTGCCTGTATGCGCATACAATGGCTTATTGGCAATATTCCCCAGCCTTGGCCCATCGAAAGTGCCCAGATGTACGTTTCATTTGGAACCTTGCCAACGATGCAGTCTATTCTGAGCTGCATCTTTCTCCTGGAATGTCCATCATCAAAGCCATTGTGCTCAACGTCGGCGGTCTCCCAACCACCTCACTCATCGGGAACGGTGTGCTTTTGGGATCGGCCGTATCAGTAGCATACTCTTTGGGTTTGAACCGGAACCCCATGTCGTGGGAGATAACACACTCAGAGAAGTGTTTGAGGATGAAGATCTGGTGGACTCTGCTCATCCACGACCGATGGTTGGTCACATGCAACAACACCTTCTTACTCGGCGCTGATCGTGTTATAGGACAAGTCTCGCACATGGAACGCCACCCCACATACTCCCAACCCAATACGACGTTCCGCTGCCAAGTCTTGAGTATATGGCCGACAACGCAGCAAGCGGAATGCAACATAGGGCCGCCAGTGTCTTCATTGCATTAGCTAGCTTGACCGATGTGCTAGATCAACACCTGCAATATATCTACCAGGTCCGAAAAGATGAGACTGGAAGCACGGTGCAGCTAGAACTTGCCCTCAATAATTGGGTAGAGAGTCTAAGCGGGACAGTTCGGTTGATTATCCTTCGTGGCTCACACTTGGATATCCCTGGTGCAGCCAACTTACGATTCAGCTATCTAACGACAAGGTTATTGCTCGAGCGCATTGAGCTTGAGGCGGACAAGCAGAGCTATGATCCCCACGATCAGCGACTATCAAATCGCTATATCCAGGCTCGCAGGACTGCTGAGGAGATCCTGATCATGACGCAAGAACTTCAGCAGGAACAGATGGGAGATTTCTGGCTGGCCACCTCGGCGTTTTCATACCCTGCAACGGTAAATTTCTTGCTTCGATGCGGTTTAGAGACAGAAAGCTCGCCGGTAGAACTGGTGCGCAGCCCTCCATTTAAGATTGCGCAAGACTTGATAGAAACGCTGCGGTCACATCAGGACAAATTCTCGTGGGACCTGGCCAGGGTATGTCTGGCGCAACACGCCGAGATTGTTGACAAGATACTTTCCAGTGTATCGTCAAGTGAGTCTCAAGGCGGAAACAGTGGCTCCTTCGACCCGCAGGAGTTTGTGCTGCCAGATGCCTCCTTCATTGACCAGTTCTTCCCTAGTCTTTGGGACCCGCTGCAGAATGCATGGTGAATGTCAACGTGATCAGGTTTGTGACAAGGTGGTTGATCCTAAATTAGCCCCGGTGTGAGTTCACATTTTACTGTCTTTCCCGCGGTCAACTTTCCCGCGGCGGGAGCTTTGTTTATCACGTATCGAACACTCTTTCTTACGAGTCACGACAAATTCGGCAAGAGCCGGGGTCAGAGATACGAAAACCGGCAGCCAGATGAATTGCGTATAAGAGATGCCCGACAGCTGGAGAGATTCATCGTTCTTGCCGGATCTTCTTCACTTTCATTCTCATCATCTCTCTTCTTCTTGCCCTGATACATAATAAAGGGGCAATCGTTCGATTGGCCTGAATCACTATCTTAGTTTCCTGCATCTCTACTTTATCCTCAGAATGAGTCCCTCGGCCGTCGTCGACGCCTATCCAGAGGCTGTGGACATCCAGGTGAAAGAGATCCATGCCAAAGTTCTCAAAAAGTCACACGAAGATGAACTTCGCGAGAAGAGCAGCAAGTATATCCTTAGCAGTGGCGCAGGCTACTCAAAGGAGATCATCACCGCTGCCGAGGGCATGCACTTCTATACTGCTTCCGGTCACAAGGTACTCGACTGGACCTCAGGCCAGATGTCCTGTCTCCTGGGACATGGCCATCCCGAGATTGTCAAAGTCATCACACAGAATGCAATTCATCTAGACCATCTCTTCTCGGGGATGATCTCTCCCCCTGTTATCTCCCTTGCAGAACGCCTGTGCTCCTCCCTCCCCGACGGACTAGACAAGGCTTTCTTTCTTTCTACTGGAGGTGAAAGCAATGAGGCCGCTATCAAACTGGCCAAATCATACACTGGAAAGTTCGAAATTGTCGGTCTCGGTGCCTCATGGCACGGCATGACTGGAGCTGCCCTATCGGCGCAGTACCACTATGGCCGCAAGGGCAACGGCCCAATGATGCCAGGGACACACATGCTGCCCTCGCCCAATGCTTATCGATCTGTTTTCCGCAGGGCCGATGGGTCTTATGACTGGGAGGCGGAGCTGGAGTATGGCTGGAGGATGATTGATATGGCCTCTTGCGGATCTCTAGCCGCATGTATCGTTGAATGCATCCAGAGCTCTGGGGGTATGCATGTTCTGCCTCCTGGCTACCTCAAGGCCCTAAAGAAGCATTGCGAGGCCCGTGGAATGCTCCTCATTGTCGATGAAGCCCAGACTGGCGTTGGCCGCTGCGGTGATTTCATGGCCATCAACCATGAGGGTGTTGTCCCTGATATTCTCACACTTTCCAAGGCTTTTGGCAACGGCCTGCCTCTCAGTGCTGTTGTTACAAGCGAGAAGATTGAGAGCGGTGCTAAGGAGAGAGACTTCATGTTTTATACTACTCATCTCAATGATCCTCTTCCAGCTGCGGTGGGTGACAAGGTGCTTGAGATTGTGCTCCGTGATAACTTGGTCGACAAGGCCCGCGAGAACGGGAAGGTCCTGCACGATGGCCTGAACAAGCTCAAGTCCCGATATGGCTGCATCGGTGACGTGCGCGGGAGGGGTCTGCTCGCTGGCGTGGAGATTGTCAGCGACCCTGTGCTCAAGACGCCTGGTCTTGACTTGGCCAAGAAGATCGGTGACCGCGCCTACGAGTTGGGCATCTGGGCCAATTTGAGCAGCCACCCGAGCTTCGGGGGTGTTTTCAGAATGGCACCACCCATCACGGTGTCAGAGGAGCAGTTGAGGACCGGCCTGGCCATTTTTGAACAGGCGCTGGCAGAGACTGAGGGTACTTTGCCTCGGTATTAAAGCCACGAGGTTAAATTATGGCGAGTTAGTGTTTATTTGGTCTCTTTCCAAAGTCGACTGCAATGCCAGATTGGCTATATTACAAAAGTAGCGATAGACAGCCATTAGGCTTTCTTAATGATGCAAAAGCATGAGTATTGTGTCAAAGACCCTTGAGAAATATGCGATATGTGAAGTCAGACGACCTGCAGTGGACTAACATCCCGATGGATCGTCCCAACCCTAAACATGGTCGAAGAAACCTAGCCACAGTGTGCATTCAAACCAACCTCCACCTTTCTCTGACGATTTACATTAAAGGACCTAAAGTTTAATTCAGATTGTTCAAGCATCAATACACGCGCAGTTACATGAACATGCTGAAACCTCCCGCTAGTGCCGGAGAATCATGTGGCAGGGGGTTAGTGTCATGTTCACGATGATTTATACATTCCACACCAAACCAGCATGTCATATGATTCTCCATCCACCTCTAAGAAGCCTAAGATTTCCAGAACGAATGTAAATCTATTCAAATTTCTACGAAGTCTCGGGGTTTCCCGATGACGTGGCTGGAATATCAAATGCCAAGCAACTCACCCAGGTGAAGAACGGTCGTCTGAATTGGTTTGGGGTTTCTCCCATTTTGTTCCACATATATTCGTATCATTATGCCCGAGCCTTGCATCTCAATAAAATCGATTTGCTTGGGTTTATTCCCCCCTAGAAGACGTAGATTGTGCACGGCGGGTCCCTTGGATTCAAGCTTGGAATGCTGCAAGACTACGGGTAAATCAAAAAGGCTTTAGTCCAAGACAATGGATGATTCCACACGACTGTCACGAGGCCAGATCCCCTGGCGGAAACCCCAGGGGCGTTTACGAGCCAAGTCTGCCGCGACTCGTCCGAGCCCTGCTCACGTAGAAGAATGCACACAATCCCCAGACGCAGATGGAGTTAGAAAATGATCATAATTGGTATCTTGAAGTGATATGCGAAGTAAAATATATACGCGGAAGTAGGTAATCGTAATGAAAAGCAGGTTACGCCGTACGTTAGAGATGCTTCCCCACCAACACCAAGTCATTAAAACCACTTGAAACCAAAGACGTCCCAAGAATACGCCGCCGCCTATGCTGTAACGACGCTCAAACAATGGAAGAAGGAAAAAAGGACAAAAAAGAAAACACAAATGGAAACGCCACCGACCAGCAGCTTGAGATGACCGAAAGCTGAAAACGCCCGCCATGAGATTGATGAAACAGATAATGCTTTCAAAACGCCCAGTTTTTTAATGCTTGTTGCTCGATTGTTGCGTGAGCCGCGGTCATGACTGCAGCATCTTCCTGTGATATTGTGCTGCCAATTCGGCCTGGTGGAGGTTGGGCTGTTTGTGGGCCAGGCGCTTCCAGATGCTTTGGATGGCCACACCGAGGACCATGAGGACCTCGAGGCCGAGGATACCGACCCAGACGGCGTTGAGAATCTTGTCCTCGCTGCCGAAGTCGAAGTCGAACTTGGTGTTTTGCAGCTTCATGTTCCCGATCATGGTGGGAGAAACAGAAGAGGGGTTGGTGTAAGTGGAGTGAGTTTGTCGTCGAGACTTAAGAGACTATCGATTGGCTGGTGTTAGCGACAGAAGGCTTGCAGACCCATTAAGATTAAGAGGCGAGTGGGCTGGTGGGTATTTCACACAAGGTGAGAGGGCATCAAATAGTGCGAAGGAAGGGAATTAAATCAAGACGAGGAAAATTTCAAAAAAGGATATGTGCACGGGTCAAGCACAAAGACTCAGGAGATATTTGTTCACGTACATTTGTGTCTCGCAATTCAACCGTCGCCCGCACGGGGATAGTGGGCTTCCAACGGTGCAAGCCCTGGCCCTGGGATTGGATGGATACGAGGAGATTGGATGTGATGAGGTAGGTGGCAAAAACGAGCAAGGGTCAGGTGCGGAATATCAATAAACTTGTTTTTCAAAAGAGCATATCCAAGACAAAAGGGCGACTAATATGAATGAATAGAAGAGGAGGAGCCAAGGGAGAAGCGAACGGCTGGAGGGAGAGGGTGTAATTAAGCGAGTCAGAGACAATCGGCAGACGCAGATGGATGGGGTTGGAGCCGGAGAGGGGACAAGGAGGTCGCCCTAATGCTCAGCAAGGGTGTAGCGATGGTTTTTTTGTCCTGCAGCCTTCGCGTGACAGATTGAGGCCGTGGTATGTGCGTGGGTGGTGATCGATGCAGAGTGGCAGCAAAGAACGAGACGGTGAGGGCACGACTCCAGAGCCACAGCATAGACGATGGGAGAACGGTCAAGGGAGGAGACCTGTTGATTGGACGCAACGGGGGAGCCTTGCCAGGCTGAGGAGCTTTAGCTCGCGGCGCTTCTGTGTAAGTGGATGGGGACAGGCAGGATAATGCGCAGTGCAGCCGGGGGGCTGGAAGCGGTGACGAAAGAAATCTCCTTGGTGGAAAAGAGCGAAATTGTTGGGGAAGCAGTGAGCGATGCGAAGGCCTTTATTTCTTCCAGGGTGCCATCGCCAGACGAGAGATAGTCCCCTCCCTGCTGGCAGGAAGAGGACACTTCTTCGGATCTTTGGCAGCGACTGCCTTTTGCACACGGCGACGATGAAATAGCCGCAGCGGGCTTACCCCATTTCTGGCTATCTATAGTGACCTTCCCGGATCGATAGTCGTTCTGGGAAGCACTCTGAAGGTCACACTACCTCACATGGCACCTGGCAGCGAGCGGGAACGGAGTCGTGTGGCCGCCAGACCCTGCTTGGCTCTGCCCGTGCAGAAGGACGGGCAGGGATTGTGCATCGCCTAAGATCCCTCTGTGCCAGATGCACCAACTGCGGAAGCACGAGCTTACTGGGGATGGATTCTCACACATGGACCGGGGAGTAAGAGTAAGAAGACTCTTGCTCTCAGCCTGTCATCCTCGCTGCCATGCACGGACTCGCAATGCGGGATTGGAGAAGACCCGGCGCTATTTTTACAGAACTCAATGCTCTCCTCCTAGGATCAACCTCTCTAAAGTGGGACTCTCTCAGTCAGTTCGTCAACGAAATTGCTTGGGTCTCTGGCATGAATGGATATTCCCCGAAATTACCCAGTTGTTATTATCCCTTACATCGCATGGTGATATCGTTCCCGGCAGTTGAGCATCGCTTACATGTCTCCCCTGGCGAATGATCTGGACTTGCTCACCCAAGCATCAGGGGAAACTGGCATGGTATTGCATGAAACTCGATCGGCTCTCGTTGACACACTCCAGTCTCACATTCCCTAGGTAGGATCAAGCATAGACATTGTGGGTTGTTCTAATAAGCCAAATAGCCTGAAAAGAGCCATCTTGAAACGAAAACTAAACACAAAACTCGCTCTCAACGCCATAGTGCATAACCTTGCCGGGATACCACAGCACCAATCTCGGCCACATGAGGCACAAGTGAGGAAGAAACAGAGCCTTCGCCTGGTCTCTTGTCGGAGAGGGGGCTAAGGTATAACGAATGTTTAGAAAAAGCGCCGTAGGAGGTAGGGCAACGTCCCTCTCCTTTTCTACGGAAGACCTGAACTCGCCGCGCTCTCTCCTACCTTGACCTCCTCTTCAGAAACTCCCACTGCGTCACTAGTAGCGCTGCGGCTTGTCAAACCTCGACCACGGTCGGTGCGGGCTGACGAACTCTCTCTAGGCGCTGCCACGCTTGTGCCTGTGCTCGGAACCACGTGCATACTGGCGGTTGTGCTAAAGCTCTCCCTCCGAGCAGGACCTGCCTCACCGGCTTTGCCCTCCTGCACTTGTTTCTCAAGCTCCCTGATGCGCTTCTTCAGTATCTCATTCTCTCGCTTTGCTGCTTCGAGCTCGCCCTTGAAATGCTGGGTTTCTTCGTAACGTAGGGTTGCAGGCATCATCCCCGGGCTGAATTGTTCCGAAGCGTGATGGTTCGATCCCTGTGCCGTCATTGGAATGGAGGTTGGAGGTGGCACCCGCTGCTGGTGAAAGTATTGCGAAGGATCCAGGCCGGCCGATGGGACGGGGGAGCCGTTGTTCTGGCTTCTTCGTGACGCAGTGCTATTTTGTCGGGAGATGGACAAGGGTCTCGTAGGCATCGTCGCCTGGGTTCGAGCATCATACGACGAGGATAGTGGGTTTTGCGACGTAGACGATGACGTGCGCCGGTGCCTCCCAGCGGTCGGGATGGCGAATCCGGCGCCGGAACGGTAGGAGGCGTCGGTGATCACGTCCTGGTTTGATTGCGTTGCAGATGTTGAAGACGCATTTGAGACAACCGATGCATTGTGGGCGGCTCGCAGCAGCGACAGCTCACGTGTGAGACGGTTTACCTAACATGATGACGTGAGTTGAATGTCAATACCACAGAAGGTGACGAAGAAACATACCACTGCCTCCTGCTCCTTCTCCAGCTGCATATGCAGCTCCGAAGCCGTGAGAGGTCGAGGGTGCCTCAGAGGGCCGGGCCCTGAAACAACTTCAGCATCCAGCTGGGCTGCGTTTGGCGGTAAAGGTGGTGAGGACTGTGAAGCATGAATATGAGAGGATGAGGGTGACGCAGATGGGTTGACAGCGCTCTGGTTCGACGGTAAGATATTCAGGGAGGATTCTAGGGCGTCTGATGATTGATGCTGAGATGCACGGCGCGAGCGATTTTGTAGACTGGCTGACGCCGGGATCGAATTGATGTCGGGCATCTTGAGGTCGTTATAGAAAGTCGATGTTTGGAATGGGTTGTAAGCAACAGAGCTCCCAAAGCAGGCAGCTTTGGATGTTGTTGTCTGAAGGTGGGTGGGAACCGAAACAGCAGGCAGCAGGGGTGATATCTGGAGCTGGCAATCAATATCTATCCGTCTATAATGGAGGTCTGGATTAAATGTACAGGCTCTCTAGGTCATTAGACGTGTCTCAAGCATAGACCATGCGATAGAAAGGGAGGTGTCTGTTCATATAGAAAGGTGGCAGCAGATGTCCATCGCTCCATAGCCCATCATGGTTGGATGCGGACGCGAACAGTTATCAGGCGCGGGGTTCGCGTTGATCCTCATCTCTAGCAGGGCACTACGTTGGCAACGCCCTGTGCTGGCACCTACCAGGCCACCGGGCGCTAGTGCCTGACCCCCGGTAACGCAGCCCTTCTGCCAGCTCGGGCTGCAACTCTGGCAGTGTCCATCTCATGCCGGCCGCCATTGCATGACAACAACAAGCCTCACGGCGACGAGTCAGCATTGCATTGTGATGAAAGGGGCTGCCCAACTCAAATTCCTCACTACCATTGCTTTTCGACGCGAAATTCCATTATGCGGATCCCTACAAAGGACTTAACATTCTCCCATATGCCTCCCTCGCTACCAATCGCAAACATACTCCTCTCCACCGGCCTCCCCACAAGGTATCACCGCTTTGACAACGCAGGTGCCTAGCAACTGCTTCTAGAACAATCTCTTCCAATCCCGCCTCTCTCCACCATTAGCATCTACACGAGATGGCTCCGGACCTGCTTATCCGCCGGCCTCGCCCAGTGCGTCTTCACTCCCCCCCAGCTCTCCTCGCTGTAGCCCTCCTGCACCTTCTTGCATGTGCTCAGCCCCCACTCCGTCAC